CAACCTTGGAGTCAGAGAGCATGCACTCTTTGTTTTACAACACACTTTCGATTAGCACACTAGCATCCCACTGATTTCGTTACACTAGATGTACAATCACTATTTCTCAAGATGAGGGTATCACAGCTTCCCTCGATGCAATAAAAAATCATTAAGTGAAAAACTACCCTACTGCATATAAGATACAACAAATGATGACGTTTATTCACAAATATAATTATATTGCTTTATTCTGTATTGTTTTTAAAACAAGACGCACATATTGACCAAGGGGTAACATTTCAGTCCTCATTTAAAGGAAATCAGAAACTATTTAGAAATATTTTCCATCCAGCCCAAGCTCACGCTGTCAATTCATATTTCGTGTCAATAATAGTCTGTTTTATGTTACTTTTGGAACAGACAAATTCCAAGCATAACCTTCCTTCTTGTTACAGTTATAAGAAAAACAACAAAGCAGACCCATCGGTAGAAACCATCTACCCTGCGAAAATCAATTTTGCCCTGCAAGACGGTTCTATTTTCGTGGTTGGGGGGGGGGTGAACCACCCCCATACCCTCCCTCAAGTGACGCGCCTGGCTGGATGTTGATCTTTTGGTGTAGAATGCGAATCTGAATGCTAATCGGGGGGGAGAGGACGCTTTTTTGAAATACAGAGGGTTTCGTCCAAATAACGTCTTTGGATGTCCTGTGAATAGATTAAGTTGTATTTCTCACGCAAGTTTGGCAATGAAAAATATCATCTACAGTGGACATACAGTAGTGCTGCTGTCAACACTGGGGCTCTTGACTTTAGGAGAGGGATTAGATTTAGGGTCACTTGGTTTGGAATTAGTGAATCATTTTGCTATGTGAGTTATCGCCATAACAGGTTTAAACCAAAGTTTAAACCATAATTAGCTTCTATTGAACAGATTATAATTTCAAGATCATAAGCTATCATATTCGTAAAGGCATGGCATACCTCTTCCAAAGCCTGTATAAACACGCAACTGTCATGATTGGCGACACACTCAGCGACTGGTTTGGCAGCATTGTTGGAGTCCGGCAAGGGTGTATCCTGTCATTGATCCTATTTATCCTGTTTTTAGAAAGGATTGATGCTCTAGACAGCTATAATGCCTGCCAAAAGTCTTGGAACACTGACATCAATTACCAAGGTCAAAATCAATCATTCCCTTCTCCCTTGCAGAACAATATTGGTTTACTATCAAACGGGCTAGGATTTTAGGAAGCACTTTCTTTTGCGCTTCTTTTATGATATTTCTCTAAATCATAAACATTGTTTTAGGGGGAAGGGGGAGGAAATAGCAATTTTTTTTCATAAAAGGAATGAAAGATATCAAATGCAGCGTGAATTGCTGGGTGTTCCAAGTACTTTTGGCAGGCATTGTACAACCATGGACCAAAATTTGGAGGATTAACAATCAACAATCTGCGTTTCGCAGATGACATTGGTTTAATTGGCGAGAGCTGGGAAAATCTGAAAGAGTTGACATCTAGGCTTGAAGCGGCTGCACGAATGCACGAATGGAGATCAATTCTGAAAAAACCAAGGCGATGGTGGGTGGAAGAGATGTTACAGAAGAAGTGGTCATCAAGGTCAACGGAAGTGTTTTAGAGCAGGTAAAGGAGTTCAAGTACCTGGGTGTCACTCTGACAGAAAACATAACAAGCGAAGTCAAGAGAAGAATTGGAAGTGAAACAAGTGATTTGGCTAGACTTGACAACATCTGGAAAGATAGGAAACTAAACATCAGAACTAAGATGAGATTGATGAACGCGATGGAGACAAGAATCCTTCTATAAGGTTGTGAAAGTTGGACAGTCACGGACAAGATCTGGAGAAAGGTGGAAGCATTCGAGATGAAGGGCTATAGAAGAATGCTTGGCATCACATGAAAGGAGCGCAAAACGAAGGAATATGTCTGGGGACTGGTGGAGACTGTCTTTGGTGGGCAACAACCGGAGAGTCTGATGCAAGTGGTGCAGAGGAGGATCTTCACCTTCTTTGGACACCAATCAAGACGAGATCGATGTACAACGTCAATCAGGATCGATACAACAAATGTAAAGTGAGATCTTGCCCTGGAGTTCATGAAGTTCTCATCATCCTTATTCTTCTAGGAAAGGAAATGACATGCCCAGCCGTCATAAACTGATAGATAGCAACAATGGCAAAACAGAAAGCTCAATGATCTTTCAGCGTGTGTTCTCTCCACTATCATTTAGTAGCCCTTGTTCTCCTTCACGCATTTATAGGCAACGATTATGTATCGTAATTAATGCTTTTAGAAAGAGGGGCATTTTGGAATGTAATGAAGACAACCAAGAAAGTTAGTAGCAACCTTCAGTAAGCTTGGCACAGTCGTTGAGCCAAATGCCAATGAAGAAGTATGAAGTTATGATGAAGAAGTATCAAAGGTATGAAGAAGTACATATGTCGGCTGTCAACGGCCAACATGTCAGTTCCACCTTCAGTAACTGGTCACGGGGGTGAGCATGCAATATGACTTACTGCCTTCTAAACACAGGTGCTAGCCAAGTGGGGAATGTTTATTTTAAAATGTATTAATATGTAGAGCCCGGTTACACTTTCCAAATTATTACTCTATTTGGTATTTTCTTTGAGCGATCAATTTGGTTCTCATTTACTTGAGATAGAGCCCTTCGGTAGGTTCCTTACATTACACCGAGGATCTAGTAAAGATAATTCAATTATGAAAGAACGTACAGCTGAAAAAAGCTAGACATTTTGATTACTTAGATTTTCTTCAAAACTTTGTCATCTTCTCGCAATTTGCAAAAGCCACGTTCTGCTGTCTTATTAATGATTGGAATTCTTAAGATACTATACAACCTTTTTCCTTGCTTTAACAGCTTTTCTGCTTTCGAGCTAGGAATTTCTGATCAGACCCCGCCCAACTAGAAATTTTTGCCCCTCCGTGCTCGTTTAAAAATGTTAGGATGAAAACATGTTTTTGTCTAAAAACTTAGAAAACGGCGTCTTCCTACTTGACTGTCAAAGAAATGTCGGTTTAAACGCAATTTGTGCATCTGTGCATTTATGGTGAAAAACAATATCGACTGTGCGCTAGTCCATATAATGTTATATCAAGTCTAACCAACTGCTGGTATGCTTCAAACTGTGTTGAATTTTTGTTTAAAGCACTGAGCAAGACGCCAAGCTGCAAAACGAGACTCGAACTTCCTTCATTTCGAACGACAATATTTGATGTCACTGTAGTTTGATAACTTCTCAAATATGCAAGGCTTCGTTGCACCTGTTTTAATGGCTTAGTTCCTTTTTACAGTTTATTTTTGGATTTATTCTGTTAGATATGCAATAGAAAACAAGACTTTTGTTTGCTTTTCTAATCGCAAGTGAAGGAAGATTACAAAGACTCTACAAAAAACTCATTACGTTGCAAAAATTCTTTATCCTGTGCAATAAGATAAAGCTGTATCAAACTCTGTATCTCTTGCAGGAAAGTAGATTTTGCAAGGTTCTTCAATACCGTTAGTAATAATTTTTTTCCTTTAAATAAAGCAACGAGCTCCTTTGCTTCGCTCAGTTGACAAGCCGACTCGGCATTACCCGCCAGGCGCTTTGCTAAAGGAGGGCGCTTTTGTCCGTCGCCACATAGTTTTTTCTCACCCTGTAGTATAATTACAACCTTTTTGTAACAGTTGTAACGTGTTAAGATTTCTGTTGCAGCTCATTTTTCAAAGTATGCTTTCAAAGTACACTAATAATGCTTCAAATTAAAACTATAGAATTCAGAATTTTGAAATAGAAACAGATAAAAGCAGCATATGATATTTCTCATCTTCTGACCGCACCCGAAAAGAGTGGGACTCGCCCTTTGTGTAGGCAAAAATGAATACTGTAATAGAGCTAAAACAATGCCAGCCTTTGCACTGGGATGTTATCGTTTTGTATAAGTAGGAATTTCGTATATTACGTAGATTTTTAGGATATCCCCTTTGTGTCTCGAATGTTCTGTCTTCGCGACAGCACCACGTCTGTGACCACGTCCAGAGGGTGAGAAAAGTAGACTTGGACAATCTACTTTCATCATCCTCTGGATTTTTTCTCCTCCGTAGAGTCTACACGCACACAGCATTCCATTCTTTTGGGTAGGATTACTCCTCATTAGAATAACATCGTCTTTTTCTAGAATTGACTTGTAGTTTATTCTTAGTAACATTTTATGCTTAGTTATGCTTTTCTGGTAATTTCCTTGTTCATATAAATATACGTAGTTAGATTAAGGGAGAATCAAAGAGGGCTTCAGACGGTACGGACATGAAAGGCTAAACATTAGAAGGAATCTAACCGTTTCGCCCAAGAGGCTTGCGAAAGCTCTTGCGGCCCAGTTTGCATTTAGGACAGGCAGTGCTTGAGAAAGACTGCTCTGTGCCTCGTTTTATATTTCCTTAGATTGTTATAAGTATTAGAGTTCGCGGAGAACCGTCGTCGTTTATGTTAGCTGCTTAGATTTAAGTTTAGCCTTGGAATATTATATGATGGAAGTGGAATGAAAAGTATAGTCGCTGGCAGAAACCGACATTCTCTAAAGTTTCAGTCTTCGCAGCATTTCTTCCTCGACATAAACCTCCATTTCACAACACGGAATCCTCCAAAAAATTTTGACTTCACCCCTGTTACCCGTCCACCTTCGTGCCTGAACGGGGAACCACTATGATAAAATCTTCAAAATCCACTGTGATAAAATTTAGACCCCACTTCAATCTTTTATTTAAATTGCTCCCATAATAGCTAGGTGATTTAGAAAGTGAAGAATATTTTTCTTTAATAGAAAAGACAGGCCTTACAAATGCTTGCTTTCCCGAAACAAATGTTTACAGCCAACACCAGAAAAACTTGAGGCATATTTTTTGGCTTTGAAAAACAGCCTGAGTCTGAAGGCCTAACATGCTTAGTGACCCTCTTGTAAAAATGATAATGATGTTCAGGCATGACACGCCCTTTCGTCCAGCATGACACGCCCTTTCGTCGGGCATCTAAGCTTCATACCACTCTAATGAAAATAGTGATGTTTTCCCCCTGATTGAGATTGTTGGCTTTCTGCTGGTATCTACCCCCGGTAAAAGACAGCTGGATTAAGCATTATAACTGTTTACTTCACTTGAATAAATTCCATTTTTAACTGACGTAACAGAATGAAAGAGCACTCCGCATTGCAGAAGATTGCTGCATTTTTCGCGCTGTTTTTGCGTGCTTCTGGGCACTTTTACAGCGTGGTTGGGATTGATTCGCGAGCAGGTTCCTTTACAGATGTCAGTCTAGATACTCAGAGCAAATTTGGAGTCGTTAACAAGATACTGAAGAAGATTTCCCTTCCAAGCGATCTTGCATGTTCCCAAAAGTGTTTTGCTGATGAAAAATGCATCTTCAAGAAATTTTCAGATGAAACAAAGTTGTGCACACTTTACCAATCTCTTTCAAACACCGATTTAGCAATTGACGAAATCAAAAAAATTAAGTACAAGGTTTGTATCCTATTTAACTACTAGATTAAAATTGTTTGAACAGCCATCTATTTCCAAATTGCCTTTTCCATTTATTTGTATCAATGAATTTAGCAGTTTGCACAGGCAACCAGCACAATGCCGTTCAAAGTTAGAAAAACTAACAGCCCAGATGATTTCATTTCCAAACTGGAAACCCTGCTTTGACAAAGTTCATTTTGTAAATAATAAACAACGGGAGAAGCAACTCTATCGAAAGATGCATTAAGTTTTAAGATAAATAAATTGAATGCTGTGCCAAAACAGTGCTTCTTTCAATTTTAGAATAACAGTACCATAACGCAGAATATATTTTTTTGAACGAGGGGATACAAATCCTTGCCCGACAACCTTTTGTGAAATACAGTTCAAAACTTTGTAAAGTATATTTTTCATCTTTGACCCATTTAATTTGCAAAAACATTATTTTTGTTAAAGATAAATTCTAGAAATTGTCCAATGAAATTAACAGGTGAAGTCCAACTGTTTCGACCATCGTTGTGGCGCTTCGTGTCAGTGTGAGTCAACGTTCAACTACCAAAGATACGTATGCAATTGCAACTTACCAGGTACTTTTCAGCACTTTGATATATTTTCTTAAATCTAAAGAGTTAAAGAAGAAGTTAATACACTTGCAATGAAGCCATTCAATCCCCAATATCACTTCAGTATTTGTCACCGACAATGACTGCGGTTTCGCAGAGTGACCAAGAGCATGAATCAAGGAATTATACGATTCACTTGTCGCGCATAAAAGTAGGTAGGGGAGAGTCTTTGGGCAGGCTATGAATGGAACCAAATAAGACGATCAACAGAGAAATATAAGCAGTGGTGACTACATCTCGGTGTAAGTAACACCTGTGAAAATGCATCATTGCCCCGTACCTGAGGACTCCAGACATCTCCTATTAAGTAATATTGCTAAAGAACTAGTGAAACAGATTTTGAAAAGAAATGGTCTTAGCAATTTTGTACTTTGCTACTTCTAGTCAACAAAATTTATAGCTCTGAAACAAAAACCGCACTTTACGTGTAGAAATTTATTTGATTTCAGGAATATCGAAAACATCAGAAAATTATGTGTACAGAAATTGCCAAGAAGCACTTGAAGCCAACAACAACATCAGTAATTCATACAAAGTGCAACCTTCAATGCAGCATGGTCCAGTATTGATTAAATGTGTAATGGAAAGCGACGGCAGGGCCTTCGCCTTGTTCAATCATGACACAGAATCTGAGAGAACGGTTACTGGGTACCCCGACAAATGTGGAGGATATAAGCACTCATTTGTGTACAGAGACGACATGGAAACAATAACTTTGGTCGTCAACAATTCAATTCATTGTGAACAACTGACCAAAGCCATCTGCAAAGGTGTGGTATTTGTTGGACAAGGCTGCTCTTGGCTGATTGGCCGAAATGCACAGAAGCTGTCCTATTGGGGTGGTGGACCAGCTAATGGAACGGGTTGTGCATGTGGAATAAGTAATTCTTGTATAAATCCTAGTAGAAAATGTAACTGTGATTACAATGATAATAATTCTGTCCAAATGGACACAGGGTACGTTGTTGAGAAAGATGCATTACCCTTGACTGGTATTGCTCTTGGAGACACCATGTCCAGGGATGTCGAAGTTGTTAAGTATACTGTTGGACCGTTAAGATGTATTTGGTAATCGAGCAAAATAAAATTCAGTTATTATTTGACTATCACTTTATTATCATAAATTCAAGACACAGTAATAAGTAGAAAACACAATATATAATTTTTTACCCTGGGGGGTATCAGAGCCTCATGATCGAGAGGCCTTCGCATAGGACCACATTCATTCAAAGAGGAATCTTCTGGCAAACTATAGTTTATAAAGCATAATTTATTCACCCAAAGAAAACAAAGAAATGCGTTCTTTTTTATAAATTGTTCGGACGAGGCCTTATCTGATGGAATGGCTTTGAAGATTAATTAGTTAAAAAACTTGCAACTTCCATCTTATTACTGCTAAAATTAATAGAAACTTCTAACTTTAAATATAAATGTGACTCGATGAAAATTTATGAATATCATTTTCTCAAATGGCGGGATCAAAATAACTTCCTATAGTATGATTAACTGAATAAGTAATCAAGAGAGAATAATTCAACTGTGGCCTGATGATTGTATTATGCGTGAAACTCAGAGTAGCAACTTCGAACCGTTCTGTTTCATAGTACAAAGCGTGAATATGACTCTAAATCAAAACACACACACTTTTTCTTCCATGTCAAAACCAGACATAACTTACAGAAAAGACATTATTCCTCAATTCTGCAAGACTGCTCTGATCATTAAAATTGTTTAGGCGTCTGCCCAAGTTTTACTAGGACAGCACAATACAGCACAAAAAGCAAGATATGCATGTATAGTATTCTATCCATCGTGGCAGGATGTGAAATGTTCTATCTGTTGTCTCTATTGTATTTTCTTATGTTTCTCGCTTCTCGAATCTGCGAGGCTTTGGTGCTAGTCACACTATACCTGATTGCTATCGGAGCGCAGTGACATTCATATCAGATAGGGGATTGAGTTAAACCACGCAGGACGAATCCGGTACACAACGCGCTGATCAGCGAAGTGCGAATCACTCCGCGCTGGAGACCCTTACTTTCAAGTTAGGGGTATGGAGCACAGGCTAAAACTGACTTGCAAGTACCATAATTACAAACTAATAATGGGCAGAAGGTGTTCGGATTTTGTGTAGCGTAAATTTGAAGTTAGGGATCTGGAACACAGGCTAGTCAGTTTCGGCACTTCTCAGGTTTGTAGTATTGTGTTCAGAACTTCTGATCATCAAATGCGAGAGATCTTCAGGAGTTCTATTTATAGACCTATATCCGATCGTTGTTACATATCTTTCACAGTTGGCCATTTCAACACTTTAATCAGAGCAGGGACGCCTGAACGACCAAGGGCAACGGGGCAGGCTTGAGGAAAAGGGCGCTTAAAAAATAATTCCCAGATTTTACTTATTCCTTCGTAACTGCCATTATATTTCGATCTTCTGTAGGAATCTTGAGCATTGGCTAACTTCAGCAATAGGAGTCATTTTACAGATTTTGAGAAACCAGATGAATCATATGAATCAGGATTTCATACGAATCTCTCTAATTATTAAAAACGGTTGTTTTCAAGGGCACTTTGATTAAAAGGGCACTCTGGTCCCCCTTGGCAAGACCGTGGCTTGGACATATCTAACTTGTTCATCCTACGCAAGGTGTTCAGCCATCGTGCAGGCGTTGGGCTAGCAGGGGCTATAGCCCCCCCCCCCCACTTTTTTGCAATAATAGGTTAGAAAACTTTTAGAAAGTTTAGCTGAACTGTGGAAAATTTACTCTAGCGGATCCTTATCCTGGGTACCAGACACACTAGATATAAAATAAAATAGAGACACTCTATTATTCTATATAGTGAGTCTGGTACCCAGGGTAGCGGATCCTAAGTAGTAGCAGTTCTTCTTGACTGGGTGCGCATTTTGTTTCATTTTCTTCGAGGCTTATCTTGCTAATCTTTTGTTTGCAAATATTTTTAAAAATGAGCATTTTCCGGTGTTCTAGAGGGCGTTGTCACAACAAATGTTCGCTCACACCCATCTCAGCCAACCCACTTTTAGACTGGTGCGCGGTGCTTGAAGGTGTTTCTCGACTCGCACACTGAGATACTTTATACTGCCAACTAGTTGAAGAAGACAGTCATCGATCATAAGTATAGGAGAAACTACGGTTTTTACTGATCTATTTCAGATTTGTTCTAAATATTATGACTTAAGCCTGGGTTTTAATTACATTTAAAGACAGTTTATTCGTTGTTAAGCGTCTGAATTAGGTCCTCGATGCTCTTTGAGGAATAGGATATGTTAGTATCATCGGCGTACACGTTACTGTGCAGATACTCAAGGCAAATGGCACATTATTTACATAGATTAAAAAGAATATGTGCCTGAGCAAGAGCCTTGCAGGACGCCTAACTGATGCTACAGATTCTAGATTCCGTCCCATCAACCTTATGCCTATTGTTAAGGTATGATTCATTTTAAGGGTCATTTTGCTCCCATTGAATACCGCGTTAGTGAGAAAAAATCAAAAAATAAATTTGCACTTTGCACTAAACATTGCAAAAGTGCGATGCATTGTGTACCAGAAATACAGAGTTACGAGCAGTCTTAGTGCAACTGTGTAAGAAGGAAGAACCGCAGGATAGGCTGTCCGCCGGATTCTGTGAATCTTGCAATGAGTAATAATACGAAAATTTTATTTACTCTGATGAAGCCCTGTATGCCGGGGCGAAATATTAGTATTCCTTAAATTTAATTTATTTTGAAAATTTTATCTCGTTACATTGGATTCTCGTCGTCGTATTGCTTTGTTCCTGAATATCTTTAGTGCAACTGCTACCCCAAATATCACTTTAGGGTTTTCTGCTCCGAGATCAATCCAGTATAGAGTAGCTAAGGAGGCAGGTAACCTATGGCCCGCAGGCCAAATCCGACCCATTCAGAGAGTCTTTAGTAGCCCTACATCTTTCAGAATTGTCTTACAGAATTACGTAATTCTACTTAAAGGCATTGAGTCATGGTAAATAGGCTTTCTCTATATGGGGTCATTTGGTTTCGGCATGATCGCTGCTGTTTCATGTGATATTGGCATCCGTTGTTGACAACTTGCTATTGATGGAAACTGTTATGTTAATCAGTACGAGATGAGTTCATGTGACCAGTTCAAGGTCAACCAATAGCATCGCAGTCATGGAAATCATGACTCAGCGGATTTTGGCACTTTGGGTATATCCAGTCTATTTATCATGACTCAATGCCTTTAAGTCTTACGTAATTTCGGTGACGTTCAAATCTCACAGCGTTAGCTGAAAGTCACGCGCACTTAATCTCTCTTGCCTTTTTTTGATATGTTCGTTTTGAAGAAAAGAAATATTTCTAACGCTCCATATTCAAATTCACGAAAGCGTGCTGGCTTTCTAGCGAGTTAATTATGTACATTCTGACAAGTATTTAGTTTTGTAATTTTATAAAAAAATATCTTTATATATTGAAGTTCTGGTCGGTTGGGGATCCCTCAGTGAACCATAGTAAAATATATTATTTTTCATACCGAGTCATTATTTTCATTTCTCATTTGTTTTTATTTAACGCATGACAAAAATACGGTTCTCTTATGACGGAATGACCGTATTATGAACAAACATATGGTATTTTTTAGCAAAATCCTGCGACAAGACACCATACACCGTAGCTCGACAGTACTGAGTTTTAATATAAGATTTTGAAAAAACAATGCAAAGAAAACAGAGCGCAGGCGGTGCCCCTCGGAAAATTCAAGTCCAAGCGGCATGCACTTGAGAATAAAAACAAGCTGAAGACAACAAATGAGAACAAAGCCTAAGAATGGCGAAGGGAAACACAAACGGTTTGCAGGTACTGCATTGTTGAAGTCAGAAATCACCCTGGAGCTAACATGGAGGATGAAATTGGCTATGTAAAACCAGCTGCAAGGAGAAAGCCAGACCCTGGGGCAAAAGCATCGGCAGGTCTGTCAAGACTGGCATTTAAGGACTCCAAAAAGAGACGGAAGGGCAAAGCGCCAAACATAAACCTTCGAAAATTGATGCTTTAAATTGTCCTTTTCGCAAGAACATCATCAATTATTTATGTTTGAATTGCTCGAAATAATAAACGTGAAATATGAACTGCGAAGAAAAATCTATTGCAGTTACAAAAAAGAAATTTTGAAATAATCCACAACCAAAGACACATCTTCAGTCCCTCATGTTTGCTCCGAAAGATCCGTCTGAAAAGTAAAGGATGACAAAGGATAAATTCTTATCCAGGGGCAAATCACTGCAAGATATATCATATTCTGCTGTAAAAATCTTCTGAAAATCTGAGAAAAGGAATCCCGATATGACGAACCCCGGACATAACGAACTTCCCGGTATAACGAACTAAATGTATGGTCCCTTGGATTCTGCCTAACAAACTCGTTATAAATTCTCTCTGTATAACGAACCCCAGTTTTAATGAACTCTTGTTATTACGAACCAATTTTTAGGCCCCTCTATCACAACTTTTTGTTCATTTATTTTCGGTGTTCATTTACCACTTTCTTGGGGGGAAATCATTTTTCAATCGGCAAAACATGCCAATGATACATTCCAAGCACTGGCTGATAGACTCAGTGTACGAGATAAAAGTTTGTTTGCGTCAGAAATTATTACAAATGGGTACTTGGACACTAACGAATACCCTGTTTCATATAAGACATTGGTAATAAGTGACGACAAAACTTTATTGAGAGACCCAGATGGAGAAGCAGAAAAAGACGAATAAGGATGTGAAGTAATAGAAGACATCATTCATGCACCTACTAGGAGCAAAGTAATACCAACTTTGCCAATCTCTTTGTCCTAAATTATAAAGGAAATATTAAGATTTTCGTTTTCAATGACCAGCCAGTTGTATCATTTGAAGTTAGATTGGTTTTTTAGAGTTAAATGTGCACAGAGGCTAGAGATAGCCTAAACAAGCCCACCGCAGGTTTTTTCAGGTGTGAACTGCGAAAGGACCCAAAAAAACCTTGTCTCTCAGTATAACGAACTCCCGACATAACCAACTATTTTCTGGTTCCCTTCAGAGTTCGTTATATCGGGGTTCCACTGTAGTCTAAGAAAATCCTCAAAAATTTCCAAACCTCTAAGGTTTTGCAAAAATGGTCCCAAAGCGTACAACTGAATTCAAACCATGACGTCATAAAGTAATAGTTTTAATGATTATTATGTTAGCAAAAAGTGAAGATGATCATGTTTCATCTTACAAAGGGTAATTTTGTTGCTAAAAGTAGTCTGGTTTCAGCCACATATCCTATGGCAATCTAAATCCTACCTGAAAATACACAATGAAAGATTTGAATAATGTTCGAAATCTTTAAAAATTTTAAAAACCAAAAAGATCTTCAAAATCTGAGGAAAGTCTTCAAAATCTTTATAAGGTGTGAAACCTTTTAGAATATCTCGTACACTTTATTGGAAGTGATTGGCCCCTCGATTCGTGTTATATTTATACTCTTAAATGGGGCATTGTAGATTTGTTATATTGCATAAATTATTGACATTTGTTTCTCTATTTATTAAGATCCATAAGACTCTTTTAGAGAGCCTTAACCTATTGTTAATGACCAATTTGTTCACTGAAATAGGTTTTATGTGGTCACTAATGAGGTATTGATCATTTTTTTACTTTTATCAGCTAAAATTTATCATTAAAATTTCACTTGTTCGCTTCGATTAATTCTGTTATTACACTGGAACTGCTACAAGTCTATCTTTTTATTTATCTTTTTATTTTATTTTATTTATTTTACTGACTGCCCGAGGATGTGCCTGCAAGCAGGGTCTCATTTTCGGCTAAATATTCTTAGACTGGATTGTACTTTTTGTCTATTGTTACTGCATTGTTCTAACAGTATTCGAAAACTTTCATACAAAAATTCATACATTCACTAACATACTGTGACATCATTGTGAGTGTTTGCATCGCAAAAAAATTACGATGAATATTTTGGGAATACATCCCAAGTCCCGAATTGATCCCAAATCCACGATCAGTGTCCACGAACCTGTGCTTGGTTGATGCTGTGGAGGAGACGTGGGTGATTCCATGGTAATCTCGGCCTCTTGTCAGTTTGGGAAGCATGTAAACATTGAGCGCCTGAAAGACCTTGTTGGAAACACATCAAATGTGCCAAATAAACTTGTTTTAATAAGTGCAGATAAAAACAGCCGCTGATTGTTTTAAAGTAATGGTGGAGAGATATGGTTTTGGGATGTTCGTGAATCAAGATGATCGATAAAGTAAGAAACAGCGTGCCAAGAAAGAAATGAGAAATGTTTGAGACGTAGAATGTGCACAGGATTAACGTAAACACTATTATCAGAGATTACCCAATTCCTGACTATGGTGAAAAAATACAAAAGTACAGTTGAGAGCAATGCGAATACTCTTCCTGATGTCAACGAAAGATCACAAATTGACGGAGAATCTGTGGAGCTATCCTCCAAAAAAGATGTTAAAGAAGAGAAACTCCAAGGAGCAGATAATTTGCAGAGCGATGGCTCTAGATCTGTGATTATTGTTAAACCCAATAATCAAAGTAAGAAGAGCAAATGGTATCACAAAATAAGGCTATCTAGAAAAGGAAAACAAGGCAACGACCATGAATTCGAGAAAGGAGATGAGCAAAACCAAGAATTTGAGCAAAGAAGAAGTGAAAAGGACGATGAAACTATGAGCGATGGTTTAATGCTATTGGAAGAAACTGTAACCAAGTCATATGAAGGGAGTCATGCGACAACCGGGCAGGAAGAAAATAACCACAAAGAAATAGAATTGGAAAAAGTACAAAACAAAAATTTCAAAACAATGGAAGCGTTGGGAATGTATGGGCTACTCACACCAGCTATTGCTGCAGTGCCAACAACTGATGAAGTTTGTTGTTGTTTGTACCACATTTTTCAATTAAATACAAAAGTAAAGCTAGAGCAGCAATATGTATTTACATATTTTAGTAGAGATTCTCAGGGATAAGAGTTGTAATGTGTAGTTATCTGCTCTTTTAATTTACTTTTGACCTGGTCTGTAATTTGAATTAGTACCAAATTTTCTTAGAAGCTAGAAGTATTTCAAAGATAGATGCTTCTTTGCTGCAGCTTAGAATGTGAATTTCCTTCCTTGTGTAGCATTAATTAACATAGTGCGAAGTTTAACTGCAAACCTGTAAGTTTTTTTATTCTGAGCAGGTGACAACTGGTGTCACACAATCATTTAGTTTGGTTAATTAATCAATGCTAGGTTAAGATTTACACTTCATATTGTAATGAATGCTGAAAATGTAAACAGAGGTTGGAAAAATTAACAAATATATATATACTGTATCAAGCTTATTTTGTTTGTTACTAGAGTAATCTGGAAAAGTTGATTTATTTTAGGTCATAATTTATGGTAGAATTTGTGAGATAATAATTGCAATAGTAAATTTGCTTTTTCAATTTATCAGTTTGATTCAGTTCACAAGCAAATTAAAGCCCAGCTTGGAGATGATTGGGAGCTCAAGCTGGCAGCAGATCACATTGATGATGCATTGAAAGGAAGGTTTGTATATTTTTGTCTCATTTTCTATCCATATGAAGAATTTTAGGCAGATTTAGGCTTTTAGGCTGACTCTCTTTCAAGCTTTTTTCAAGCAAGGAGCTTCAATGAAAATTTGATTTTTTCAAAAGTCTTCTTTGATCTATGACTGTTATCATCCCCTTCCTGAAGAATGCTCTTAAGTTCCTACAGAAGGGCCACATAGTGAAAGGATGGAGATACTAGGCTAAATCAATATATTAGGACAGAAGGAGGATTAAATACATTTTCCAATATCATTAGATTAGGATATGGGTAGTTTATGAACTGGAGAGGTGGTGAAGCTAATTTTGCTTGTTAGAGCTGCTCGTTTAGAAAAGTTTTTGTAATGCATGGTTTTTAACAAAGCAGAAACCACAACTGGGATTATAAATTTTCGAATTCTTTCAAAAACATCTGTCTTATTCAGTTGAATCCAGTTGTTTCTTAAAATGAATATTGTCTGGAGGTCAGGGAATTTCTGCTGAATATGCCAAGTACTTTATTTCATACTTCTTTATTACCTACTTTTGTCCTAATATTGGTTCAAAGTTGGTTGGCTTCAGGCAACATTTACTCCATTTCCCCATAATGACCAGTACTAACTAGAATTTGACTGAAAAAATGAGATTTTAGTTCAATTTTTGACATGGAAAAAACTTGAGAGTTTACCTCTTTCATCCTCTTTTTGAAGAACTTGCTAAAGTTTTGGGTGTTTCTCTTCCCAAGAAAATTTTTCTAAATTTGTGCATTTGTGCCCTGGAAAAATTACTGTATTTCTTTTTCTATGATCAATTTTGTCTGACAGTTATATTGATCCTATTGTAAACCCCGAAGTTGTTAAAATATTATCTGAGAATGTTTTCTTTGATTCAGATGAGTAATGATAGTAATCATACAGGGTCTTAAGTGTACCCTACTGGAACGTCGATGCAATGTCTGCAACAGCGATAAACCTCCGATAACATTCGTCCAGCAAAACAATCACATTCAAGAAGTTGGCTGGGCTACGTTATTTTCTTGATTTATCAATGAGTTGAATCGTTTTTAGAGAGAATTGAAAAAAGTGGCACAGTGAAACTTTTTATGGCATAGAATGGCTTTTTCCCTTCAACGAGCCACAGTTTTCATTTAATCTCTATCTATTTGAAGGGATTAAAGTTTTTGGAATGATTCTTTTTCTATGGTATATAACTAGTTGCATTGAAGATTTTCCACTTGAGTGGATGAGAGTGAACAGTTACACAAGTGTAAAATTTCAGAGATTGGCCAAAAACAATAAGTTGCTATTTATATCTAAATGCAATTTTGAATAATTTAATTATTTTTTTCTGTTGATTTGTCTAACTGGCAGTATATAGAGATTGATCCTATTGTAAACCCCGAAGTTAAAATCTTATCTATTCTTTTGAGAAGTTAATTTTAATCTTAGTTTTTTCCAAATATTGCCTCTGGAAATAGCCGTTTTAGAGAAAGAAAAAATTTAACTGCAAGAAAGTTGCCAGGGTTTCTGGTTGGAAAGGAGATAAATTAATATTTAAGAAATGAAGTAACAGTTACAGCCAAGAAGTGAGTCCTTAGTAGAGGCTGTCGAATGATCATATTTGAAGGATGCCAAATGAAATTCTGAAGGCTTTGCTTTTAAAGTTTTTGCCTTGGACAAGCTTCAAGACTACACAGTTAATGTATACTTTGTACTTCATTTAAAATAACGAGCAAGGAGAGAAATGGATCATGCCGAAAATCCTGCTCCGTGACATTCAAGTCACAATTATGATACAATTATAATACTAATACAGATAGACTGACAACATCAAGAGCCTGGTGGGTGTCGCCTTAGCTGACTGCATTCGCCAAGCACAAGACAGAAGATGATGTATTAGTCTGATAGAAAGAGGCACAAGCAGTCAACCTCCTGTCTGAATGAATGATGATGATGATGCCTAGGCATAAAAGAAACAGAATCTGTAACCCCCCTCCCCCAAACAGGCAAAATCTATCCTGTTTCAGGCTCCATTCGAGCAATTATATCTCAATCAAGCAGTAATATTCGGGCAAGACCCATACTAAACCCCCCCCCCTAGAAGTTTAGCATCCGCTACGCCATAATAATGCGGCAGAGTACTGTTTCATGTGAACAGGAGAACTTTGCATGCTCAATGGCAAAAGAAGGAAATAAATAAGAACCCGGTGATTGAGCTGCGTTTTAGTTGCTATATACTGATTTCATTAGTTATGATTTTCATGCTACAGGGGTAAACATGGAAAAGCCAGATCGCACTTCCGGCCGAAATTCGCTCAAAGGTTTGTCCCTAACTCAACTTTATCTATAATGAAAAATATCGATGCGTTCGTTACGAATCGTTTGCAGAGAGATGCTTGTAACCATAGCTGCAAGTAATTTTTAAAGAAATCAGTTAATCATTCTAGGGATGAAGCATTTTGGAGTGACTAAATTTATCAGTTTCTAATTTGTAGTTGTCCACTCTCTGAAAATCATTTGGATTGGAAGAATATTGTTTCAATGACGAGACGTCGTTAATGGTCACTAGCAGTTTCCTCGTAATCTCATCGTTCTTTGCTCGTTCATAGGTGTTTCAGAATCTTAGACAACGTCTGGTATCAGCGGTTTTTCCTTCTGGCAATTCTTGTGCATGCTCTTTTGATATTTGTAGAGCCACCTTCCTCTGGTGCTGCAAGGTATGTCGGAACTCATATTGTAGCCTTTTTGACACACCCCTTTATTAGCCCTTTAAAATCCAAAGAGGAAAAGGTTTGTTTTCATTCAATGATCAGTGGTCATTGTTTTCGTATGTTTATCTTAAAAATGTTGAGATTTGTGAGAACTGGAAGATTTCGCTCAAGCTTCTGCTGATGCTATATCAATACAAGAGTCTTTTCCAGCACAGTCGCTGTAACTAGACACAGAAACTGGTTTAAGTTGTCCAAGCAGTTTACTCGTTTTTTAGAGTGTGTCAGGACGAGAATGGAGTGGTTGATGAAATTAGTTTTGTTGTTTCTTTCAAGCATAACGTCCTTGATAGAAGTAAAAATATTATTCTGATTTTGTAGTCATCGTGCGCTACTAAGAAAAGAACAATTTAGCAGTTGATTGATTTTGATTCAATTTTTTAGCATGCATTTCATGGTGTTTGCAACATTGGTAGTGTGCCTCATGATATACACCATTGATCTGGTAATGCGAATACAGTTTCATAGTTGGAAAATCTTTTGGGCAAATGAAACCGAGGAAGGTTATTGGAACGGGTAAGTCTTCTTTCCTTTTGAAAGAGTACAGAAAAAGCTTATTCGATGCGACTTCGGAATCTTAGAGAGTAGAAACAGCACTGCAGAACAGCGGTAGTGTTGTTTTCTCGATGGAATTTAGACGATAATGTTGCAACCATCTTTGTTCATCTTTACGGCCCTTTACGGCCCTTTACGTCCCTTTACGGCCCTTTACGTCTGTTGCTTTTATGTTAGCTGTTCTCAGATGAGTATCTGCGGTGTTTTGTAAACATATTTCCCAAAATAAAACCTGTGTTATGGTTATGCTCATTATGTTTTGTAATTTTTGGAGGTATTTTACTCTACTCTACAAGCAATTTAGACATTTCAATATCTGCATTTTTTTTGACAGCTGCATTTTCTCTTTCAGAGTTCAGTTTTTGTTGGTCTGTTTATTTTGGATTGATTTTATTATTCTCTGCACATCAGTGATTGTAAATAGCGTAAGTGAAATTTTTCGGTTTCATTTATATTCGGCATCCTTTGATTTACTCCTCATTAAACTGTGCTCTTTTCAATATCATTACCTTTGCCAATGCATCATGTTGTTTAAAATTCTTTTTCTCTTTACATCATTAAGCCGTACCTCAATGACCATTGAAAATATTGCCTGAATAAGAGTCACTTGCCTGTTTTATATACATAAATGCCGAAGACTGCTATATATGTTATAATGCTAACGGCGTGTTCTGTTTGAGTCCTTTCACACACCCTTATATGTTCAGCAATCGCTGAAGTTTTTTCTAAACGTTTGGACATCCTTATCTTATTTTAAGATGAGCCTGAATTTAGCAATGTCTGCTGTAATTTCGGATTTTCTTCGTGGGATCTCCCTCCTACTCTCCATTTTAACGGGATCCAAATTGCTAACTTGTTTTTAGACAAAGCCTCTCAAAATCATAATACTAGTAGTAAATGTGTGTTTAGTTCTAACCTTTTGTAACACTTACTAGTATGTGTTAAGTGTTATCTGTTTGAACAACTCAAGTCCTCAACTTCTTGAGATTTCTTTAAATGTCACCTTTCTGTCAAATTCAAGTCTTTTTATTATCTTTCAGTACTATCCACAACCATTTAGATGCCTTCGCTTGGTGATGTTGTTGTGCAGAGTTCGAAGCATCCGACATATTTTTGAGGTAAATATGCCCATATCTTCTTTCATGTATAAACGTGTCCAGTTAATGACTCTCTAGGCTCACCTATAAGACTGTCTTTGACTTTTCAAAATGTAATGTCAAGCTTTGTATGAATGCTGTAGCTGAAGCCGAATTTTTTCACTGAAACTGTGCCGTCCCGATATTGATCGAATCAGCTGATTTCACCATTTAGCTGCATCTCTCTGAATATATCCTTAAATGTGGACGTAATTCCTTTATTCATCAGCAATATAAACAAGGAAGGTGTGCATGATTTCTTAGGGTTTCAGAGGTTAAAATAAGGCACGAGAAAGATGTCTGACAGTTCTATATGATAAACTATCCATGCTTGCAAAGTGAAAATATTAGTTAATAGGCTGAAATCTTACCTTAATATCATAATGCAATATTGCAATATCATAATATCATGGCATATTGCAAATCTCGTTTTGTATGTCTTCTATGTTGTTAACTTTTGCTTCCTTTTTTAGGTTCTGGCCATCATTGGGACAAGTCTATTAAAAGTGAGAGAATGTTTTCTTCGATTCAGATGAGTAATGAAAATAATCATACGCGGTCTTAAGTGTACCCTACTGGAACGTCGATGCAATGTCTGCAACAGCGATAAACCTCTGATATCAATCGTCCAGCAAAACAATCACATTCAAGAAGTTGGCCGGGCTAGGTTATTCATAAAAGAGTTAAATCGCTCTTTTTTAGAGAGAATTTAAAAAAGTGGCGCAGTGAAACTCTTTTGGCATAGAATGGATTTTTCCCTTTAACGAGCCATAGTTTTCATTCAATCTCTATCGTCAACATGTTTGGAGGGATTAAAATTTTTGGAATGTTTCTTTTTCTTTGGTATATAACTTGTTGCATTTAATATTTTCCATTTGAGTGAATGAGAGTCATAAAGAATGAAAGTCATGAATGCCTTTTTTTATCTAGCCTATAATTCGTTTGAAATTAAATGGAATTGCAAGTGGCACCCAATCTTGGAAAATATAGTGGACGTAAATTTTGCGAATTTTTTTTATCTGTCAATAATCTTTTCTGCTTTACTTTTGTTACTGAATTTTATATATAACTATAACAACAGTAACTCACGTTGTTTTAACTTGTTAACTGTTTTCCTTTTTAGGTTTTATTTATTATATTGATATTTATTATAACTTTTGCATGCATTGGGGTGCACTTATACATGGATACATACAATGAAAGTTTTACCAAAACAAGCAACATCTCACAAAGGTTTGCAGCTTCTTTTAATACAATTCTTTTATCCAACGGCTCTCATTTTCAATGTTTTTGTGTAAGGATATTCAGTTAGATGTTACTTGCTACAAAATGCAAAGCATTATCCTGTAATATTTTATCAGTCTCTGCTCTTGCAATGTAATGATGAAGTTTTGCAATGTGAAGTGCTTTGTCTAGTTTGAGTGTAAATAGGTTTTTTCGACCACTTTTCGTATAGCCGTAACGAATTTCATCAGCTGTTTTTGCCATATCTTTTGTTTAAAGTACTGATTTTATCTTGAATAGTGAGTACTGTTGCGTGAATTCTGAAGAGGAAGCCACTTATAAAGGGTGCGTTACACTTTACTTAGATATGAATACTTAATCACTTAGATATCTTATTCAAACTTCAGTAAAGCCCCCTACGTGTGTGCCTTTCATGCTGCTAATGCTCTTTAAGGTGCCGCAAAGTGTAATTTTGCAGCGTTAAAAGGGTGGCCCCTGTGAGGAATGAGTACAATCATAAAAGTTAAAAAAATCGAATATTTTGATGTCAGACCAATAAATGGAACTGAAAAGTAGGAAAAAATGTCATTAGTTCTTATTTAGAAAATAATGAAGGAAATTTATTTGTTATTTTGAAAGCCCACCGATGTATAACGAGATTTTTCTAGCGTTTGTAAATTTCGGTAAGAAAAAATTTTGGTTTGAAAATAATTCGGTGGGAATAGTTTTCAGTTGCCCTGCTTCACCGAAAAAATCCCACCAAAATTTTTGGTACTTAGTGTCTCTGCTTGATATTATATTGACGGCATATGTACAGATAAGAGTGAACTGACGCGCAAGTTAATCTAGCAAATGGCCATTGTAAAGTAGCTGTTGTCAAAGTCATCGGTAGAAACGTAGTTTTCATTTTTTACTTAATGATAACAACCTACCGTTCACATACAAGTTTCCAAGCTACATCGAACTTACACATATTGCCTAAAATTACGGCCCTTGAATTTTCGAACTGATAATAAATTATTTTAGAATTGAAAATTGGATTTGATTTATCGATAAGCTCTTTCTATATTTTTAATGGTAGGCCGGATTTGGTTCCTCTATTCCTTAATTCGCGTAGCAGTTTTGCGGCTTTTTTTTTATTATGAATTTTCATTCATACGTTGTCTTGTAATTATGTATTAAGTATTAAAATTTTCGGTCTTTTTAGGGCATTTGATAACGTTGGCATTGCCATACTGCGACTCTTCGTACTTCTGTCAACAGAGAATTATCCTGTAAGCAAAGTATTTTCATACATTATAAGCCAGCTTCTTGCAAGATATCTGTGCTTTGTTTTCTGACAGCAAAAAACGTTTTAAACTTTTTAAGTCTTGATATGTTTTTTTGTGCTTCGCTTTTGGTTTTAGTCATTTCTTTAAAGCAAACAGAATACCGTAATTGCATGAAATAATCTCCCCCCGTTTAGTGTTTTACCATTCCTTGAAGCTCGAGCCCGTACAGAGCAGATTTGAAAAGAATTCTCCAGCACGCAGATATTTAGCATAAAGAAATTTAAGACATTGCAAACGTTTCTTTATTTAGATATTACCATAATAATTCCTCGGTGCTAATTTGCAATTAAAAAAGCTGTTCAAAAAGGCTTGCGTGATCGCTTTGTTTACTTTAGATTGATGATACTATTTGCTCAGAAGTTGTTTTTCACTAATTAATATTTTTGTTATCAATTTTTTATGCTTTATTGTGATAGGAAATCATGCTTCCTGCATTACGGAAGAACAAGTTAAACTTTTTTTATTTTGGTGAGTTAATGTTTATTTATAAACGACATGTCAAATATTTTTTCCCCATTGTTCTTTTATAGAACCTTCGTTGTTATTCTTTATTCTACGCACGTAAATAGGGAAAGTCACGATCAAAAACTGTAAACAAGGTCACCTGTATATGTTTTTCTAGCAGAGCCAAGGTAGGCTTGTACCCAATGAGTTTCTTGAAGCAATTCAGACAACCACGTAGCTGAAGATGTCAGCTAGGGTGGGAAAACTCGATAAAGAACCATACCTGAGGAGGGGGGGAGCAGGCTTTAAAACAAGACAGCAGATATATAACAAACAGATATATTCGGACTAAATTAAGCTCTGGGAATTATAATTATGCCAGCTTTTCGAAATATCATTTGGAAAAAGTGTGGCCAGAAGGGGGCAAGTTGTTGTCAACAGCCCCCCGTGCCGAATTCAAAGTTTGGTTCTTATTAAATTGGCGCTTTTGAATTGCCTTCAAAGTAGTCTGCTATGTCGTAAGTTGTAGTGTCGCTGTTTGTTTCATGATTTGCCTAATTTTTATGCTTGTGTTGCTTTTTTGATTTCTACAATGAAATATGTAAGTTAGGATCATTTGTCTAAGAATCAATCTTAGAAATATGGATAGAAATAAAGTGCCTATAAGACACAGGTTTGAACTAAATACAATCTTGTATGAGGGTTCTACTGTGTAAGTATCAAACTCAGAATCCGATAGGGGCTGCAATGGAAAAAAGGGGGAATGCAGAGGAAAAGTATATTTGGTAAACTGTCAAGACCTCGAGGGGTTTTATTACCTGAAAACAGGTAAATATGTATTGCTTATGAGTATTTTAGGGAATGAAAATATAAGTTTTGTATAAACGTAATATATGGCTTTTATAGCATTGATATATACTGCCTATGATATTAATTATTACGAAACACAATAAATGATTAATACATATGCCAGATATTTGCGCTTAGCGTAAAATTCGGAGTTGCAAGTTTTAACCACCCTATTGTACACATAAAATCGTATTAGCTACACATAATTTATGCATATAATGAGTACATGTTTTAAGATAAATTATCATGATAAATGGTTATTAATCTTGTAGGGGTGTTTGTTTTCTTTGGTGGATTCTTCCTAACAGCCATTCTACTTGCAATTGTTGTTGATAGTTATTGGTAAGTCGAACCGCTAACGGCCGTTTTTATTCAGTAACTGTTAATCAGTTTGTTGCCATTCCTTTGGCAGGCTGCCTCTTTCTAATGCCAGTATTGCACAAGAAGATGATGCTTTGACTCTTTGCTCGAAGTTTTTTTTATATCAAGACAGAACTGGTATAAGCATCAATTTCAAATTTCACTTTCAGGGTCTTTGCGAAAAAGACGATAAAAAAGGAAAGAGCAAGAGAAAGAACTGAATTAGCAAAAGCGTGGAATATCCTTGACCCGTTTGGCCTAGGTATGATTTTCAAAGGAACTTGACTTTTGATGATACAATCTACATTTTGCATATAATGGCGAAAATAGACGAATAAACCTGTTTCAATGTTGAGGATAATTGTGAACTTGAATTGTAGAAACGTTGCTACACGGCAGCTCAGCCCGTTTACAGAACTGTAAAACAGAATGTGGCAAGTTAAATATAATGTATAGTATACTTGCAAGCACTGGTATTTTCACCCATTATCTTCGTTCAACTGTCTATTGCAAACCTGTATTAAAGAGGGGATTCCCAAGTGTTTCGTTTTCGTTCAATTAAAGATTCTTGCGGTTATTTCCTTTTTGTCTGTGTTGTAATGATCTTTCTGGAAAACGGCAATAAGATGAAATTCTCAAAGTATCGTGAAAAGACTACAAATTGCATATTATCATGAAACCACCACAATCTGTGCTTCTCCATATTAGCATAAAACCAAATGATGCTGTTCACTTTATTTCCTTTCCATGATGTTATAATTTTGTGATTTAGTTGTTGATTATGTTTACATTATGCTTGCTTAGCCTATGTAGTACATTCTCCTTGAACTTTTATTCTGGATATTGATTGGCAGGTGCCTTATCAGTTGATGATAGCAAGTTTATGGACCTTTTTCGACTGCTGAAACCAAAGGTTTGCTGAATAAATCACATTTATGCTTGATTTTTTAAAACCCCTCAAATTCCCTGAATTTCAAAATTAATTTTGCTGATCTCATTCTAACTGGGTTGGCTTATCATTTTTTTTGCTTTGTAATAACAATATTTATCAAAGTTGTTCATCAGTTTCAGTGGTAATGTGAACGGTACGCTACAATCGCCCAATTAGACTACAAGTAGCTTGCTAATCCATGTTTGCTATGACTTGACAAGTTTCTTCATTTTTTTGAAATATTGCACCTGTTTTATAAAATTTTGCTGCACGACTTTTCACAAGTAAGATTAAGAAAAAATCCTTATATTGTTTTACTTTTCTTTTAAAGGGACATATGTTTCTCAGTTACATTTTTTTGAGATTGAAAACATTTATCACGACAATGTTATGCTACTGGTGTATTTTGTATGTCTTGGTAAAATAAATGGTTTGCAATGCAAAGTTTCTCAAATGTTTTATGGAATATGAACGGTATATTCGGAGTGTCTTACTTGTCCTATGCTTACTTGTTTTTCTGCCAAATTTGTTAAACAGATTAGAGGGAGCTAGGTCACGATGTATAATAAGCAATTAAATATTTACTTTTATATCATTTATAATTACTGGAAATTTTGCCCCTATCTTTCTGAAACAGAAGCCTGTCTGCCAAAATTGATTCTTTCTTGCACTCTTTTCTTTTTACAGAATTCGGATGAACAAAACATCATGTTAATACATTTATTGGACAGCCAAGGCGATGGTGAAATAGATTCGTTTGAATGGACAACAACCTTACGCGAGGTTTTAACCCTAAGTTGATTTTAGTTCACTAAGTTTTAGTCACTAAGTTTAAACCCTCAGATTTGTTATCAAGATTTTCTGAAAGAGTTTTCTATCTATGATATGTCTGCAAGATCTATATAAATTTGATACAGTACCTTTATGAATATTTTTTATTCTACCTTTTTAATCAACGAATTTTATCATGTAGGCATTAAATGCTGAATTTGAAGAAGATGAAGATTTTTCAAAAGAGGTGTAGTATTGTTAATTATTCTTTGCATGGTTCCTTTGAATATTCTATGTATGGTTTCTTTTTATATATATTTACGCAGTAATGTCACTAGCAATTATTGTTATGAGGTTTGTTTCATAATTCTACCCTCAAGATTTCACTTTCCTCCCTTTTGCTTTGCATTTATGTTTTCTTGCATTTTAGGTCCTCAAAAGTAAATTTTGTGTGAAAGTTAGGGATAAAGCAGAAGTACTAGTTGAGGTGACTAGTTTGACTCTTAAAGTATATCTCCCAAGCAAGGGTGCTCCATTTCTCGGCTTATTGCGAATAAAAAATATTACCACTAGCCTTGTTTGCATTTCACTTCCAAATTTTAACCAAGGATGAAAACCTCATGCCTTTCACTTTATTCAACTGCTGCTGCCGTTTAGAATATAAAGCGTATTTAGAAATGATAAAACTTTTTCCAAGACTCTTTATTCTCTAAGGTTATGACACCCAGGTCTATGTCACTATTGTCATTTCTTGGTAGAAGGTGGTATATATTTATAACAAAAACAGATTTATTTTTCATCATTTTATGAAAGAAATAGGATTTGAAATAGGAAATAAACATTAAAATGAATGAATGAATTTTATTAAATAAACATTTTAGTCTTCCATGAAGAATCGATTTTAAATTTAATTGTCACTTTCTTTATTTTGTAGTCCGGAGCCTTTTCAAAGTTTATTGTTTGCTTGATCTTGCTACACGGGTAGGTTATCGTGTGAGTTTTTTTGCTAATGTTTAGTGGCTATGTTTAAAGACAATTTCAACATAGATAGGTTTCAAGCAACTGTGAATTGAAATATGAATGCTCGCGAGAAGTTCACGGTAACCTGTGTTACACTTATCTAAAAAGCAACTCTTGTTAAATATAATTATGCTTTGTCAAAAACCGTTTTGTTGTTGTTTATATACCCAATGGGAACACATCTCCAAGAATGTTTTTCTGTACCGGTCTTGGTATATCAGCTCGGTTTCCTTTCTCTACATTTTATTTTACTTGGCCATTGTTATTGATGTGATATTTTGATCTTTACGAAACGATTCTCCCTTTTTTACTTTTATTGGTGCGTTAGAACCTTATATTTGCTCAATTTTTGTTTGTTGTTATTGCAGAGCTCTGTTTTGCTTAAAATGGAAAGGGCAGCCTGATAAATGTGAAACTGCAATTCATGGTTTGTGAAAATTTCGTATAAGGATCGGCTTACAATGACCCGATAGCATAGTCTTAGCTATCACGTTTCATTCTTATATCTTCGTCGCTTTTCTGTTATATATATATTGACGGCACACGGCGATTACTTAATTGACGTTATAACCTGTCACACTAACTTTCTTTGGTTCGAATTTGAATGCAGACTCTGTGCAAATGCGAAGGAGAATTCTTTCTGGTTTCTCCTACGCAAGGGTCTGCACTGGTCTTTCCAAATAAAAAATGCACCCCGTTGAAATAATTACGTGTGTCCATTTCTACTGAAAACAGTTTTTGAACCTGAAGGAAGCATACTTTAATTTTTAAATTTTTAAGTTATAATGCTTCAAAAAGGTTGAACAATGATATTAGAAAGTAATTTTTATCAGAATCGATTGAAAATCGAATAGGCTACGACTGATACCTATGTTGAATTTAGAGAAGTCGTTTTTACCCATACAGCCCCTGGAGACGTACAAATAATAGCATTGGAATGTATGTATTAGTCATCCGTTCAATTGTTTTCCCATTGATAATTTGTCCCATGGGTAATCTCTGTCGGTAACATATCTTTATTTATTTCTAGGAATCCGCACAGGACTAACAGTAATATTCTTGGTAAGTTTGATTAATTGGATGCTGAAATGTTTTCCTTTCAACCAACCCTAAAATGTTTTGAATACAAAGTAGATTTAAGTTCATAGTGAAGAAGAAATCGATGTAACCCAATGAGCTATAGGCTGCCACAAATGCAACAGCACTCAAACAAAATAGATATTTGTTCGGTATGAATCTTTTCAGTGAGGGAGTGCTAGTTTTCAAAATTCCCGTACATCGTACAATAAGTTTTATCCTCATTGGGTCAACCCAAATCTTTGCTAATATTGTATCTATTTTAGTTTGAGATCATCGTTCGAGTTGCCGCACTTGGAAAAAGGATCCTCAGGCCACTCGAAATAATTGACATTTCATCGGTAACGAAATCTGGACTTTGAAATTATTTTTTCCCCTTAAAAACTATTCTATCGCCGTGTTACTAGATTTCATTCTATTATTATCGTCATCTATCTTATGATAATACGTGGAACTCGTCACTCTTAAGATTTGTTGGTTGTCAGTAGATGGAATGAAAATTTAACGTGGTTTAGAAAGCCAACACCCAAAGCGATTTAGAATGATTTGTTATCAGAATTACTTCGTTATCATCAATGCTTGTCAACTAATATCGACATAGACATGCTAACTACTTGGAACAGTAAAACTTGAAAAGTGTTTATTTAGGATTATATCACTAATGGTTAATGTTTCTTATGCAATATAGATGTTTGTTATTATAGTTTAACTGGAATCAAAAATATAAAGTTTTCATCATATATAATTATATTTGTATTTTATTATATTACAATTCTGTTTAAATCCCTATTTCCTATTCTTTCAGGCCTACGTAAAAAGGAAGTTAACTTTTGATTTTAATGCGATAATAAATGTTTATGCACCCATTTTTTGGTTTTACTTTGATTATGTCAAGGCTTTAATTCTGAATGAGCCAAAGAACCTTTTTGTGCCTATTACTTTTTCAAATTCTATTCAAACCATCACCGAATGTTTTCATTGGTTAAATCTCTTTCTACTGACAGGTTTTCGTGGCACTAACTTTTAACTGCATTTACTATGGAGACATGAATAACACTGACTTTAAAGAAACTTGTGTCACAATCTCAAGCTTAGCCATTATAATCAGATGGTTGCTGAACTCGTCTGGAACAAGAAAGGCCTTCCGATGGTTTTTGACCATAGTTCCTGTCATGTTTGATCTAGTTGTTCTGCTTTTCGTTATACTGTAAGTTCTTTTATTGCTAGCTTTTAATTCTATCCTCTTAACTCTTTATAATAAAAATATACATTCAGGACGTTTCAAGCTATTATAGACCATTTTTGTATTATGGGTAAAAGACTGGACATAAAGTGTTGATAAAGAGGCATTTTAAAAAAAGCATTTTAATTTCCTGAATTATAGGATGGCATGAAAAATAATCATTATTCTAACAATCTTTTGGTGATACAGAACTTGAAAATGACTTTGAAAAATGCAAACATTTGAGTAAACAAAAGCTTTTCGTCTGACACTCTTCAGAGTTTAAAACGTCAGAACATAGATCGAAAACTCTACCCTAGGAAATGTATATACCCAGTTGTGGATCCAAAAAGGCCAACCAGAAACGCGGGCATATGACTGTTGAGGTTGACCAATCAGTGCCGCTTGCCTATTGTGAATGCTACCAATGGAGTCCTAAGGTGAAAACGAACTCCTTTTGTCTACACAATAGCGACGAAAAAACCGATTAGACAAGTTCGTTTTCACCCTAGGACTCCATTGGTAACATTCTCAATAGGCAAGCGTCACCGATTGGGCAATCTCATCAGTCATGTGCTCGCTTTTCTGATTGACTTATTCCGATCCACAACTGGGTATCTATATTTCCTAGCGTAGAGTTTGCGATCTATTATCTGACGTTTTAAACTCTGAAGAGTGTCAGAAGAAAAGCTTTAGTATACTAAAATGCTTGCTTTTTCAAAGCCATAATCATAATTCTGCAAACAAAACTTCGAATAATGGCCAAAACGGAATTTCATATTCAAAAAACATGATTAGCTCATTTTATTACCTTTTTCAATAATTTTGTCTTTTCAAAGATTCAGTTTAAGGCGTCCAAGAAAATGTTACAATAGTTTAACACAGACATTTAACAGAAGGATGTTCTTTAGTAATTGCTGTAGTTTGATAATTTGCCAAATAATTAAATTCTTTGCAAGGAGAAGTTACAAAGAGTACAACATCTTTTGCCTATTGTATCGTTTTTGAATAAATTTTTGCCGTGGCAAAGTCAGTATTTTTTTACCGAAAATTTCGTAATCAACTTTTTACCATCAACCTTTAACTATTTCATTATTTTTATATGGTTTGTAGCCATCTGTTGGCAACAATTGCCATGGAAATATTCCACTCTCATGGCCTCCCTAAACAGAATCAAATCTATCCGGACTCCTGTGCACTTGGCTTTAAAGATTTCTGGTGAGGCAAATTCTAAATTCATGTTTTATATTATTATTCGTCTTTGGTAACTCACCAATCATATCTAAAAAACATGGATTTCACTGCATTGAATTTTCTGCTTGATATCTGTGTGCTTTAAAGACCTATGAATATATTTTTAATACCATAATCATGACTGATTTTAACTGGGTTTTTTCCTTTCAAGGTGCTCATTTCTTATCATGTTTCAAACACTGACAACGAGCAATTGGCATGAAATTATGAATTTGGTAAGGGCAGAGTTCGTCTCTGTATTTTTAATGTCTGCTCTAGCTGAAAGTAATTATTGACACACTTTAATTTGAACTTCAAAAACTTTAAAACTTCAATGAACTTATAATGATGAACTTCTGACTTTACCGCGCGGGTTTTTTGCAGGCCCATTCAGAGACGAAAAGCGTCGTTGCATATTTCTTCTTCCCCTTGAGCTACTTGATTATTACAATGATTGTCATGAAGTAAGGAGACTAATGATATCTTTTCACTCATTTAATCTTATATGTTTGTATCTGATCTGCTTTATGCATCATTTTTTTCAAGCCATTTACGAATGTTGCTCTTGATTGTTACTGTTGTGCTCTTAGTCTAAATCCTCTCTTCATGTAGATGTGACGTGAACAAGATAAAGATATCTATTTTATTGCATTAATCAATCAACAATTGTCACATTATCTTATAGCGTTTTTTACTCAATTAACCGCTAAATTAGCTCTCCACTTTCTAAGATTCCCTTACCTTCAATGATTCATGTGCCTACTTTGTAATTTTAGCACAGTAGTTGGCACATTGTTTGTAACACACTGTTTTCTTTTACAGCTTGTTTGTCGCGATTGCAATAGAAGCTGCCAATAAATTGACCAGTAGACGCTCTGAGAGTATGGCGAATTCGTTACATCAATCGACTATTGATTCAACCAATCAGAAACCGGTACGACAAGATTCCGAGCTAGTTTACGCAATAGTCAACTGAGAATTATACAGTCTGAGTTTTTAGTTTTATCCCTGGATTGGAAGAAAACCAAATTCTAGTTTGTCCTTCTGTTATTCTGGTCGCCCATCTAATCGTTGCGAATGATTCATTTGACGCGTTGCTTACTTATATTTAAGGCAATAGGCAGATACTAAAGTCGTTTTAGCCCTCTGTCAATAAACAATCAACAATTAAATGAATGTGATACAAATCATACGCTTGCCGATTGGCTAAGATTGCTTGACACATAGTAACGCCTCTTTTGTAACTTTCGATTTCCTTTAAACGAGCTTGTAGCTGTAAGCTTGGTTAGCTCCAAGCCAGCCATTTTGTTTTTGGATTATATTAGAACAGCTTTTGGCATCAGTTTTATTTATCATCTCTGCTACCTTTTTCAGAAAGCGACATTTCAGCAAAGTGCTAAGAAGATACTAGCTGCCTTGGCCAAAGATGTGATTGGCAGTGCAAGGGTATGTTATGAAAGTGATCTATGCATTTATGAAAAGGTCATCGTAAATGAAATGTCAGTTTTGACCATTTCTCCAAATTTAGAGAAGACTTTTTAAGAAACATTGATATTTTTAAGATTTGTTGCAAAAATAAAGAAAACAGTTTTATTGCAAACAAGCATCATTAGATTACATTTGAGGACATTAATTCTTGTGGTAAATTTCTTATTCTGATGTATTATACTTTAACCTGTAGGTCTCGTCCTGTGAGAAAAATTGATTCATCATTAATCCTTTTAGCGTTTTCCCTGATTTAATTATCAACAGTATTATTTGCATGGATGGTATGCTTTTACTTCTCTTGGTCTCAATTTGATCGTTGGTTTAGTAGACAAAACCTTCTTTTTGTAGGTCGAAGAGACACAGGACCGAAGCAGCCACCAACAGATCAATTCACCAACATCATCATCAATAATGACGCTGAAAGGGACACGAAAAGGCTCAACCACAATTATTCTGGTAAATTGGTTACTTTTTTGTACAGTTAAATATGACATCGCCGTTACCGACACTAGTATTTTGGACCTCTGAAATATGAAATAATTTCCTTGATTTTTTTGATGCCTTAGTTTCCGATTGTTTATAAATCAGTATCTACTTTATCATTCGAATATGTGTTGGAATCTTTTAATTTTTTACAAAGATATCCAGGAATCCCAGACAGCTGTGGCTGCATTTCAAACAATCTCTAAGCAACTCAATCTTGCGCTTTCTTGTAGGCCTTAACTGTCGTCATTCCTATTGTCCTCGCTTCTTCAACTAACCATCATTTTTTGCCTTCCTTTTGATCGTCTTTCGTAAGCCATGCCAATCATTGTTCAGTGCCTTTAAATTATTATTGGCTACAAATGACAAACGTCCTCAGTATCGTGTTTTTCTATCCAAAACCCATTCATTTATTTGTTCGTCTCTACGCCAACAAGTTTTGAATAACCTTTTGATAAAACAAAAACTAGAAATCTTGGATTTTCGTTGTACCCAAATGTTTTAGGGTCCCGCTCTCACAACTGTATGTAGCGATGAGAAATACTAAAGTTTTAAAGGCTTTAATTTCGTTCTTAAACGAATCAATTTGTCTTTCAAGATATTTTTCAGCGACACCGCTACACCTTCAAATAACTAGTATTTTGTTTACCGTATATCCTAGGTAGCAGAGCTGCTCAGTCAAAACACCAAACCAGCAAAAGTCCAAACATAAACATATTTTTGTATTTGCATTGCTTTATTAAAACGAGTAACTCATTCAAGTTATAGCTGTGGTGCTGTTTAGAGGGATATCCATTATTTATTATTTATCAGAATTGATAATGAAGTTTATTTATGGTTTATCAATATTCCGTCCTAATGTAGTGCTTACATCTTTCAGTCCCCATCCTCCTCCAAACGAGGCAAGAGCAATAACAGTGGACAGTCTTACGATAAGAAAGGGGATGAAAACCAAAATGAGGTTGGAATATCATCTTGTTTTTCCATAAGTTCAGATTCTGTCCTTAGATTTTTTGTCATTGAGTTTGTTTTGCGAACCTTAAAGCTGTGTTATCAAGCTGTTTTTTACTTATCAGGCAAATGAAGAAGACGAAGAGGACGAAACTGAGGATTATTCTGGACTTAGTCCTAAAGAAAGGGTATGTATAATCTCATCTTTATATTATATTATATTATATTATATTATATTATATTATATTATATTATATTATATTATATATATAATATTATATTATTTATTATATATATTTATATATATATTATATATATTATATTATATTATATATATATATTATATTTATATTATATTATTATATTATATTATATTATATTATATTATATTATATTATATTATATTATATTATATATATTATATTTATATTATATTCATATATAATTATATTATATTCATATTATATTATATTATATTAATTATATTATATTAATATATTATATTATATTATATTATATTATATTATATTATATTATATTATATTATATTATATTATATTATTTATATAATATATATATATTATATATATATTATATTATATTATATTATATATATTATATTATATTATATATATTATATTATATTATATTATATTATATTATATTATATTATATTATATTATATTATTTTATTGTAAGACAAAATTCATGCCTCCGCATTTTATCATTTGACAGAGAGAAAGGCAACTAAAGAATCGAATGAAAAAGAAAAGGAAAGCCCGCCAGAAGATTCGCAAAACCTCTGCACACGTACTGGACCAGATCCAAAAGCAAGTTCGAGCAATCGCTTCGTTCCGTGGTTCGCAACCCACTGACCTTGATTTCATTGTTGGGGATACTATAACAGTCATTGCTACGGTAACATTACACATATTCAGTATCTTAAACAATTCAATTCAACATGCTGTTTATTTGTACAGTTGTGCTGAAGAATTAACGAAGAATTGTTTCATTATTTTGCAAAGTGGTTATCTTTCTAAAAAAACCATAGCATATTGCTAAAATCAGTGTATTTACCTAAGTAATTTTTTCAGTTTCCTAAGTACAAGTCCTAAGTAACGTCTGTGAAAATATTTTGATGCTAATGCTTCTAAAATTTGATGAAACTTTATTTGGTACATCACATATCTTTAAAACTGAACAATGCAAAAAGCCTTTTTTAGATGGATGTGATGCCGTTTTGTAATACACCAGGCACTGGCTAATCTGCTTTCTTATCAACTTTTTAAATCATAGCCAATAATTCTTTCATTCAAAAATAAGTCTTTTTTACATAATCCAATGAAAAGTTACAATAAATATTAATGTCTACATTACTAATAAGAACTACTTTACAATACTACTGGGACAAAAAACCCCGGGAGCAAATAGTTATGTCTACCCCAAGGACATTAACATATATATACACATGAATATAAGTATAGGTAATAAAAATACGTTACAGATAAAAACTAAATGGTTACCTGAAATAGCTCTTTTTTTTAAAAAATATAGGTCTAGTAGAATTTGAGAATACGCAGATAAGTCGTGCTAAAGTATGATATTTTAAATGGGCATTTTCACAGAGAGATGAATGGATGCAAGGAGAGTGCAAAGGGGCAACTGGATGGTTTCCAGGTATGGAGAGAAAATCCCTATCTCACTTTTTTGAATACTCTACATTTAGTTACCTGCAACAAAGTATACTAATATCTGTTTTATATTCTTGAACTGTTTTCAGCATAATACGATGAAGGCTTTGTCTTCCAAATATACTATCTATGGTACTTGAAAGGTTCGGGGTTCTTGTAATGACATTGCTTATTGACGATAACACTTGCAAAAATTTTAAAATTAATCAGTTTATAAGAAAATGACCTTGTTTCAACAGCATCACACGTGGTGAATTGGAGTGCGAAAATCCTTCATGAAAGTAGAAATGAGGCCAACAAAAACAAACCTCTCAGCAACGACGCTGTCATCGCTAATGATGAGGCTATTGCAAGTACAGTTGTCAATAATGACACACAGGTTAGATTTTTGATCATATGTTTCGAGCAACAGATTGTCCTAGTTTTTGCCTGCATGCAGATTAAATGGCATGCAAAGTCAAATCCGTGAGCAAGTCTGGACGACAGCATGCAAGGTGCTCTAGAGTTGCATCTTCATTTTTTTAGCATTAAAATACCCAATTGGCAGCAAACTTCGGAGAAATAAATCAAGTCGATTTAAGCGATTGAAATGACGTTCTTTAGAATCCAATAATAATAGTAATATTCAATGATCATCCAAACATGTTTTAAAAGCGATGGATTGTCGTTTTATCTTTTCTTTTTAAGGACTGGCCATAAATTTCTTAAAAATATATTTTACCTTTCGGACCGAATCCCTAAGATAAATAACTAAATTTCCCCCTGTAAATATCTGCACTTGATAACTAACAAAGTTCTTGAATAAAGATTCTAAATTTGGAATTCAAACATCACGAGCCATTTTGTTTTAGTGTGTATTTTGTTTCTTCATTTCTAGATAAGGCCAAAAACACCCGTTGGTGGTCCTGAAAGCGAATCGCTCACAGGCACAAAAAAGCCAGCGAGGTTGGTAAAACATACATTTGCTATTTGCAACGTTAATTGACATTGGGGACTTCTTCCTTAAATGCAGAAAGTGCCTTCAATATCCCTTTGCTGTGGTAATCCCTGCTCTCGTAGGCTCTGGCCAATCGAGAATCGCCATTTTAAAGAAAAGCTCTATGGAACTCTCTCTGTCACGGAGTGACTTTTAACCTGTGCGCTCAGCTCAGATGATATATACGATAAGCTACGATGCAATATTAGAATCGACAATAAATAAGTTATATTATTTTATATAAGATTATCATTACAGCAAAGGTAGAATAGTCCTCACGAAGGTTAATAGTTCATTTTTTGAGAATATTCCATCGAAGCTTTTTATCTGGATGTTGCACAAGACACCGAGAGTTTTAAATTGTTTTATTGGCGGAAAGATGCAGATTTGATATTTTTGTTTTCGTGAGGACTATTCTACCTTCAGAATGAAAATTTTTCTAGAAAGTAATGATTCATTTTGCTGCCAGACAACATAAGTGATAGCTCCCAAAAGCATAATGTAATAAAATAGGAAAAGTTTAAATTCAGAAGGTGATCTAGATCTGTACATGCTACCAAGAAATACTTGTAGTCAACAAATCATATTATAATTTGCAGCCTACAAAATATTCCTAGCATTTATTTGCTTTACATTAACTGGTTTTTACTTCAAATACCTCCAAAGAAAACATGACAGATTTTCCTTGTCATCATCTTCGTCTTTTTGGTCATCCGTTTTTCCTTGACATTTTTTTAATTTCTTTATTTAAAGTTGGTTCAACTCTAGCTCATCAAAATACCGTAATATGGTACATCTGCTATTTTTTCTGTCAATGAAATTTTTATTTCATTCCACTAAACTATTTTTTGGTATTTCTTCACAGATAACCACCTTGTTTGTAAATTATTTTCAAAAATGTAATTTTCTACCTGACATTTGCATTCCCCTTAAAATGAAAACCAAATCTTCGTGATTCTTGTCATCTCGTCAAGCTTTTTTAAAATTTCCAAGAATTCGCGTTCTGGTTTTCTCTTCTAAATTTATTGTCTTTTTCTTTAGCTCATTGGCACCTCAAACGAACTACATGTTCGGTATGTTTGCGATCTTGTTCAACTTCAACTTAAACCTTTCTTACAGTGACAGATTTTTCCGTGGTCACTACTGCTTGAAATAATTCTAATCAGATAATTTTTCCATTATTCTTGATATTCTGGCCTGCGCATTTTCGCTACTGATTCTTATAAAAGAATAAAAAAACAGTAGAAAATAATTCGTTTAAAAATGTTTATGAAAAATGTGATCCAGGTGGAAAAAGTGGAGGACCCGGGCATCGATCCCGGTACCTCTCGCATGCTAAGCGAGCGCTCTACCATCTGAGCTAGCCCCCCGTTGTAAGGAGATGTGCGAGAAGGGATAGTAGTCATATTGTTCAGAGTTTGGTTTGGTTTTGAAGAGTGGGTTTTTTTTCACATCAAAATGGTCTATTATTTACGTCGTCCATTCCAACTTTTAAAAAAAGTTTAGGGAAAGAAACAACCAGGAAAGTTTATTCAGCGCTTACCCTTGTTGTAATATTGATTTTTACATTTTCGATCTGATTTTTAAGCTGTGTTTGATACAGGCACCGCGGAGCATTGAGAAAAGTGGGGGGTCTAAAAAAGTGGGCGGGGTGGGGCAAAATCCGTATTAAATGAGGCTTTACTGGTAGTTTATTGATATTTTGACATTTTTTGCAAATAACCCCCCCCCCCCCCCTCTGCTCCGCGGTGCGTGTGATATATCATACCCGAATAGTTTCTCTACAATATCAAAATTTATTTAAAGGGCATCTCTTAGACAGGAAAATTTCGTGAGCAATCTAGCAAACAGGGTAACCGGAATTTTTTTTTTTGATAATGATCGTAATCCTGGTGGGTCTTTCCGTCAGGGGCCCTAAAATTAGAGGGCTGATGATCACGTGATCGATCATTACATTGTTCTCGGTTATCGAAATTTTTTTCGTCTAATCTTTAAACCAATGGTATTGGTCGAAAGAACATTCAATAATGAACACAAAATCACAAGAAACCTATATTGTTAAATAAATCTTTCAAAAGATATGACCTCTTAAAATATTGCGAAAATGAAATCATCAAACGAGTACAAAATCTTTACAATGTCTTTTCTCACTTATTTCTCATTGTTTTCACAAGTACTAAATCTCAAAATGGCTCAGGATTACTTTGTGGAGAAAATCGAACTATTTTCGATAAAAAAAATCCATATTTGTTGCATCTTTTGACGCCATAATCATTTCAATGGAAAAAATGTCTTTTGCTTGGTGCAAAATACGGTCACGTTTCTTTTGGAAAACTTGGTAGTGATGAACGAAGCTAGGATGTTAATTAGACGCATTCACTAGGCTATAGCAACAGAATTGAAGCAGCTAACAACTGAGTAGAGACCATTCACATTCATTGCCAAGTTAAGAGAAACTTTTCATTAGCCAATAAAACAATAAAAATACCTACCAAAAGCGTACACAAAGAGGAAGCAAAAAGTGCACCGTAATCTTCACTGGCTCCACGTCCAGAGTTGAATATTGAGGGTGCCAGAGCCTCAGAGGCGTCTTTGCTTGGAGGAGTGTAGTGGGTCGTGATTCTCCAGTTTTTCATGAGTTGACCAGTAAAATTTTTAAGTTTTAATACCCTCCACGGGAGTCACCCAAAGTTTTTACATACAGTTATCAAAATTCATTACCGAAAAGTATCAAAAACAAGTGTAACAGACCCGAAATTGTCAGCGCTATAGTGTTTATAAGACCATAAAATATCAAAATAAAAAAATCATGTTATTCAGCACATCATAGACAACTAGTTATAGCAATTTAGATTGTTTCCTATAATACTCAGTTTGAACACACATGTATTCCTGTTTTTGATTTTGTTATGTTAGTTGAACCCATAAGTATCAAAAAGCTACATTTTAAAATCAGACACCCAAAAATATCAGATCATAAGGAAAATACTTTCCCATAATTTTCGGATGAACCCCCTGTAAAAAAAGGCTCATGTGACCCCCTGAGGTAAATCCCCGACTGTAGATATAACATAGAATTATCCTATCCCTATAAGATAAAATAGGGATTCGGGCCACTTTTTTTTCTTTTCATTTTTTCTTTGTTCCTTGGTGGAGTCATCCTCGTTTGCTTAATGAATTAGAATTCTTTAGACGATGAAATATTTTCACTCGCCCAGTTGTTATAAAGATTCCCTTGTCTTCAAATGAAATAGTGTTGTCTCTGATTTGTGTCTCTGAATGTAAGTTGAGAGCCAGGCTTCTTTACTCTTGCGGGGGCATTTTATACAAATGGTATGTTAGATGGGGCTACCTACCAAGCCTACATTGGCGTCCTACAGCTTTTTCATTCATTATTAATTCTTGTTTTTAAACCTTTGAGAACAGAAATTGGGCTAAATCAGTTGATATCTTTCAATAGGTTTTCGTTTAATCTTATCTTTCTTCAATCTGTCATAGACCTGAGTTGTTAGCATCTGCTAAAGGTGGGCTATCTCAGTTTAATAGCATTTTGATTGCCATTCTAATCACATGTTTTTGGTTAATATGATAATTCCATCTGTTCTTCATTTGCAGTACATTTGTCTGTTCTTTTCAGATAAAAATGAAAAGTGGTGATTGGCGGCGAGAGATCCTTGGAGACATTACAGTAATGAATGCCGAGGAGGTAGAACTATTTTTTCCTGAAAAATTTCGAGCAACATAACTTGGATGATTTTATTGTTAGCCATACAATCGCGCTCTTTTTCTGCGTTGTGATCCTGGGAGAATCCAATGTCACTTTCAGCTTTAAGGTTTCCGTCCCCTCTTGTGAAGTTAATACCTACATATTAAATAGAAAACGCGATAGTTTGCTCTAAATCCCAAGCCCTGTTTAAGAATTGCATTTGAGAATAATTTCAGAACAATATGCTCCTCCGTTAGCGTTTTAGTGCCAGAGTAATACCAGTTTTTGCTTGTCTCATAACCATTTAAGGAAACGTTTCATGTTCTGTTTTCAAAAGCTTCTATCTTTAATATCTGTTTCTGGCTCAATTTGAGTAATTGTTTAATTTTGATGGTTGTTGAAAACGTAAGTTGATGCCATGTTGATACAAATGCTTTTAGATTGGTAATAACTTTACTTATTAAGAACAGAATTCCATTGATCATAAACTACGAGGCGATATGTTATTACTAAATTTTGTTCCTCTTTAGATGAGAGAGTTGAATAAAGTTATGCGGGCTGAGCTTCGTGCTCCGGGCAGTCGAGGAGCAAAACCAACCGCAGTACGTATCCTGAATTGCTGAGTTATATGGTAGTTATGTTTGGCCTATTCGGAAAATCTACCAATATCACCATCGAGCATTTTGCAGAAATACTTTCTATAGGTTTATAATGAAATAAGTTGAAATTTTAAGATCTTAAATCCCACTTTTGCAATCCTGGATAGTATTACTATTCAACTATTATTTAAAAACCTTTCGCTTGCCTGTCGTTTCGGGGATTTAGGAGTATTTCTACGGATTTTTTTAACGTGCAAGTTTTGATTAATGAATTGTCAATATTTCAGCTGCTACGTAAATCTACCAACTCTCCAGCTACAAATCGAAGGTATCTTTGTCTTGCATATTTGCGGCTTCTTTGCATTAATCACGCTATGTATATTGAACAGATTGTAGTACAAAACAGGCTTAAATTATCATAATCAACGCCATCCCATAAATCCCTGCCCCACCGTAAAAAACCCGTCCCAAATGGAGGATCTAGCCGATTTTGGAGCCTCTTTGTCGGTAGTAAAATAGTGTCTGGCTATGTTTTGAAAAAAAGCTGGTAACATTTTTCTGTTTTCTATGAGCATTCCGGTGGAGTTTTGACATCGACGTCATTCAGAGACATACTTTCTGTATGCGCGCTTATCTTGCAGCCTGTAATTTCTCTCCTCTGGCCTTGATTGGATGTACGAATGTCGTCATGCAGATCTACATAAGGCTAGCAATTGTCATGCCAGCAAAATCAACTTCGTCAAGCTTCTCCTTACAAGATGATGCTCTACACACCTTGCTTTCACCTACCCCTTTCATTTCTCCCTCCCCCGCCCTTGAAATAAAAGTCTTACCTTGACTCAGCCTCACCTTATTTGACAGTGACAGTGACCGTGGAGGGTATTACATCTTCGAACATTGACATTGTTAATTGATCTTCGAACAAAAGGCCTTACAACCAGTATTTTTTCCTCCAAGATCTTTTCAATGCAGCCTTTTTGTCCCCATGTTAAAGGGAATTTGGATTAATAATAAACTTATCTGGATCCCAGGATGTAGTCAGCATTTTGTTCTATTAATCTTTCTTCGCAGGGAGGTCGTTCCTATCGTCGAAGAACTTTCTGCTCATGAACAATCTGGTAATTCTCTATTATATTCATTCATTTCATTTACCATCAACATCGCATGTTTAATCAAGACTTTTGCTGAGATTTCTTGCTGTTATATATTAACATGTACATTTGACCTTTAAACAGGGTTGTTTTTAAAAAAATTGTCTACATAAATGAATTGCAATTAAACATATTTTTTCATACAGATTACCAGTTACGTGAAGGGACAGTTGAAAATCTTAAACGATCTCGTTCAGGCACTGGTTCTTCGTTTGTACCAGAAAGCCCCAGAGTAGCTCAGCGACAAATGGTCAGTGACGTAGGAGCAAGATATCGGGCGAATACAGGGAGTTCCTTGCTGGATGCCCCGCTGCAGATTGATGACGAAATGCCTGTCAGCGGCAAAAGGTTCCCCACTGTATCCGTCTCCCAGCTTTCTCAAATGGAGGTAAATGTCGCCTAGGCAATATCATGGTTGTCAGTAAACATTGGGAAATCTTGGTTGCCAGTAAATTGTTCATTATATCAAATGCTATTATGAACAATAGTTCCCTTCCCTAGACATATGTTTTAGATTTAGACCAGCATTGCAGGTTATGCAGGTCAAATACTCATTGTGTCAAAGGTACTTATGTATATAACTATGATAACGTTGCCTCTCTTCAAGACCAATTTCTTGCAGCTTTGTATCATAACAGAATTGGTAAACACGACTTTTGCCCTGGTGCTATTGGATCGTCATTTCAATTACTTCCTTCTCGTAATTAAGACGATGAGAAAAAAAACTAAAAACTGTGCAGGAAAAGGATAACATTGTCGTTTTGTCCCAGTTTTGTTTTTTCAAGATAGAAATTTGAACTCATGAAGATGAATAGAATTAATAAATGGGCCTGAAGTATTGCATACAAGGACAATGTTTCTATTTTTGAAAAAATGTTGGATCTGATAATGCGTTACGAATTCATGAGACAACTAGCAGTAATTGCTCCAGGTAGAGATCTCTAAACAGAATCAACGCTTAATTCAACCTTACAATCTAAAATGTTCCCCGATGAACTACAACTACCAAAAATGGAAAAAAACCTGCCTTTATGGAATCGATACATTTAGAGTTATGGGGACACTATCATTAGAAATAAAAAAATTCAGACTCCTTTCAGATATTCAAAAGACTTACAAAGCCCAAAAATTCCAAACTTGCTGCAAATTATGTAAGGTTTTTTATCCAAATTAAGGCTTTTTATTGTAAATTGTATTTTTCTAATTCTATCTTTCTTATAGAAATTTGTAGGCATTTTTCATAAATGGTTGGCCTTAAATAGCATTTCAAGCTGTAATTTATTTTAAAAATATATTTTGTTTGTATTGCTTAAAAGTGAAATCCTGTTTGTGAACTGTCATTTCCATTATCATATAAAGTAGAAATCAGCAAATTTCAAAATGATTTATTACTGTCATTTAATGTTAGTTTCCTGACTCCACGACATCAACGGAGGAGCGCGAGGCCCCTGCTGACGTCAGCATCGTCGATGGCATTGCTCATGAAAAAAGTTACCTTGCTATTGACATGCCAGAAGTCAAATCTCGCGCAAACAAGGAGGGGAAACAAAAGCTGACCGAAATGCCTGAATGGGCGAAGAAGTTTGCCGAGACGAAAAATATTCACGTTCAAAGTGTCTCATTTCCAGAGCCGACGTAAGTTTTCAATGCATATTTCAAGACGACGTTGTTTCAAAAGTCATCGGGTATAAAATTTATCTTCAACCTTTGTTGTGAAGTGTTTCTCGGGTGAGAAGCAAAGTGGGAAAACATCATTTCAAGAAGATAGTTGCATAATGTTTGCATAAAGGCCCATTTCCACTTCGTTCGGATTTCGGATTTCGCATCCGATCTCCGATTTCCGAACGACGAACGTTTTCCGATTTCAATCCACACTTCTACAACGTTCGAACGAATCTTTTGTAAAGGAGTCAAAAAATTGACAATTTCGGCGCGTTTTTCAATTGTTGTTTATCGAAATCGAAAATGGCTGCTTTAAATCGACGAAGATTGTTGATTTTGATGCTGATGAGAAGAAGACAGCTGAGAAGAAAAGAAAAATACCGTAAGAGGTTTTGGGTACGACCAATCCCTCAACAGAGAAAACAACAAGGAGAGTATTTCAACTTGGTGAGAGAAATGCAATTGGCAGATCACGAGAGCTTTTTTAAATATTTCCGTATGTCTCCACACTTCTTTGATAATTTGCTGCGTTTGGTTGCTCCTATGATCTTGAAGTCTGATCAAAAGAGAGAAGCCCTGCTGCCCTGCTGGCCCTGCTGGCCCTGCTGGATAACTTGCAGTTACCCAATGGTATTTAGCTACGGGAGATTCCTATCAAACAATTGCTTTCATTGGACTACCCGTGTTCCAAACGATTTCATTTTTGTGCACTTGCTCAATTAACGCACCAACTAAATCGCTATTCCAATCAGTTTTTGAAGACGCCATCTTTGAATCTGTGTGCACAGAAGTGGTGGTCGTCTAGAAATGCAGTGTTCTGATTGGCTAGCGATATCCGGGACCTTTCTGTTCGCAATGCGAATTCGGATGAAAAACAAAACTTCCGAACGCGTCAAATTCGGATGCGAACGTTCGGATGTGATTTGCAAACGTTCGGATGCGAACTGCAGACAATGAGTTCGCATCCGAAATCCGAAATCCGAACGAAGTGGAAATGGGCCTTAAAACGTGACAATCGCAGAAACAACCTGGAACAGTTTTACACATCATAGTTTTTCACATCACATCAAACCTATTATCAATTATACTCATTTCAGGTTGTAAATAAGGGTGAATTCTCAGATTCATAAGTTGATTTGTTTCATTTCAGGCTTGAGGATACTTCTCTGCCTGGATCTGTTCAACAAAAGCCTGAAAATGAATGACACATCTTTATTTGAGCAGATTGTCAGAAGTATCCGTGTCCGTCCTCGGATCCGCACAGGGAACGTAACAGCAGTTGAACAACTGGTATAATTTGAAAAAATCTGAAGAACCTGAATCATTTGCTCCCTGTATAGATTCGGTACTCAACTAATTGTAATCTTGATACAGAAACTCATGTCGGCCTGTGGCGAATCAAACATAGTTCTGAAACCATATGCGCTGGACAAAGTGACAACTCTCTTGGCGTAATCTTCTTTCAAAAAAGAAATTTCTAAGTCTACTAAGCACTAAGCCCTTCACTAATGGAGATCACTAAGAAACACTGATTGCTTAACATAATACTACCCAAATTAAAATTGCAATTTTATAGCGAGTTTAGAGTTTGCTAACTTATTACCTTGCCGCTAAACAAAACATTTAAATTTCTTTTTTTTGTATGGGTTATAAAGATGTTCTATATGTTTTTAGCTATTTTCGTAAATAAATATCATATAATGAAGATGGATGCACGTTTCTTTAACGTTTGTGGCATTAACAAGACATTTGTATTTTGGTTGTTATTTTATTCACATGTAATACTCGTTGGAAAATTAGTTCGGTAACCGTGTACCTTTTCAAAAGATATGAAAAAATTCTTAAAATTCAAATCATATGGGACAAGAGAAGGAACACCATTTTGGATTCAAAGGATTTTCCGTTGGATAAACTCTCCACAGTTGATCAGATTTCAGCCCAACAGCTACGCCAAAATTTAAACGAAAATTTCAGTAACAATTTTCATTGGAAAAACTTCGCTAGTTTGACTTCCACTGATTACCATAAAAACAGTTACTTCATTTTTTCTTAGTAAAGGCAAATATAAATATAATAGAAGTATAAGCAAAGTCGTCTGCCATTTTCGATGAAGAATATTAGGCCATAAATTGCTGGGACTTTGTATAACTTATGCGTTTTTAAAGGGAGAGTACCATGGAATGCATTTTGTCTTTACACACGAACAGCTCCAAATATAAGCAATGTTCCGGACTTTAAAACGACGAACCCCATTTACGGCATGGCACTTAAGGTACACTTTTCTCTTCTTGATAGCAGTAGGACGGCAGACTGAGCATGCAAAAGATGAAATGCCATAATTCTTTCTGTTCGGAAGGAAATATGACTTGCATTGGCCGTAGCAGAACCGGTTCTGGACCACCCTTGGCTGGCAATCAGGCAAGCTGATGGTGTGATTAAACACAAGTGTTTTGCAATCATTTGATGTGTTTTTTCCAGTGAATCGTGCCGACTGAACCGCAATAACACAAAGAAAGATGGTTATCATCTGTATAACCGACATCTTTGCACCCTACGATATTGATGTAAAAAGCAAATCAAGAAGAGATAAAACGCATTCATCGTTGTGTTAAAACCTGCATAAGCTGTTCACCTAGATTAGATAACCCAACGCAATGCACAGATCAAGTAAAGGAAACGAGCTCGAATCCCCTGCATTTTATAAGGAACCAAATTACAACAAACCCAAGCCAAACTTGTCCTGACTACAAACAGCATAGCAAACATTTTCACAACTAAACAGAAAACATGGTCATCGCTACTAAGCCATACAGAAAACCTTTGAGTTGTATTTTGTGTTCGCTATAGCAGTAAATACAGTATCTTTCTAGGAGTGTCTACCCCTTGACTATTCAGCAGAGGTAATTTCAGGATCAAACGTTGTTTTGCAGATACTTTGGGTATCTTTCAGCAGGCGTCCTCAGACATGATCTTGAACAACAATGATACTGAGTAAGGCTAAGATGATTTCGTAACCTTTTTGTCAAAAGCAGACATTTCTAGAGCTTCTAAGCAAGACAGGATTACCATAGCAGCTGTTGCTAGGAAAAGACAGATATCGCAAGACATGGACGCATACATTATCAGTATTTCCATTTTCAATTCTGATTTCAATTCTTCATCTTCAGTTACGTTAAAGACCTCCTTTGGTAGACAATTCAATAGTGCTTACCATAGCGTATTTACGGTTACGTGAACTAAAACCACAGATGTAGTGCTGGTGGAGCCCCCTCCCTTTAAAAGCAACTTATTGCTGCTCTTGCTGATGCTCTTAGAGGTACTTAGGGACGTTTTGAGACATTTTCTAGTTGCATTCACGGCACTACAGCGCTAATAAAAGCGTCTTCGATGAATCGTACAGCATACTTCACTGTTATTAGAAGGGAATAACGCAAATTAAGATTAGTTCTGTTCCAAGAAAGAACAACCAAAGGTGAGAACAAGCAAAGGTGTCTGATGAAAGCATCAAAACACGTAATAAGGTGATGAAATTATCAAGGGGTTGAAGAAAAGGTTTGGGGAGTTAAATAGTAAAGAAAAGGAATGATAACAGAGGTGATGAAGTAAGTTTTAAAGGAACTAACTGGAACGAAATACCTAAGGTCATTCAGTTGTTCCCAAAGACAAATTTCATGAGTACCTTTCTATTATATAGACACAATTCTAAATGGAAATGATAAAGAAATAGCAAAACAACCTACTTTTATGGTGATTCTCTTTTGCCTGCTGCAGAAAGATTGGTTGCTTGCGTTCTTTTAGAATGTTTGAATGACGTTCACAAACACAGTAGTAAACGTGTGTCAACCAAGACAAGAATGACACTAAATTTAGCTGCGTGGTCCGTGACCTGGCAAACTCACTCTAAAAAGCTTGATTAAACAGCAATTCACAGTGTTGTTGTGCAAGAACAAGTTGAGATAAGACAAAGATCTAAGGAAAAATAATCTGCACAGCTTGGATTTAGCATATTTCCGATATGGACTGAGGAGCTGTTGGTTGGAGGGTTTCGCGTGACTCGGCAGCTATTTGCAGCTATTTTGATGCGCTTTAAAGTATATAGACCAATGTAAAAAATATCTAGTCATTGTAATACGTGGTTTCATGTGCAGTTTAACGCAAATAAAAGACAGAAAGGCCAATGAGAAACTACAGCAATAAGATTGTTTATCGAAGAATGGCATTACCACTATAAAGGGGAACTCTTAGGATGTATGAATCGCTTTTTCCTCAAAATGTCGTTTGTGAAGGAGGAAATTAATCACAGGAACTGCTCTATGTTGGTGCAAAATGTAGAAAAATAAAAAGCCTTGTGATGTATTGCATTTATTCACTTCGTGAACGCGAATAAGTCTGATGAAAAGCTCTACTAAATCATTTTACTAAAAGGTTTTTTTAACAGGTTTTTTAACAGGTTTTTTAACAGGTTTTTTTAACAGGTTTTTTTAAAAGGTTTACTAAAAGGTTTTTTAACGCCACAAATAGAAGAGAGGATTTTATCAGCCTATCAGATTATATAGCGATCTTTTTCTGAGTAATTTGTCATTCCGCTGAGATTGAAAACAATTAAAGTGCTAAACGATGCAAACGGGCAAAACACATGCAAACGGTTAAAACAAATGCGTTTTAAGCCAGCCTATTTCAAATACACAACTTCTTGCTGCCTAGGAATAATTCGAAACAGGCCATTTGCAACGTTTTTCTCATGGTCAGCAAAAGTTGTTGAGATACCTGTGGCAAAAAATCTTCGCCTTTAAAGCAATCTGAAAAATTCAATCAGTGACCAATTTTCCGTTGACGATAGGCTGCATCTTGATACAGAAAATACTAGAGCTTTTTTGATAAGCAGAAGCGCAACTATACCTCGTCTAGCTCACTGCATCATCAAGGACTTGATTAAACATATGGGCAACCCCTTCACCAGTAGCAGCTGAGGTAACGTAGTGCCTAGGAGAATGAATCAGCTCGTAAAAAGCAAAAATGTTCGGCAAAGGAATAAGAAACTGTTATTAACAGTAACACATACCAAATAATATGTCTCGCTGTTTAATTAAATTTTTCTGTAAATAAAAAAATATTTCTCTATAAAGACGATCCTTTTTAAACGTAGGTGAAGGCATAGTGGAAATAACAAGGAAAGATCAACATCCCTAGCCAGCTTTTTGACATAATTTGCAAGAAAAAGTACCAGTGGCTGAAACTGCGGGGGTGTGAGGGGGGCAACCGCCCCAGGTTTTGCTAAATTGTCGGTTTGTTTGTAAAATTATGTCATTCGTCGGCAAATTTTCTTGCTTTTGTTGGTATACCCCTCCCCCCCCCCCCCCCCCCCACTTGAAACATGGATTCCGCCATTAAAAAGTACAAATAGCAAATGTAATGAAATTCACCTGATTTCGTGACGATTAGCCCACTCCTCAGCTGTTGAGGTATTTACCTTTCGGTTCTTAAGATCTGCCTAAAATTGCAGAAGACATTATTTTCATAAAGGTTTTGTTCTATATATGTCGTAGCGCATTGTCTTTCTTCTAACTAAGGGTTCAGCACTGAAGTCAAAGAGAGTCTTATTTTGATCGCAAAGAAGGTAGACTTAGAAACAAGAAAGGGTGATTACTAATTTACTCTCGCTAATAGCAATTTTGAAAAAATCCCTTATTCTAAAGAAATTACCAGCTTTAAAGCAAGGCAAGGCCAATAGCAAGTAAACCATCGAACTTTTTGAAAGCATACCTTATTACCAACAACACACAAAATGGTCTTTTTTCCACCAAATGTTTCAAATTCTTTAAACCAGTCATCAAGTGCATAGAAGGACTGGGGATTTGTGACGTCATATACAAGAAGACAAATCTAAACAAGAAAATTGAATAAGTGCTGGGGATACTACAATAATGATCAAATATTTTCCTGCTGTTTTTTTACATTTCTACATCTGACCTAAAAATGTGTCATCAGTTTAATCGCAGTTTATGTTTCATGTTTATGTTAAGATATTCTTTGTTAGGGTTTATTGTGGATTTTAGCAGCACAATACAATATGTGTAAACAAAGGTGTATACGCCAATTATTGATTAAATAATTGCTGAGCTAGTTAAAATTTGGTCTACATATGGAACATGTAAGGTATGAAGACACAAATCACTGTAACATGTATAGTAGAATTAAGAAGGTTTCGAACTGATAGAAATAAGTGATTGAACCACAAAAATCATACCTTTGTCTGGTGGTACAATTCCTTTCTTACATCAAGGTAGGAAGAGCTGCCACCAAAATCCCAAAATGTAACTCTAACTGAAACAAAAAGGAGAGATCTTCTACTGTTACAGCAACTTTATGGAAATATTCAAACAAATGGGAACAAGGAAACAAAGAATCAATGATGTCAAAGGAATAGCATTATGAGATTTACAATACTTTGATTCTATTCCTTTTCAATCATTCATTCATCTCTGTGTTAAAAGAAGCAGTATTTCAAGGTGCAAGGAAGGGTACAGAAGTACTCTGGTCTATTGTCAGAGTCACCTGCATGACCAAACCTTCACTTAGAATGAGTAGAGTCGCTAGCCCTCTGCAATCCCAGGCATAGAAATCATGAGGTGTGGTCACATTGAGAGGAAGGACCAGGGTACTGATCAATAAACACAGCTTCTCACTGTCCTAATGCCTACTTACAGATGCTAGGTGGCTACAAAACACTACTGCCTAGAATATGTGACAGAAATAAACAACATAAATACAAAATACATGACTGTCTCTTCTGTCAATAGTTGTTAATTGCCTATCATCCTCATAGTTGTTTATTGCTTGAATTGATTGCTTGAATTAAAAAAACCATGCAGCGCTCATTATGATGAACATGTTCTGCAAATTACAGGCTGCTAATATTTTACTATATCCAACATTTTAACAGGCATTAGATAATAATTACCTTCTTTGCCATTGACAGTATGAAGTTTGAATCCTTGAAAAATAACAACTTGTGAATAATGGGCTAATTTTTCATCAAAGGGAAGTAAAACAAATCAAAATTTCACATTGGAAAAAACCTCAATTTCAAATGTTTACACTTACCGTAATCTACTCCAACTGTTTCGATATATGATTTTGTAAACTGAAATAAAATGGAGATAAAGAAAATTTCAGTTTGAAAAGTGAAATTTGGTAGACTTTTCTTTGAGAAAGGTAATCCCCTGTATCATTTGATATCCAAAAAAGATTCTTTAAACAACTCTAATACAGATTTTTACTGTTTTAAGTTACTGCAGGTCCTTGATCTCGTAAAATTCTGCCCTCTGCATGGCCGAGTGACAGATTCCCATCATCTAAAGTGGCTAAATCTAGAAGCATATAAGATGCAAGAAAGTATTCCATAGAATACAAATAAAAATATTCATAGCAGTCTTTTTCATAACTGATCAATTTTCTAGTTAAATATTACTTCATTAAACAATTTGTTCTTGTCTGGAGTTGACAGCTTCAAATTGAAGGCTAATGCACTCATGAAGTTTTAAAATCAAATTGCTGAAGTATGGGGTTTAAATGAATTAAATCTAAAATTACAAAAATTCACTCTCATTATGTAACAGCCCCACTGTTGGGAATTTTTTTACTATACAATCATGCATCAGTTTACCTTGCTTTCACAAAATGTCTTCACAAGGCATGTTTTCCCAACTCCAGGACTACCTATACCAACTACCTGTAAGAGGCAAACAGGATGCAGCATAAGTGAAATCAAATGTAATATGATCTGTGTTGAGCTACCAGCTTACCACGCCACAACTGCCTGCAATCTGTGTAGGGCTGCCTGAAATACTGGCTGACACAAACATGTTTTTAAGAGGTCTCAAATTACAATGAAATTATATTATAGTGCTAAATTGCGTGTTTATGTTGAAAGAGCAAGCTTTTGGTTTGGGGCAAGTAAATATAAAGGCTTTGTCTTGGTGTATGTTTTGCTGATTTGGTGTTGTGTCATGATTGCGTTCTCCCATGAAACCCTAAATTTTGATTGAAAAATTTAAAGCTAGCTAAGGCTCTACAGAATTTACAGACTTCAAAATTTTTTAAACATCTTTTTCAATGTCTACTGTGCTATTGATCATCTGTGAAAATAAATAACCTCAAGAGAGTGTTGTGTTGTTTCACCTTCAACTTTTTTCACTATGCCGAATTGCCCCTTGTAATAAATAAATCCCAATCAGTACACATAACAACATTTAAAATATCCCTTTTCCATTTTCTCAATATGTATTTTTTTAGACTCGCCTGAAAATGAAATCATTTCCTATCCTGGATAAAATACGCATGTTAATGTTGCATTTCATTTTCAGGTGCATTTCATTAGGCTATTAATGATTATTAGGAAAGAGGTAGGGTAGGCCTATCTACCTTGATCCAACGAAGTTCTTCAGATTTTTTCTGCGCTTCTTTCGATAAATCATTGATGAAGTTGTTTGGCATATTGAGTTACAGTACAAAATCAACAACTCGTTCCCGGTTGCTATGCGGTTGTTGTGATCAATGGGGGCTATGTTTAATCCGTCTCTATTTGAATGTCTATACGAGGCTGTATAGCTGTATCCATGTGGAATTACATCTGAAATCTCGCTCACTTGGGTTTGTTTCGAAGGTGATGTGCATTAAGATTTGAAACCTTTTTGTCCTAAAGTTAGATAAATCAAAATGAGTCAAGGGTGTTGGAGAGAAGTAACACGTGCTATTGACGAGAAAAGACATGAGCTGGTCCTTTCAGATCAAGACGTGGCGAGCCGCTATCAAAATGGTGGACTGGATATGAGAATTTTTGAAATAAAATCTCTGAACTTCTTGCAGATATCTAACGTCAACTTATCATCAGTACCAGAAGAAGTAGGTGACTTAACTAATTTGAAAAACTTAGCTTTGCAAGGAAACAAGATAAAAGAACTCCCAGACACTATTGGCTCTCTGACACAAATCAAATTCTTTGATGTTTCAACGAACGAGTTGGCAAAGGTTCCAGATTCTTTAGGACGTTTACAAGCCTTACACACATTAAATCTAAGCTGTAATAATCTAACGAGTCTTCCAAACTTAGAGTTGCTTGCGAATTTGGCCATTCTTCGAATCGATCATAACAAACTCCCGAGTTTGCCAGAAGGCATCTATACTCTGGAGCATCTAATTGAGATTCGTGCCTCCCACAATCTAATTCACTCCATCACTGAAGAAATAAGTCAGATGGAATCATTAAAAATTCTGGATATTGCTAACAACCAGTTGAAAGAGCTGCCAGGACAGCTGGCTATTTGTCCGAAGTTGAAAGATCTTAACCTAAAGGACAATCCACTGACAGATAACAGATTACGTAAAATGACTCTGCAATGCAACACAAGAGCTATATTGGATTTCATAGCTTCACATTCAGCTGAAGCTGCCAAAGGAAAGAAAGGGAAAAAGAAAAAAACAGGAAAGGCCAATGTGAAAAGTGACACTTTGGATGAGACCGCAAGGAAAATCCATGTGCTGCACAATATCAAGGAAAAAAAGTGTGTTGTCTTTAAGGAGGTTTTGAAAGAAATAAGGCCATTTATTATCTGCACAATAGTGAAGAATTTAGATCTCAGTGATATTCAGAAGTACAAAAAGTTTATTGCAATACAGGTAATGCTCACTTGAAATTGATTTACTTTCCATCTCTTGGACTATAGGGCAAACTGCAAAGGATAAGGTATGTCGGGGGATACAAAGGTGTTTCAAATTGAGAATGATGATATTCTCAACCTGTTATTTAGCAACAAAATGTTTTCCTATGCATACAACAGCAGGATAAAGTCATTCCCCCCACCAAAATTCTTTGCAGTCTTGAAAATTAAAGTGTTTGGTTCTCTAAGTTTACAGGTCTGTCATAAGAATTTTTATTATTATATACAGTTACATGCAGGTAACTATGGATTTGTTGAAACTGCAAAAAGATGCTCCAATTGAAAAATAATTTGTGTTCCCTCATTTTCTTAATGATTATTTGGACCAGTTCTTAAATGAACTTTGATTTAAAAGTTTATCTTTTGTCATTATCAAACATTTTATAACCAAAGAAATAAAATTTCTATAATTGTGATATTGAATTGAAACATACTTTTCCAAAAGTCCTTTATTCAATTCAAATTTGCAAATATTTGATGTGTTAACAAGAAGTTTGTGATGCATTTTTCTGCTTGTGACATTGTTATATTCAAGTCTAGGTCATATAATGTTATAAATGTCTTTACAATAGACTAAGATTCATGACACAGTCAGTAATGGAAGAACAAGTTCAACCATTGCAACACACACTGCAAGTAATTTGGTATTCCCATTGGTTTATGATGGAAAAAACCCTGAAGGTATACAGATAGCTCCAATAGGCAGTGACACTGAATTATTAGCCTCCCAATACGTACAAAGACTCAAAGAACAAAGAGAACTAGAGCAAAAGAAGAAGAAAAGAAGTCAAGCATCTGGTGTATATAGGTAAGTAAGTGTAAATTTAGAGTGAAAGAGAATGCTTTTTTATTGGTAGTGAAATGTGAGTGTCATTAAAACTGGTTTTATTGCTTTTCAATCTTTCTAGTAACTACCTGTAATTCTTATCATTATAGTTTTTCTTGCCATGACAACTTTTTTCAAGATTTAATTTTGCACCTTTTTGGTTTGCACATTTTCACCTTAGGCTTTTATCCACTGCTCTACAGTTTTCCAAGAGAAGTTTTCCCTTGCCTAACTGTGTCTAAGGCTACTAATAGATCAAGCCCTGTAATTTTTTGCAAATAACTCAATCTGAAATTCTTGCTGATATACATTTATGTTTAAAGAAGATAAAAGAGATCTGTATAGTATTCAAATTTGGAAAAGATGAATATGTAATGGATATGTTTTAATAATTGGTTATAATTTAGTTGTTAATCATTGAAGTTAGCCCAAAGTCTCCTTCCTTTTGTAGGTTTCTTGACTTACTCGAAGGTCAAGAATTGTATCCTTGCTTGATAAGCAATGAAAGAGTTATTTCTTTACCACCAATTACTAACAGTGATGCAACAAAGGTAAGCAGAAGGCATATTATGAAATTTTTCAAACCAAAGGGGTGTGGTATTTTAATTTGTTGCTGTTGTTTCAATGGGCTGAATGTGTATTCATAACATAAACAGGCTTTAATTCCATACCTCAGATTATGTGATACAAAGAAATTATGCTGCAAAAGTCACCCTTCTCTTTATCGCCAGAGGTACTGGGGCAAAACAACATTTTCTTTTTCCATTTCTTAAGCTGTTTAGGAGGCTGGCCCAACATAAAGAGAATGACTGAAACCAATTTTTAAACAATTGTCAAGCGTTGGTTAAAAACAGCAGCCCTTTATTGCCAATATTCACAGGTGGTTTGTATTATCTTTACTTTTTACCAAAATAAAATCGCTTCAAAAATTGCATAAAAGGTGAAAACATTTTGTGCTTTCAAGCACTTTCTCTCCCAATGCTGAAGGTATAAAACATTTTATGTGCCTTGTTTTTCATAATTTTGAAATATTTTTCTGTGAAAGACATTTTATTCTTAGCAAGTCACATCTTGCTTTCTCACCAAGTAGAATTTTCCAATGCCATTTTCTTGTCCTATTTGAAATAATTCTGTTCCTACATTTGGCCTTTGTAAAAAGTCCTCAATTGAAAGGAACATTTATTTCCTAAAATAACCAATTGCTGCAATAAACAGATACCTAATAATCTTCTGTGACTTTTTCATTTTGTTCTGCTAAAAATTTTTAATGTTCAAATTTGTGTAAAATTTGTAAAAATTTGGCTATTTTGTAGGTGAACCCATCAATTGGTGACATCTTAATTGAGGTAACATCATCAGTCAGTCTTGCAGCATGTAAAGAAGCAATGGAAAAGTTACTTGAAGAGTTGTTTCTGCTTGGTTACATTTCCAGCCAATTTTCAGAAGTGGCAGCAAATGTCGGCACTGGACTTGTTGGACTGCTCTTGGAACAAGTGAGAGTTGAGCATGAGGATGGACAACTGAGATCTGTATATCCTTCAAGGGCTGACTTGAAATTTGATAATATTGCAGTGTCACATGTGGAATGAATTAATTATTCTTTCATACCAATCAGAAATCATCCTTTCAAGTCAACTGACACTATGTTTGTTTAACCAAACAATTAGCCAACCCATAATGTTCGAATGTAACCTTGTTAGCAACATAAGAAATCAACAAATTGAGTACATAAGAAGTTTTAATAGTCTGGCAGAGTTTGTTACAGTATGACCATAGTATCATTTTCACATGGAAATTATTGTCTCTATAAAATTTGGCCTATCAACAGGGATAAGAAACAAAGAGCAATGTGCAAATTTATTTTGTTTAGCCTGTTCACTGAAAAGTTTGCATTTTTCCTTCATTGATCGATACACGATTGCACCTTTTCTGGAGGTTTTTTTAGACCACACAGAAAAGTGCATTATGGTATGCCTTTGAAGAGCTTTCTGGTCCCAGTTCTCTTTTCAGACCCTGGCAATTTAATCTTCATGTTGAGATTCTTGTATGAAAACTTTGGTTTCGGGGAAAAACTTTGTATGAAACGTCTACCCTTTTCATTTTCAAGGTCGCAATTTCAGAACTTAAACAATTGCATTCCTGATATAGAACAATATGAACTTTCCTTGGTTCTGTGTTGGGGAGGTGCTCTTTGAGGAAAAAGCGTTGTCAAGCTTCCAAAGGGGCGTGCCCGCAAAATTAATTTACAATCGATGGACTCTTTACGCTTTGTATTCTACAATGCCGCCTTACTGTTGTTTTCATGTCATTTTGCAATAGATATATTATGTATACGTGTATAAAAATTACAGTTAAAATGCTGTTTGCCAAACCGACGTTTTAAAACCGGTTGGCTTTATGCAGAAAAGAAAAATTCTTACCTTTGCCTCGATAGAATGGAATAATTCTAATTCTTACTTTAAATAGAAATAAAAAGAGCAAGTATTAAAGTACTTGAAATCTTTCTTTGACAGAGGTAATGGGGCAACATGACATTTTTGTTTCCATTTCTCAAGCTGTTTAGGAGGCTGGCTCCACATAACGCGAATGACTGAAACTAATTTTTTAACAATTGTCGAGCGTTGGTCAAAAACAACATCCCTTTCGTCAAAGCTTCACTTTCTTCCATTTAGAATGGACGGAATTGGCCACAGAAACTTTAATAAATTTTTTATCGAACTCTACGCTTACATATAAAAAGACTGATATGGCCAATATATAGAATTAATTTCTAGAGTAGGAGGTCGTTCTGGAATCCTTTGGATACAAAACCAGGTCCAAAAGTATGAAACATCCCTTTAGCTTCATTGAATGCGTACCCCTGCATCAAAAACGTCGACATTGTTTAACTAGACGAAATGGAACCAAGGAAAAATTACGAATACTATGAAGAATTCCCTTTTAACGGTTTATGAGAGTTCAGTTTCTTACCCAACGTCACTTTGAGTTATTAGAAAAACATATAAATCGTCTAAATGAATTTAATACTGGACGTATTTACAAAGTGGTGTCCTATTTCGTTCCAGCCCCCTTTTTTGAATTTATGCTTCTAATGCCGACCTCCTGCATGAAACATTTGAGAAATATAATTCAAAAAGACAAAAAAGGATCTAGAATATATAGCTGGCTTCTAATAGAATTAAAATCATTTGTGAATGATTGTGATAGATAATAAATCTTTCAAAAACATGATATAATTTTTAAGCGAGGAAATATACAAAATAAAGGTTTGAATTCCCAAATTCTGTAGTATGACTCTAAAGATTAAAAGATAAAGTCTGTAGTATGGCTCTAAAAATGATTTAAATGTTAATGGACAAATATTAAAAAATTTTTTTTCTTTAATTTACAAAAAATGAGCTAAGGGTTGTTTTCTGATTTCAAAGCATTGATTGTGAGCACATAAGCTATTCCAATTTTTCAGTTTTATGTTGTTTAAAAGCCCTTTTTTAGAATGAATATGTGGTAATATTGTTTTTTGGTATTTGTTACTACCAAGCTTCCAAAGGGAGTTTTTAGGACACTGAGAATCTGTAATTAGCGAGGGTTGGCCTGATGGAAACGTTCCCCACTCTATATGAAACGTCATATAAGTGACTCTAACAGCAGACCTTGAAAATGGCTTTGAAAAAAGCACTTTTCTTTGTCGAGGAGAATATTCTCCATTTTTTGGATGTAGTCCTTTTTGTTCAAAATAACCACTCCTGACCCTTTATCAGGCTTGGTGATAAAGATGTCATTATTAGACCGTAGAGATTTTAATGCTTGAAAATGTTCTCTATGCAAAAGAAAATATGAGTGGTCGATGGGAGAGCCACTGTAAGCGTACGCCAAATCGCTTAGTCGTGCTCGTAACAGCAGATCCTTGAAACTAACACCCGTGACTCCAACCACCGAGCCATCCTCACATACACGTTTTTTTATAAGAAAATATTTCATTAGAAAGTTGTGCTAGTTTCTTCAAAAAGTTAAGAAAGTTCAGGGCTGGATCTTTGAAACCTAAGCAAGTTGAAAAATTTAGATATTCAAAGTTTCAAAGAAAATTGTGATGAAAGAGTGAAATATTTCAACAATACAGTAATGTGCTGAGCAGGAAACGACGAATACAGTATGACGTTGAGGGTTTTGAGAAATATGGCATATTTATAGCATATTTCTAATGCTTAGTAACGTAAAACTTTCAAATTTTACGTTAAGAAAGTTTTAGTGCTTAAATTAGGAAATAGCTACGAGAGTCTTAGGGCTGGGCTGAAAAAACTTTCCTATTAAAAAAACGTTTATGCTGCTTACTGGTTACTGACTGCTTCATTTTTCATGTTTGTTGTGATAGCGATAAGTCTGCGGGCCTAAAAAGGCTTATTTCGGGATTTGGATGAGACTAAAAAGTGAGGGAAGCAAGATAAAGCTTATTGGTTCGAGATTTTAAAGAAGACAGGTTATAAGAGTCTCGGAAACCAGGGTAAAGCGTTTCAAATTTCCATAGGAAATGAGTTGTAGAACAATGCTCGTGAATTTGACAAGGAAAGGGTGAGCACACCTGAGTAATGTTATCAAACAAGCAAGTGCATCTTCACTCGTTTCAAACGAAAACTGGTAGATGCTTTGCTTAGATGTTACTTTCTTTGCGTATTTCCGCTTCAAAAGAAATAGTTCTTTAAATAAAGAACACATATCATTTTATCTCCTTTTTGCCTTCTTGTATCCTTTACAAATATCGTTGAGCGGCAGACCAGGACACGGTGAAGCCAAGTAGACAACCACTTCTTCGTTATCTTCATGGTCGCCTAGAACCAGTCGGTTTAACTCATAATGGTTGACGAGGTCCCACAGTGTGTGGAATGTCGTCTCTTCATGGCCACAAACATTGAACAGCCTCCTAGCACCTTCGCGACGCTGCTCAATTTGAACGTGCACGACACCGGCTTCCTCCGTTTTAACAGCTAGGGCATACCAACCCTCCTTCGCAAAGCTGGTGCTGAATCGAACAAGAAACGAACCTGATGGCTGATACTCAAGAACTCTTGCAGCATCATCTTGGTCCATTATCCCAGCAAACCAGCTGAGGAAAGAATTCATCGTAAGTTCAAACGACTAAAGAGTTGTCGGGTTGAAAGTATGAAGAAGAACTTACAATTTGCATTACGAACTAGAAGACTCTAATTCCAAACAGAGTTGTTAGCTGAACCAATGAATACCTTGTAGTGAGGCGAAAATTATTGAAATTTCGATTTGAAGATGCAAACGTAGTATTTATAAACTGCTAAAATTGCTGTGAAATAGTTGAACATTACAAGATATCATTAACAATAACAATATGAATTTCGTTCCGACGGGACTGGTAAGAGATAAATAACTGAATAGCTATTGTCACCTTATTTTTTCCTTGCTATCTTTTTTTACTCTTTGTGACTTCTGCCTCAAATAACCAGCCTTGAACGAAATAGCGAGATGAGGAAATTTCTTTCTGCAGAAAGCAATAGAGGGATTATTTTGGTAAGATACCGTACTAAGCTTAAAATTTGCGCCAGTTTTATTAATGTTACCAATTCAATCGGTAGCAACCCAACTGTGTTTGTAAAAGTAAAAAAGCAATTTATAGAAAAAAGCTTTCAATACAGGAAATGTCCTATAATAGTAAGTTGCTTTTTCCCTACCGTTCTGATGCAGCTATCGTCGTCTGCTGAAGGTGATCCAAAAAAAGCCAACATTCGTCGAAAGTTTTCTGGAGTGACATACTGATCATTGCTAGAAGCTGAATAAAAAGTGATTCACCAATAAAAAACTCCGTGTAAACTTGATTTCATGTTATTTTATTTTGGTTTACTTCAGAAGAAAGAAAGTGGTTATAGAGAACGCTTTTTCTTCTGGCTTGTATTGTATTTAACTACACTTTCAACATGGCTCTGGGGGGTAAAGGAGGACGAAAGAAGTAGTATTCGGGAAACAAACGAAAAATTGAAAAGCACAGCGCAAAGTGTTGGGTGTTCCAAGTAATTTTGGCAGCGATTGTAGTGTTTAGGCACACTATATAGTCTGATTAGCTGTATATACATCTAAAGACTTTTAAACGGAATAATAAAATGTTACAGAGAACTAGATGAGAAACAAACAATGAATTTGTACATTAAACAAATAGAAACATTATACTGTCAACAGCAATTTGACAACCTTTTTCGAAGGCTAGGCCATTTAAAATTGTTGTTACCACAAAAAAGTAGCTTCGTCACATTGCTCATATTCAAATAATCAAAAACATGAAATTCATAATAAATTCAATAACAACAAGTAAATCAATAAAAACTAAACAAAATAATAAACATATATCATCATATTTACCAGGATCCAGCCTCAAAGTATGAACAATGAGCTTCCAAGTATAAGGAAACTCTGTTCGTAATTTATCGTTTTTGAATAATTCTTTGAATGCTTTCTCTACATTTTTCAGTTTCTGCAAAACATAAACAATGATAATTTAAAGTAACTTGAAGAATGTCTTAAACGAAGCAATTCAAACACATGCTCGCTTAGAGTTTATATGTTTGGATAGAAACGTAGGTCTTTGGATTGTAGAGTTTAACCGTCAACAGGCTTTGCAATCTGAAGACCGTAAATCCACTCTTACAGCTTACAACTGCTCAACGACTTACCTGAAATTTCAACCTCAGCTTTTGCTTACAAAACCATCACGCGAATGCTCAGTATTGCATTGAAAACGCTTTTAGTTATCATTTTACAAACAAAACGATTAAAAGGTCTCTTCCAAAAGTACTTTGCTAAGATTCATTTGAAAAACAAATTTTCTCCAGAGCAATGAAATTCAAAAAAAGATTTTCAGTAAAGGTTGCGATTTCTTTTAGGTTGGAGGAAATATTTCTCCAGCAGTCTCTAATTCCTTGACATTTTCTTTTGTCGACCTAAATACAGCAAAAATTGTCACCCAGTGTTTCTTTCACTTAGACAGCAGAAATTTAGAGCAAGCATATTCAACTTACAGTCATGAAGCCCATCCAAGTTTGAATAAATCAAATATATAGAGGAGTTTACAGAAAATTATTATCTTCCACAAATAACCTTTTCTTGGCGTCTTTTTTCGCATTCGATGCTATTCCAGAATGTTTTGGCGCCAGGAGTAGATCCATCCCACTCATAATCGTCTGAAAAGTACATTTGTGTATAAAGTCTTAAGGAAGTAGCCATTTGAAAATTTGAAAAAACTCTGATACATTGTAGGGCGGAGAGCAGACATGCTTGCAGCAGCAAAATTATTCTACCTTTTACAGCAGCAAAGTCTTATTAAGGAAAAATACACTTTATTAAACATGCCTCAAATATGCTTCTATCTAATATAATCCAAAGTATGATTCTCCTAACATTACGGTATTCTTGCACCATTTTACATTAAGGGCAAATAATCGTTATGCAAAAATATTATCATTCATTAACCTTTTTCAACAGAAAGGGCACTTGGTGCTTGCAGACATTTTCGTTGCAATTATGTCTTCTTAGATAGTATTTATTGATCGTGCCCTAAAACATACGTTCGCAACCACCCAATACCCCCCTTATACCCCGGGCATGGCGGACAATGATACTTCATCGGGTAATTAGTCCTTCGCAGGGTCATCAAATTCTAAGAACATACCGAGAGAAAGTTTTTGTCGATATTTCTTGGCAGGAAGCAAAAATGTCGAAAATAGCGATATCTTAAAAGCCATATGCTTACTGGTCTGTCATAAAGTGCTTGATACCGTATAGGCAAAACTGTACATGATTTTGATGTATTTGAAAGGACGGTTCGAAGTTGCAAGTCAGAGAAACTCGCAATAGTAATAATAACTAACCATTGGATGTTGAGGATTCATCATGAGGAGTGGATGGACTTCTTATGACACGACCAGCTAAAGTCAACTGTGGGCTCCCTGTGCCTTCGCTTGTATCATGTGACACTTGCTCAACTGGATCTGATGATGCCCTGTTTCTAGACGGGAAACAACGAGTGTAATTTCGTAAAATAAACTTGATCATTTTCATCAGCAACTCAGTTGCATTTGTATACAGCACCAAGAGAATACCCAGAGCTCAGAAAACGTTTCACCCTTCCCCCGGGCGCAATGTTAATCAATTTGCTTCCCTCAAAATTACTCTGATCTCTTGAGTATAAGATTTTTGGAAATGTTATTTAAGTAAAACCATCTTAATTTGGTTTTTGAGCTTTTTCAGAGAAAAAATAAAGTTCAAGCACACCGGTAAATTGCCCTTAAGGCTGAAATACACTGGCTGAAATACAACTCTTGCAAAATTATGCACTGGCCTTCAAAACCACTGCATCGTTGAATAACCTCCCACCGGCTCACAGCCATGGAACCGTAATGTTTTCTGGATTCTGGGTAGACCATTGGAAAAACAAATCAAATTAAGTTATAAACTAAGGTCGAAGAAGACTGCTCTCAAAAGATGAAATTATTCTAAATGAAAAGCTTTGCATTCAAAGTGAATTCAGGCTATATAGGACATCTGGACATTAAGTGATATAAATGAACAGCGTATACAAAGTATCTGCACAAATGATCTCTTAATTATAAATATCTGTAAAAGAACTTCTCCTTATCAAAATAGCAGCTCTCACCTTTCGTCCCTTAACAGCTTCTCCTCAACGGACTGAAATCAAATAGCAGAATTTACTTGCTTTCTTACGTCTGCAAAATTCCTGTAGAAGGCATTTTGACAGGAGCCATTTAAAACGAAGCGGTTTTGACGTCATTAGACGTAATTATAAAGTTCAAAACCAATCAAATATAACTTCAAAACATTGGAAACATTTTAAGTTTAAATTAAAAAAAAATGTATTATTAGAATATCAAAAATGTAAATTGTTTATTGGCCAGTCTCGAAGGTTTGAAACATTTGTACGACTTGCTAAATTTAATCAAGCACTTTTGAGGCAGGTTATTTTATATGCGACATTACGATTCAAAAAACAAACATTCGAAAGATCACATTGAGGTGTCTGAGATCACATATTATCATTACTGGCCTTGAATTTTGTAGTAGGTGACACTTTTGCGGCCGTTTTTTAATGAGGACTCTTTCAATGTCATTGAGGCACTTGCGTGTCTCTGTTTGTGACTACTCATTGCAGACTACTCATTTGGTATTTTCTTTCAACGAGGAGATGAAATGTTGTTTTGAGCAACTTACAGTATTACTTGTTCCCTAAACAATATCGTAATAAACTGGTAAACATGAAAGTAAAAACTAGTAGCATGTGTTATGGATTGAATTCTTTTGCAAGATGCTACGAAATGGTCTTCGGAATTAGGCCAGTTGCAGTACAAAAAACGTGCAACCAAGACTTTTAACAATTTCCTTAGTATTAGACAAGAAAATTAACAGCTTTGGGCAACCAAGCCAAAAGTGAGTACCTCCGAGTTCGCCTTAATGAAATATAACATTTTTTATGCCGAGAAAAGCATTTTTATTGCAATTACAATACAGATACTCCTATCATCACAGCTCACTTTTCGTGTTATCGCGGTGGTCGTCAAGGTTTGGAAATAAGAAAATATCTTTAAATCTCTGACATATTGCATCCACACAGCAAAGCCAAAACAGGTTCGAAATGTACAGTTCAGCCCTACAAAACTTTCCATATTCAAAAATTCTGATTTTTGAAGTTCTGCAGATTAAATGCTTATTTTCATAAAATTTTATTACACAGGTTATTTTATCAAATCTGTCGTCTTTTCAAATATTTTAGATGCTAACCAGACTGTTGTACTCTTGTTATGATATAATGCGATAAAAAGTTTGCTTACTGCCTAAGACGAACGCTGTTCTGGACACGTAATTGTTTGTAAATAATAAAACTGTTAATGTGTATTCGGCATAGGTCACCTGGTTTGATCCATTTAAGGAGTTCTTTTAAAATGCCCTAAACAACTACATTTGCTTAACATTTGCTATTACTATTGTCAAAGTCTATCTGAGCTTTTCAAAATATCATTAAGTAAGCGCCCGAACTGAATCAAGTTCTTAAATACTTTTAACTATGATATCATGACGCCCTTGCAATGCATTTCAAGACCTGACATAAAATAAATTGCACTAAGCAATAACTGAAGTCGACACATCGTTGCAGTAAATTTTTCCAAAAGATATTTAATGTAAGTTCAGCTAAAAACTTATACTTACTCCAGCAAGAGGCGAAGTGTCTTTGAACTAAAAATGAAAATGGAATCACTATAAGCCAATAATAGAGAAAATGGGACACAATGACATTGTTAGTAATAAACTCAATTGCATTAATTAATATCAAATTGATGGTAGCTTCTTTTACAGAAAAGTATGTCGTAGAAATCTCGTTTTTCTTTGGTATTACAATATCATTATTGCAACCAGATTACAACAGCATTTAGCTCTGTAAAAGAAAGTCGCAAGTCCTATAATATTGAAAACTAATCGAGTATGTTGTATGATGTAAGCCTCCAAAAAGTAAACGAAATAAGTGATACAGTAAACAATTAAAATCCCATCAGGGCCTAATCCGAGGAAAATCTGAAAGACCACTTTTCCCAATTCAGCAGAATTCCTAAGGCGTAGCCACAAGACAATTCCCTGATCTCATACCAGCTCGATACAAGTTATACGCCTTTACATAAGAAGGTCAGTTCATTTTACACTAAATTTAAAAGCTACATCAACTAATGAAATATTTCTACTTCAATAATTTAAGCCAATTAAAAAAAGGATATGCAGAAAGTGATCTATTATATTTGTTGAGGAAATTTTTGCAAACATCGTATCAGTTCTATGCGTTCATATGGTGCTAAATCTTGGAACAACATCAACATAAAAAGATCATGGTCTGTCATCAGTTTTTGTCAAAAGTTTAAAAACTTCTTGTTAAGCAAGAGCTATCAAACTTGATTCTGAGCAAACTATATAGCTCTTTGACTAACATAAATGATTGATTACATTCAAAACCTCGATTAGTTCATCTACTGAGAGAGCTCCTCCTAAAGAAAATCCCCTGCAAGCAAAACCTTATGTAAATAATTGTTATTTATTGTCAGGTATTATAAATATGTTTATGTGATTTGTAATTATTGTATTTAATTAGTTGTAATGTAGTTATAGTAAGATATTGTAAGTAGAGGAATTTTAAAATGTAAAAAAGATTGAAAAAATACTGAAACTGAAATCTTCGTTTCCTTTAAAACTTTTCATAAATGCTCATTCAAAGCAGTTATCATAAGGAGGCACAAATTCCCGCAAAAGAAACTGCTGGCCTTGCTGTCCAAATTGTCTGTAGTAAACGGGTATTAAAAAGGGCATTATTTTCAAGTCCCTTCTAACCAGTTTACTCGTCATGCAGCTAGATAAACATTTCACTGCAAACGCATAACTATATAAATTTTTCTTACGTCTCCGGCAGCTATTTACAACTCCATCTCTATTTCTGTTCTACATAATTTTAGCTTAACACAGGATAGCCCAACACCAGCTTTTAGGCTCTTTAACAATCTCATTAAAACTTTTAATCTGGTACTATGAAAATCATTAGAACAATATTCATTTCATCTCTAATGTAGCAAAATATTGCAAAATAAACAGATACTTAAAGTTGTAACCTAACAACATATACTTTGATACGGCTTAATAAGAAAAAATCTCACATATATTTGTAATTTACATAGCAGAAAACAGAGATTATTTGAACATGTCAGTTTTTGATGTTACAATAAGTCGATTAAGTTTTCTTTTTGTCGTATTTCAAAGTCGTGGTCAGATTTAAATACGGTTATACAACTAATTTTGTCTGTCGTGCATACAACTAATCTTTGGTTGCTACTAATTTATACTATCCCTGCTGAAGAATCTTGATTTGAAAACGTTATTGCAAACTGGAGTCTGGTTTATGATCCTCATCTGCCCTGTAAAATATGTTATTTTACAATACCCAGCGAAAAGGCTTTCTGGAGAATTTTGGTGGAACGAAGGCTTGGACCATTATGGTGCGAATCCAGAAAAATGGGGCAACGCTATGCTAACTAAAAAAGGAATATAATAAACTTATGGTTGAATTTTTGGATGAGAAACAGCTACCCGTCATCAATTTTCATTTTCAAGACCAGTATCTGGGTATTCGCGGCCACTTTTAGTGAAAAAGACATTGCCAGATTAGACCATGTGTCAAATTAACCAATAGAGCAACTGTCGGACTGTCATGCATATAAAGTCATCTGCATTATCCTTGATACAAAAGAAACAAGCAAGTTCAGTTACCTGTGCTCTTTTTTCTTCGTGAGACATACTTTGACGCAATTCAGCTGAAAGACGTTATCAAAAACATGAATAAGAACTTTTTGATCAGTAGAGCAGATCGTATATAAAGTGATGCAAAGAACAGATTGAAGCAACGGTTCAAAGTAACTAACTTTCATCAGTAAAGTAACTTATTATATCATTCTACGTTTCAGAATTTGCAGGTTGATTATTTCTAACCAATGAATCATCCAAATATTAAAAGGCTAGCTACCCACTTTATTAATCGTACCCAATTTATTTATCGTACCTATTTCATTAATCGTACCCACTTTATTAATCGTACTCACTTTATTGATATTACCCATTTTATTAATCGTACCCATTTTATTAATCGTACCCACTTTATTAATCGTACCCACTTTATTAATCGTACCCATTCTATTAATCGTACCCATTCTATTATTAGTACCCATTTTATTAATCGTGCCCATTTTATTAATCGTACCCACTTTATTAATCGTACCCATTTTATAAATCGTACCCATTTTATTAATCGGGGAAATTTGCAAAGATTAATTCCAGACTGAATAATTCATGTTACTAAAACCAATCAACAGATACTAAAGAAGCTAAATTGAGCCATCTTCCAAACAAAAATTGACCAATCAGATAGTGTGATTCCACTTACATGCTCATTGATTGGTTAATAAATTGACAGATGGCTTAAGCCACTTTTACATGTGTCGATTGCCTTCAAAACATGGAAAATCCACAGAAATAAATTTTTATTTTGGCTGTTGTACTCACGAATAAGATATAACACTCAAGAATAAGATTACCTTTGAAGTAATATTTGACTATCACCTCCATGACATCAAATCTTTTGCACTTTAGGAGAGCATCAATAAAATTTGCTCCTGGAATTCTAGATGCGCTTTCAAATACTGACATCATTGGATCTTTGGTTTTTTTAACTGTGTTGATGAAAGCCGTTGTAAAGTCGAGATAAGCTGCAACCATTCTATAATCAAACCTGTCATCTCTTTCCTTGTTTAACAATTCCGCCATTTCAGCTTGATAAATGTATTTGATATCAACAATAAATTTTGGTACACAATTCTGAAAAATGAAACATTAAACAAAGATATATATATATATAAATATACATTGTTGGAATCCACAGGATAAAAAATCCATTGCAAAAATTCACAGTTCCAAGTTTTTGCTTGTGAGCCAAAGTTCGTTTGAAAACCTGGCTTTTGAGTCAGTAAACAATCGGGGATAAGAAACAGGTCCAATATTATACGCAGTGATCTTAATAATAGGCCAGGTCTGGTCCATTATCAAAAATCTTTTCCCTAGCAATTAGGTATAGGTTTTATCTTACGTAACTATAGAAAAGAGGATTATAAAAAGAAGAAAAGACAGGTTCTTTAATTACATGGTCCTCACTTACTCACACTTAACTAAAGATGTCACTACTGTACACTTAACTAAGCATTTCACTATAAGCTGGCCTATTCATGAAGTAATTTTTGTATCTTTTCCTAATCAAAATACGTTAAGTTTGATCAGCTAAGTAAAAACATAAGATAAACTTGAAATCATTCAAACCATCATCTAGAAGTTCAACTTGTTGAAAAATTCTCTCCCACTTCCTCTCTGATTGCATTATCTATGTTTTCAGATTATTTTGGAGCTTCAAGACAAAGTCTCTTACTCTGAGGCTCCTTTCTAACGGCCTTACTTTTTATCTCCAAATAAATATCAACAGCTCAGTCTTTTTATTATAGCATTTCTTTTCATAACAGTCCAGTACTTATCATTTTCGTTTATTATCAATACTTTTGTTCCCGCTTATGAGTAACCGACGTTCGATGTGGGGGTCATCAAGATTTACGGATCAATGGACTTTGGAGAAAATTTTTCGCGGATTACGGAAATCTGGCAATTTCTGGACGGAACGACGGAACTCTACACATTTGCTGAACGCAGATTTGTCGAAAAAGATGCATGAGATACGGAATTATTATAAAGTTTTGTGGATTTGTGGAATTCTTCACCTGTTGTCTTGTTAAAACATCTTCAAATAAAGGTCCTATCAATTTAGGCTAAAAATTACCGGAAAGGCGGATTCCTAACCCCCCCCCCTCTTGATGGCCCCCATTTTGATAGCACTCGCGTCCTAAAAAAACGTTCACCAAAAACTAAAGGCCTCAAATGAAATCCTTGATGACGCCGCGAGAAGATGTGAATTGAAAAAAAGTGACAACAACAATAGTGACTTTTGTTGCTAAATTTTTCCTAGTTCTCTACCTTTCTCTGCCAAAAAAGTCCCTTACTTCTTGGCACCCAGGTTACCTAAAAACATATGTTGAAAAGTAAATCTCACCAAAGCATTTCTGTACGTTGCATTGTTTTCAGGATCCAGGGCACCTGGATGGCTACTGGAAGAAATAAGAATTTCAACATGGTAATTATGAATCACATTTCATGAATTATGACAAAAAACAATCACAACAAGACAAAACAAGATAGTGCAGTCTGGGAAGGGGGAGAAATGACTATTAAAAATTCACCAAGGAGAGCCCTTTTATCTTGTTTTGCTACAATGTAACAGGCTAACTTAACCCCCTCTTGTATTTCCCTAAATAAATAAAAGCAACAATTTATATATTTAAAAGGGGTAAGATACTATTCAAAAGTATTCCCTGCTATTTATTAAGCAAAAGGTAGGAGCTAAATCTCTAATTTAGCATATAAAATGTTTTTTAATAGATGGTAGTATAATGTCTTGATGGTAGTATAAGCAATAAGCATAGAAAAAGATTAACAAATGATAATTATTTTATTTGTGGTTGATGGCTATTTGAATGCCAGGTAAGTAAACAAACTTTAAACTAATTTTAGAAATAATAAACCATATTAAATGTTAATGATACCCCAAGAAAGACTTATTTTCATCCCAGATTTGCCAAAAGTTGGCTGGCCTAAAGGGTGACACACTCAAACCTCTCTCCTTTCTTGGGTAGCTACAGCCCCCATTTTCATTACCCTTAGTATGGGCTTGTCATAAATAATGATGAAAAGTACCTTGCACCTTGACACCCTTTCTTCTCTTTCCAACCCTCTTTCTGGTCCTTATGAATTTGTCTAAGCTATAGAAATATGAATAAAGAAGAATCAGATTTAATGTATATTTGATATTTTCTTATTCTACTATGTTCATTAATAAAGTAGTTTAAGGGAAAATATTTTCTTACTTTTTCATTCATTTCTTCTACATTTATATCATCACATTCAACTGACTGTTTTGGTACCGGTACCTAAAAAAGAATATTCAAACATAGAAAAAATTATAAAATATCATTAAGGCTCTTATATCATAAACATATTCTTACCAATAGTAAAGACCTGCAAATATTACCTTGCACCTGCAATGTGCTACTTACATTGAAATATGAGCCTTTTAAATAACTAATGTAAAATGCAATTTAATAAGTAGTCCAATTGAAAAAAGTGCAATATCATTAACATAGCAAGGGGGCAATGGGCAAGGCGTGCAGCCACAATCCCAATGATTGGAGAGTTGGTGCCTGAGAAAAGCAGAAATCTAAAATAAGTCAATGCAAATGGCAGCTTCCTGCATTCCAACTGGTGTTGTACTAAATCACCCAAGACACCTCTGGCTAGGCTCCCTTCAATCACCTTTGCCTCCCCCTAATCTTCATACCTAGGCTGAAGTTCTGTGCAGCTTTTTGCAAAGTGTTTCTTATTGTGTGCAAATTTATTTCCAACATCTACCACCTATACTTCATTGGATCAATATTGATAACTTAGAGCTTGACAGGCTACAAATAAAACACATCTTATAGCTAAAAATCCATTGAAAGATGATAGAAAAGGAGCCAAACATAGAAGAAAGAACTATGATCTTACTACATACGGGTTGTTCTTGCTGCATGGAATCCATTGGTGAAGCAACTTGGATAGGCATCACTAAAGAATTCAAGGCTTCACGCCCTTTACGCTGTTGATTTTCACTAAGCAAGTAAGTGCTGCCTTCAGTATCAGCAGTCACATTAGAATCCATCTTGTTCCCAGAAACATCCATGGTCAGGTAATCTCTAATGGGACATTTATGGTATAAATACAATATATTTACAATTATTTGTAATTATTTAACAAAGCATAAAAAGTAACTGACACCATGGAAAAAAGCACACATTCTGTCAATTACTGTCCCTTAAAGTCACAAGCAAGCCCAACCCTCTTGTTTTACTCACAATGGCTGCAGCTCTTTGGCTCCCTTTTCAATATCAAATGTTTGACTATGCCACCCTCTAGTTTCCTTTAAGTTTTGATGCAGCCAAGAAGAAAAATGAAAAGCCGGTCATAAACTTTAGTATCTGAAATTATTTTTCAGGGAGTGCAAAATACGCTGGGGCAGAGAAACTGTTCTGAAGGGCACCTTTGAGTCAAAACAGAGAAATGATATACTTGTATGCTTATATTCATTCAAAACCAGACATGAGCATTACAGCTTGGGCCTAGGAGCTGATAAGAATCCTATTTATTACATAAAGGAATGATAGTTTTGAGAATTTACATTATAATGAGAATCTTATAATGACTAACTTTTTACCACAATCCTATCTGACATATGACCCAATTTTTCAGTTGTGTCTCTCTATGAAGTAAACTATATATTTGTATCATGTTTTAGTTTGATTTGAGTATATCAAGAACTTTAAGGCACAATCTAACAGAGTCATGAACAAGTATGACTGCTCTTGGATGAACAGGACTCTTGCGATGTCTTGTAACAGAACAGACTAAATATAAACAATGAAGCAGACAATTATCATTTTGAATGACATTTCTATCAAAATTCTGGAAAATGATTAGTTGTTAACCAATGTACTGAGAACTTGTTTCGGGAAATCACACATTTTTGCCGCTTTGTTGATAACAGGATAAAACAGATTGTGCCTATGACGTTTTCATTTTGAAACAGTTATAAGTGAAACTATGATTCAAAGTTAAGAACAGGACATGGCTGGTGGGAATCAGATAAAAATTCATTCTGAATCAACAACATTAATTTTTTAAGCATAATTATATTATTATCTATAAAACATTGCCAGAATTTTAATACCGGTCGTATATAGATACCGTAAATCAATCCACAGGAAGGATGGCCTAGCCTTAGCTATCAATATCAATAGCCATAATTTAGTAGCTCTAGTCATTAGCTTTTTCAATTAAAGTTATTGTTATAAAGGTGTTATCTGCTATAACGTAACATATAGGCCATGAACTTACCAATAATATCTTGGCTTGGCAATACACAGCGCAGTTGCATATCAATTAGCAAATCATCACCTCAACTCGTATCTGTTATGTATCTTGTTTGTTAACTATGGTTAAAGGAAGCGGAACTCTTGCCACATTTCCGAGAACTAACTATTCATCCCAGTGATTTGCTTATTATCGCAAAAACCTATCTGAACAGAACAGATAATGGAAGAAATTGGAAAATAAATGGTACAAAATGCATAACGCATGATACAGTGCTGCGGGGAATTACCTCTAACACCTTGGAGAAAACTGGCAGTAATGGCGGCGGACAGGGCAGCAGCGGATCTGATAGAGGAACGTCTTCGTTTAATTTTCCAAGCTTTAGGAAATGCCGAGGAACAATTGAGCATAGGCTGCTATAAACGTGTTGAGGAAAGCATGAAAGACATGAGAAACAACTTAGTCAGCTTAAAAGAGGAGGTTTTTTCCGCCCTTAAAGACGAGGAATACGAAGGTATTTATCATTTCTTGTGAACATTTACACTCATTTTTTATAAGAAACTGGCTATAAGAAACGAGTACTGGACAGTCAGAAAAAATTAAGAAACTCCAGTACTCGAAGCATAAAACTTTAGGAACTATTAAATCGTGATAAAACTGAGAAAAACGGAATTTTGTAAAATCCAAGAACAAGATTGCACTGTTGGCCTAGAACTTAAGACATAAGGGATAAAAATATTCTTCCCACGTCTAAATACAGCATCAGAACGGAAGCGAATCTCGTGACGTGAAAAAAGTCATGAACATTTCATAACATCATTCATGACATCATGATTAAGAAACTCTTAAGAAACAGTGAGTATTGAAATTTCCAGAACATTAAGAAACTGGAGTACTCAACATCGACCTTTGTTTCATATAAAAAATGAATGTATTTAGTGAAATGAATGCGGTGCATAAGGTGCATAGCCAACTCTCTGCAACACATCTCTGCATACACAGTTTTTTGATAACACAAGATAAATAATGGTCGTTATAATCCTGCAGTGTGGAGAACATTTTTATAATTTTTGCTCCAAATTTGGCTCAACAATAACCTGGCCTGCTTGGATGCTTCATTGTTACTTTGATTCTATTTTGCATACATTATATTGATTTTGTGTTTGTTAACACCAGGCACATCATATTAAACGTAAGATAAAAAACAGCGTAGTTAACATGTCGAAATGATTTGCACCAGTCATTCGACAAATAAGAAACAAAATGTTGGGTTACGCTTTAAGAAATTTGAATACTTTTAGACAAGGAAATAGCACCAATGCCATCCCTGAAATCCCCCCCCCCCCCCAAAAAAAGAAAATTATGTGTTGCAGCGAACGAATCTGCCAGATACAAAAAAATTATACTTCCGGCCATATTACAAGGATTCTCTCATAAGGTCACATAAACAACAAATTTGGTTACCCACATAATAAGCAATAGAAAACACATGTAAGAAGGAATAAACTCAACATAGGCTGTCTGCTGGATTCTGTGAATCTTGCAAATATGAAAGTAAAATTCAGGAACAAAACAAAAATAATCCAATATTTTGTATTAAAATTTTAAAAAAAAGATTAAATTCATCAGAGTTAATAGACCTATGTTTATATAATGGCAATATCGACAAGCAATGCACACTAGAGGCTCCGACGAAGTGGGTGCCGGGGGGCATACAGTTTTTCAGAATTTTTTGAATGGGTACTAAATTTCGTTTTCCGACGTTCTAGAGGGCGTGGCCTCAAAATTTTTCTGACACACCCATTTCAGCCCCTCCACTTGACTGACGCGCGGTCTCTGGAGCCCAGGACCTCACCCTCTGCACAACGGTAGCCTGCCCGTTAAATTGGGCAAAAGCCTACTTCACAGAAGTACAAGGCAAGTTGGGCTGAGCCCCGGTCTTCGCCTTACTTGCGATTTATTGCCTGTTTCTTGCCTCAATTGACCCTCTTCTAGTATTAAAGTGTTAAAACGCCTCTTCTTTTAAACGCCCTCGATAAAAACGTCCCCAAGTTGGAAAAGGCTAACAATATAAAAACATTTATCACTTAAAATATAGATAATAAAAACACTTGAAGAAATTAGCTGTTGGCATTGAATTGACTATTACATTTCTTTGTGCTTACTGTTTTCTTTTCCTTTGTGAAGTGATTGTGAAGATGTAAACAGAAAGTGATTGCGTATTTTTATTTGCAGAAAGCTTTTAATGTTGGACTATTGTATTGTATTTCTTGATGTTGGTCTGGATGAATGCTTCCTACACTTTGCTTCTGCTGAGAGTCGTTTAAAATGATGTTCATGTTTTACTGGCGTTAAAATGTAATGGATCTGCTTTACCAACCTCCGCAGTTTTTTTGCATTTTGATGGGTTTACTGACTGGTACAAATCTCAAGGGCCTTGTTTTTGAAAATCGGGGTCCGGAACCCTAGTTTCCCCCTTGTTTGCGTCACTGTGTGCTAGATGCAAATAACTAAATGCGTATTGATTGTCTGGCACAATAATTATTTTTTCTTTACAGACAAAGAAAAGCTGCAAGAAGTATTTGAGTTCAAAATCTCTCAAGATTTGCTTATGCTTGAAACGTCTGAACCTCTTGGACAAGGGGGCTTTGGGAAAGTTCTCAAAACTGATTTTAAAGGGAATCCTGTTGCTGTCAAAGTTATCAAGACAGTACAGGATAAAGATGCAAAAAGAATACCGTTAACTGAAGGAAGGCTTTTAAGGTAATAAACATTGGCATGACCAGAAACTTTTTTAAAGGAGCGTGACTAGCCAATCCACAAGTCTATACCTAGACATCCTTTTTCTACGCCACTACCTTCAGCTCTTTTTCACCACCATCAAAATCAGACCGATTATTGTTCTTATCTGATGAAAGCCATTCCGAAATCATAGTCATTGCTGTAGCAAAATTTTGAATAAACGATACTATTGCTTTAGAACTTCTTTAAAACAAATGGAATAATTTTCAGAAGCAGAAACCTATCAGCCAAAAGAAGCAGTTAAAAGTTCTTATAACAATGTGTAAAAGATTCAAGTGATTTTGTCTATTTAGAGGCATTTTATTGTATTCTTTTGGGCCATATGTTCGAATTCCAAAATTTTTGAATAAGATTTTTTTTCTGCATCTGTGACTCATTCTGTAATCAGTATAGACGACTTTGACCCTTGACCGCCTCTTGTGCCTTGCTGAAAACACGATATCAATAGCCATTTTTCTTTTCTTAGGCACTTGAGTCACGACAATATTGTAGCCTTCCGAGGCATGGGACAGCTAGATCAAGATGTAGAAAGCCATGGATTGAAGCGAGATTCACATTTCATTGTCATGGAATACATTGGCAATAATCTGAAGAAGTATGTAGAGAAACAGACAACACATGAAAGTAAAGGTCTACCGCTGTACTTGGTGTGGGATTTCGCTAGACAAATTGCAAATGGTTTGGAATATCTACATACGATGGGAGAGCCGTTTAAGCCAATAGCACATCGTGATTTAAAGCCAGATAATATACTAGTAGGTATAACGTATTTTCAGTCAAAGAATCTCTATGACTTATAAGAGACTGAGAGAACCTCAGTAAGAGATTGACACTGAAAAAGCCCATACAAGCTTGATGCTTTTTTGACCGCCTGTTGGCCACTCCCTCTCTATGGCTCTGACAGTAGAAATACTATCTGTGTGAAAAATAAAGAATTAGAAGAAGGCGTCATGGCCCAATCAAAAAGTCATATGCCTCGTAGAAAATGAAACAATCAATGATAGAAAAAAAATTTCATTTTTGTTAGGAAATTCCTGTATCCGACTTTAGAGCAACAAATTTTATCTCGTATCTGTGATAATAAAGACTTTGATCTATAAAAATTTTAATGCCAAATATCATTTTTTCACTGTTAGAAAGTTTTTATCTGTAAATACAATCATACAGAAATACAACTTTGAGAAGATAAAAAAATGTTTTAAACTTTCATGTGTAGAATATGGCTTTGAGGTGGTGCTCCGACAAACCAGCGAAACTCGGACTAGCAACTTGGAGCCCTTCTTTTTAACACAACAAAGTGGGTCAAGCTTTGTGATAAAAGAACAAACATAAATCTTGATAATATTCAATTCCAGTTATTTTGATAAACTTATAAATATTGTTTTTATATTCTCGTAGTTAGATACAAGCCCAATGAGTATGAGAGTTAAACTGGCAGATTTTGGCCTTGCATATCAAGATATTTTTGAAGGTCGAGAAAGCCAGTTTAATATTCGATGGGCGGCGCCTGAAATATGGAGGAAGCTAATAGATGATTCATATGATGATTTCACTGATGATACTGATGGGGAAGATGTTGCTGAAGAAGAAGAGGCTGAGAGAGAAGCAACACCGCGAGATTCAAGTAAGCATTCTGGGGGATCAAGATCAACGAAATCAGGTAAAAACTGTTGGACATTTTATAATCTATGATTCAACTACGACTTCGAACAAGTCTTTAAAACCAGCAGCACTTTAAGGCATACTTAAGATTTCTGTCTAAAACTCAGTGCTGCATGTTTTTATAAAACTTTACACCTCTCCTGATCATCATTGAAAGATACTTCTCTAACGTTGAAATTACATTTTAATACACAAAATCAAACCCTAGAAACTGGGGCTAATAATTTCTTGCTTTCTGTTCTAAATATTACAGTCTATGACACGATACCCCACACAATCAGTACAGCTGCAGCTGTATGCTCAACATGACAAGGATAATTAATAACCACAATAATTAGGCAGCACAATATACAGCCGCATAGTCTGAGGTCCCCATGCTGGAAATAATGTACATGAATATTACAATTGAAAATATGGTTCAACTGAAAATGCTTTTAAACAGCGAAAGAAAACTGCACAGACTAATATAATATTCTTGGTGGTATTGCTTAAAGAGACTGTCGAGTCTCTAAGACTCATGCATACTTCTTTTCCTAATATAAGTTAATTTGCCAGCTGGATAGAAAAGTGGTAATGATTTTAGGCCAAATAGAATCTTTGAAACCAAACGAGTCTTAAGAAAGTCAAAAATTCTAAAAATTAGCTGTAAAAAGCCAATTTACCAACTTTTTAGAAAACAAGAGGACTTTTCTATCCACTGTTCGGTAAGCAAAAGGGGAGAGCTTTCTATCTATCGTCTATCGATCTATGCAATTATTATACAGAAGCGAAATACATGTCCATTAAACACAGAATTATTATAAGATTGCAAATGTTTGTTACATGGCGTGACAACTTATTAGACAATTGCTATCTAATTATCAAGTGCTTCATTTTTACTTTACCCATTCACAACATCCATTCTGTCTCTTCCTCCAATTTTTTAAGCTAGCTCTTTTTTATTTAAGAAGTCCTTTTTTATCTTAAAGTATTCATTTTGCATGTCCCTAAATTGTGCCCCATTTTTTGTGCCCCCTCCCACGTTTAAGCACGCTACTTCCTTGGTTTTGTAGTTACCAAGATAAGAAAAAGACAGATTGGCAGTTTTCTCTTTTTTCTGATCTAGGCTATTATCCAGCAAACTATGAAGCAGATATTGGATTTTACCTTCAAGCTGATATTTACTCGTACGGCATGGTGATCGCTTTTTGCCTAACTGGAGATTCCCCTTGGGGCAATGTTGTAACAACCATTTTAGAGTATGGTGAAGACTGGGATCCAGCAATTGCCAAAGTAACCCTTCCTACTAATTTACCAGCAGAGGATCATGCACGAAAAATCATAGAGTTATGCTATACTGAAAATATTGATGAAAGGCCCAAAACTGCACAAGATGTTGTCCAGTTGTTTTTCAGAGGTACGTCCTGGTTTTGCACACCTTACCTTCCATTGACAGCTTAATTCTCTAAACCGAGGATATTTCGTTTCTTAGGGGTATGAAGTTATTTAGTCCTCATCGCCCTTTTTGTTTACTATCTTCGCAGGCAAGAAGAATCCGTACAAGTCAACCCCTTCCAGAGCAGAGTTCTTCTTCTGCGGCTTTTTAACAAATACTAGCATATTTGTTGCAGACAGTCTCGTCAGTGAGGTACAACACTTTAGCTTATCCAACTTTGTTAATACCTTAAAATTCTAACCGATATTCTAGCTGGTTGCTTCATATGTTGATTAGCTCTGTGTTTAATGGCAATTGTAAATTTACTTCAAGTTTATTGACAACTCTCCCATATGATTACTCTTGACGCAATGACTTTTACTTCTGCGAAATAGACTAGTGAAGGCTACTACAGAAGTAAGGAAATGCCAAGAGGCTACCCGCCCAATTGCTTGATATGTGAAGTTGATGTCGATAATCGTCCATATCACATCCTGCCGAAAGCAATGGAAGAATGGGAATACTATGAAACATATAAAGAAAAAATGAGATTTTTCAATGAGGTAAGTTCACTTAACAGAATTTCGGGGTCAATAGCCATAGCATGATTGCCCCTCTTAACAAACACTGGCTGGTATGTTAGGTGCTACAGGCAGTGCCGCGTCATCTCGCCAACCAATACACATAAACTGTTAGCCGAATAGGGCTTTCTTCTTACTGGGAACTTTATTTTGTTTCCTACAGCCCTTGTTTCCTTTTCGTTATACTTTTAAAATGATGTCTGTTTTTGTGTAAAACAAAAAGTGGCATTTTAAAGACTGATGTTGTAGTTAAGACTACACCAAGTGTCAAACTCGGAGTATTGATTTAACTATTCTGTTCTACACACAAAAACGTGTACAGCTCTGCGTATACGATGTAGACTGCATACCAAGACTAGGATCAAGTTGCATTCATCAGGTTAAGTTGCATGTTTTGTATGATAGAAGATGCATTACCAGCATGCTTATCTGCAGCTGTCTTGAGAAAATGATTGTGTTTTGTATTTCTTTGCAGTATAATATTAGGCCAGTTTTGAAAATATAGTCGCAAAGTATGTGGGTTGCCCAAGACCAAGCCCAAGAAGTTAAGCAAAAAAGCTATATTTCACTTCGTTTTACAGCAAGCAGAGAAAAAGTTTATCGAAAATAACCCAACAATCGCTTTGAAGATGCTAGTAACGCCGAGAGAAGGTGAGCTTGAAGAGCAGGAAATACTTCTGAATTTTGCAGAAGGCACGTACGTTCATCATAGAGCGATGAGGGACATATGGAGGAATCTAAGTGACGTAGAACGGGAGCAGCTTGTGCCGTCAAAGAGCCAGGTGAACAAAGCGTACAGCACTTCATTTGGCCTGCATGTAGCAGTGCTCACTGCCGATGATCCACCGAAATTTCTTTTCTGTCGGAGAGCAAACCGAGGTTAGTTTTATAAGCAGTTAAGATCAAAGTCTGTCTTTGGGATTATGAAATATGCCACCCTGGAATCGTTCCAAAAGAAAACTAAAAGCACAATAGTGTAACTTTATGCTTTATGTGTGAGAGTCGTGCTTGTCTGGTTTGCTAAAAAACCTAAGAAAAGTCGAGAGTTAAACTGTCGGTAAATTTCGAGCCTTGCAATGATTCTCAATTAATTCTTATATTTCATCTGTTTCGAGCTTTTAAAATTTATCCTTACAAAAAGAAAAATGTGTATTGTTCAAAAGAAAAAGACTGCAATATATTTTTATTTGCTTTTCGCAGTTGGTATGTCATCTCCACGGGAATACACCTGTGGTGCAGTTGAGAGCGTTTCAAAGAAAGATTGCTTTGAAAACGAAGCAACAAAGAAAACTTATGTGTCACTCTTGAAAACTGCCTCTCGTGGTCTCGAAGAAGAGCTTCGTGTGGAGCTGGTTGGGGACGAGATTGGAGCAATATGTCTGACAACAGTTTATATGAAGTATGATACTCATGAGTGGGGCATGTGCGGCTTTGTTGACCTGAATGATCCACGAATCGCAGCAGAGAGGCGACTTTCTTACAAACAATTGCAGTCTCGCTTTACTGGCGGCCCCAAGGACAAGTTCGAGCATGACCTGGTTGAAGCAGTCGACTTCACTCTCGAAAATATGATGGATTTTGTGCGCACAAATTTCATGGATTTTGCCAGCTCTGGAAAACTTGTTGTCGTCAAAGTGTTGCAGTCATTCTTCGGTATGCGAAGAGTAGAGCTTGCTTTTCAAGCTGTTGATACTTCATAGAAGATTTCGATATGACTTGCAGTACTGCTAATAGCATGAGAGACTTACTTTGATCATAATCTATGCTTTGATTTCCAATAGCCCCCAGAAGGGTGAACAGCATAAACTTGTGTATGGACATTGTGTCCGGAATTAATATTAGAAATAGATTTCTTTTTATGACTTATAAATTACAATATATCTTTATCAAAATTACATCACAGTGAACACAAATTGGAGTGTTTTCTTACAACATGATGTGAAGAACGCAAGACTGTTCTAGAGTCTGCAGCTAATTTTTGCGACGTGTTTTTGAAAAGAAACGCAAAAAAGCAAATTTTATCTTATAAAATTAACATTAATTAATGAAATGATATCTTTCCTTGAATGGATGAGCTATCTTAATTTTTACATTGACAGCTCTCAATCTTAAATTTTTTAATAAAGAGGAAAGAATTTATAACCAAAAATACAACACGTAAACAATATCATCATAGGCATGTTAGACGAACATTATTAATTATGGAGGTCGATTTAACGTACATAAAAATTCAATAATAATTCAAATCAATATTCAAGAAATAATATCATACATACATTAAAAACATACAATCTATTCAAATTTAAATAAATTTTATAATTTCTTACTTTGTTTCAAGTATGAAAATTATTATTTTATCTGTCAGCTTCAGCATTAGCATTTAAAAATTGAATACCTGCAAATACTTGATGGCAACGACTTTAAACAACATTAATCTACTGACTTAAACAGCATTCATCTAAAATATGTGTTCATTATTTAGAGAAGCAGCAATATTTAATCACCATTGCTGGGTTTTGAGAGTATTTGAGATTATTCAGTATTTAACATATTCATACTTATTATTGTTCAAGCATTGTTAGGCCTAGGCCTTGCTGCTCTTTGCAACGCAGTACAAAGTTATGTGGGGGAACTTTAGTATTTTTCATGTTGAAATCACACAAAGCCAACAGCCTACATTATCATTTGCAAAATAACGAGAAAAGCAGAACCAACTTACAAACAATGATAAAGTTATAAATAAAACCAATTTTTCTATTGTTTATATTAATTGACCGACTTGCAATGACCCCTCCATGATACCAAAGGGTTTTGAGCAACGACCCTTGTAAACTGTCGGAATGTCTCTTTCATAGATAATACAGCTGAGAATCGAAACTTACCATCGCAAATTTTCCAATACCAGCGGTCAAGCACATAGCTGATCATCAAAAGGATGGGGGACAAGGAGGCTGACGCCTTATCTCTTAACATATCCTCCTTTGCACAAAAATGAAAATAGATATCTCATTAGGAGCATGGATCTATGTTATTAGATTCACCTTTTCAGGGTTTTTGGATTTAAATCTATCAAAGACATTGGAAGGTAAAAGCATCAGCAGAAAACCCCCGACTATAAGAAACGAAGCTCCTATCTTCAATCCACTAAACGTTTTGTTTCTATACACACTGTCGACAATACCATTAATCGGTATTCCAAGGATTGTACCAAGTGAAATGAACAACGGAAAAGTATACGCAATGCCAAAATTTATGAGGAAATTAAAAACTAAACTCAAAATCGATCGGCCACACAAAAAGCCCCAAGGAATATTGGACCAGTTTATTGACTCCTCGTGGGTGAAATACAGGATTTCAAAAGGAGGCCACAGGACTAAAAAGTTGACGATGCCAAGCAGTGAGAGAAAAAGTGCCACTCTGTTAACTGAAATATCACCAAAAACGCGCTTGAACATAACCTGAAAGGAAAGGGAAGCTATGAACAGATGTGAACTTTAAGAAGAATATGGTTCTATAAGACTGACTACAAAAATGATATTTTTAAAGCTATATACTGGCGAAACCACGATGAAAACGAAAGCAGCATTCAACATATCGGAAAAGTACTACATCATTTAATTTTATATTATCAAATTTCATATTATTTCTACTTTATTGGATTTTTATTACATTATCTTCTATAATGTTTTCATTATATCATACTCTGTTTTGTTTATTATTTTATATTACAATGATAGCAGGTTTAAGCTTGTGTTCCTTTAATGCTAAATAATTGTTACATTTCATGTTGCCAAAATTAATCATAAGACACCACAGGAAAGACATATCCAACATCGTAAATATTTAAAGATAGCAATAACATCAACAATGCATCATTCTTCAACTTAGTATGTTTCTGTTTTTCCATGCCAATTTCAGATTTTGCAGGGCCAAAGGGCTATTAAGCAATTTTTATTGAACACAATGACTTTACAGCCAGTTACAAAATCACAATACTTTGAATGGGTATACAGTGTTTCATACCTTGTAAAAGGCAGCTCCAACAGCTGCAGACATTGACAGTAAAACACCCTCTAGAGAGGGACCCTTAAAACCATCTGCATAAGCCATAACAACAACACCAGAGATCGATAATATAACTGACATAACCTGCAATTAAATACAAAAATTAAAGACTTAAATTTTAGGTTGAAATGCCATAGAATACTTCTTGTGGCATCAAAAGATAGTTCACGGGCAGTAAGGTAAAGAATGTACCTCATAGTTTAATGCAATCTTTAATAAGTTATTTGTTGTGATACATCTGTTATCAAATGATTTCACATAAATTGTTTGCTTTGTTGATACATATACTTCCTTAAGGCAACATATTTCCCCTGAAATATGAATAATTTTAGAAAGATTTATGAGTATAAAATAAAAAGCCAAATAACTTACCCGTAAAAGCATGAATTGTTCCTTTAGAATCAGGAGGGAAAACACATAAACAAATGCATTACAACTTGCAAACATGGCAGTCACATCTGTTACTGCTACTTTACCAAGAGCCCTGGTATAGCAGTAGTTTGTTACACACCAGATGAGACAGAATGGCAACACAATCTTGAACAATGACCTGGGACATACTCCATTGGTACCAAAGATCATTGCATCATTCCTCAAAAAGAAACAAAATACTTCGCTTAATTTATAGCAAAAAGATTTTAAAGTTGACCCCTCACATTCCAGGTCTGGTATTTGATGATTATTTGATTATTGGCAATATCCTGTTAAATGCCTTAATTTTCTTACTCCTGGGTGCATGTTCACCTCTATTTTTTTACTCTAATCAGGACCTCCTGACAATAACATTTCCACATAACATTCCTTAAACAGCTAAACAGTGTATCATTATAGAAGAGATGTTTGTTGACATACCTGATTATTGAATGTACCAGGATATTTCACCCCCAGCTAATTTAACCCCCTTTAAACCTGTCAACAGGCCTCACACTACCCAACATCATGCTTTTAGACTGACAGAAATCCCTCCCCTTAGAAATCGTTCCCCGAAGGAATGCCAGCTTGTCAGGTAGCATGTATTAGCAAAGGAAGATAATGCACTAAAAGGAAGGGTAACATCAAATGGAAATGGGACAAAAAGTTGAGTTATCAATTGTTAACAATAACAGCAGTGTAACTATAGAGGGTCAGACTCATTGCAATATGGGGGTGTGAGGGTGTGACACTGTTGAGACAAATGCAGTATTTGAAATATTCTACTCTATGTTGCCCCTATAATATGGAAGCCCCCTTTCCCCTTGAATCAAAATTAATTAGATTTGCAGTTCTTTAATGTTGGCTTCAAAAACATGCATTCAATATTGAATTGAGGGGGGGAGTTATTTTTCAAATGAAAGAGAAAACATAAACTTTTCTTAAAATGTCTCAACTATTCTTGTCCAGGATTGTAGGTAAATTAAAAGTTATTGTCCATAGACAGGAATGATTGACCTTAAGAGTTGATATTTGTTTGTAAGGGGTGTTGAGACATTACTCTGAGTTGACTTTATCGAAATTATCGTTGACGAAATTATACAAATCTTGTTTAGTCAATATCAACATCTAGGCATATCTGCTGAAAGAGTTTAAGGGATTATTATAAAAATATTTTCGGTTTTTAGTATCGAAAATCAGAGTATCTGAAAATAACTCTGAGTTGTTGGTCTTTTGAAAATAACACTATAAAAATAACACTGTCGTGCGGCTTTGCACAAAATGTGGCCAAAAACAATAACAAAAGTAGAAATTGGCTACTTTTGGCTACTAATTGGCATTAACAAGAGGACTGAGCTCCCTTAGCAACTTTTTTTGTTACTGGTACATTCATTGGAGCACTTGCTGCAGCTTAAAATCCAAGTGAAGGAAAGTTTCTTCTGCATACTTGAGTCCCCAAACAAAATTTGAATGCGTGCCCCTGTTAACCAGAATAAACTTTTAACCAGTGGCCTAGTCTGCAGAGTATGGCATGTGCACACCAGAGATATTTCTGTGCAAAACCTGTTGCACACCAGGTATTTTTGGGTGTGGCAACTAACATGGGTGTGGCTTGGTGTGGTCCCATAGAAAATGACAGCTGATAAAAACAAGCACAGTTGTGTATGAACAATTTGAGATATCATGAATCTTACTTGACAAACATACAAATAAAAACTTGCGATATCTTCAACAGTATACTTCACACGCATTTTTACGGTGAATTTTCACGAATTGTAACCACAGCATGGGAAAATAGTCGGTGCATACCAGCACATCAAACATTTTTGGTGGTGCACACCGGCACACCAGGCTTTTTGCTCGTGCACACCGGAGATCTCGTCGAAAAGTGCCATATTCTGCAGACTGGCCAGTGGCGGAGCCACAGGGGGGAATGAGGGGATTAGTCCCCCCCCCAATTTTTCAGAAAGTTGGTCCATGAGAATCTTGCAAACCTGATGAGAAAACTTTGGGGGGGGGGGTATGTACATTATCTAGATCGTCACATTTAAATGACATTACCTGGGAGACAAGAGGCGTTTCCCCCGGAATAAAATGACTCAAACAGGGAAAACAAGGGCATGATCCAAAACGGCGTGGTCTCTGACAGGGGCGGACTGGCTAATTATTTTGGCCCGGGCAAAATTTGATCAAACCGGCCCACAATAATAGCAATAAAAAACTCCTCGGAAAATGCAAGTAAATGTTAGTCTGTAAGGAAAACAAGTTTTTAAATTCAGTAATTTTGTGCATGGATGAATGCTGGTTAACAGAATATGGTTAACGGAACATGTTAAATATGTCATATGCTGACTAAACAGTAAATAAAAAAAATTGTAACTTCTTGGTTTGACTCTGATTCTAAATACAGGAACTTATATGTTGATAATGCTATCGTTCTGGATGTCATTTAACAGGTGCTTTTCTAAGAACATTAACATGAAGGACTCCAGGTTTGGCTGCGAAAAATTACTACGTAACCTGTTCTTTATTTATTTAAAGTGGAAAGGCTTCTATCACACTCCACTTGTGACAAATAATTTTCTAATCCTCCGGAAAACCACAATGATTTTCAGCAACCCAAAAATATCAATTTGTCAATTTCTGACCCCAAAAAGAAAACATGGGCACCCCTGTTGAAATTTTATCGTGTAGCACCTTACCATACTGTTGGGCAGGGGGTGCATTTGACTTATGATAGTGTAGGCCTAATAACCTTTCCATAACTTGTTTTAGTTTATTGAAAGGAGCAAGAGCAAGACCCTGCTGTTTTTTGTGATGTTTGTGGCTTTTGCTTGATAAAAAAGCTTTGTATCGTAGCTGAATCCTTTTTTTAAGTCTCGCAGCTTTTCCTCGCGAAATTTCTATGCACCACCTTTGATTGAAGTCTTCTTGCTCTTCCTCGTTCTACGTATGTCCTCTTTATTGCTCCAAATCACAGAGCAAATCGCTTAGTGAACTCTAATAACTTTTAAATTTATTACATTTAGCAATAGCTTGTGCTTAGGCAAAAACATGACCAGCTTCAAGCAAAAGCTAAGTAAGAAGACATCAAGGCAGGTTAAAATCTTATGTATCGCCTTGAAACAGGGGTGTTACAGTATAGTATGTCCCCATAAGAAAATACCATCAAGAGAAAATATAACAATAACATGTTTCCTGAAGAAGTGTGTCTAGTCTGAATGAATTCATAATGAATTCATAATTTTAATGGTTCTCGAGTACTTGCATGTATATTTATTCTTTCCCACAATTCAAATTCAAGTGTCTCTGTAAATTCAAGGCAAACAGATCAACGCGTGGGCACTTTTATCAGCCGGCCCTCAAACCGACCGGCCCTTCGGGCGATCGCCCGAATAGCCCGACCAGCCAGTCCGCCCCTGGTCTCTGACGCACTTTTTGTCCCCCCCCCCTCATTTTTCATCCCAGGCTTGGAGCCGCCACTGCTTTGAACGCGCTTCTTCAAAACAACTTGCATAAAAATAATGCTTGCTAGTAAAATGAAGATAATGCAATTACAATCAACATACCTGTAAGTATCAATGAGCCGTTTCCGCTGGAAAAAAGAGAGGATAACTGCTGGTAGATACGACAGTGACATCCAGGAAGTAGAGAACCACATCATAAACGAAGGTGAATTAAATGACTTTGTGTATGTATTCTCAGTAAACTGTGATGCGCCTACCCAAGAAAAAGAAACTCCAGCTACAATAATCAAGCCGGCAATAAGCTTGCCTCTCGTTTCTATGCTGTATGTGATGCGATTTTCCTCATCGCCGGCTCTATTACTTTCTTCATCCATGTTTGAAATATTTTTGCAACCAGCCTCGTATTGAGTTGACCAAGATTTCAAGATTTATCTTTCTACCTCTCTTCGATGGCTTTTTTCGAGATAGACAGGGAGGCTTTATTTGGCAAGGGTGAAGTGCAGCGAAAAAAAAGAATACAGTAGGAAGAATTATAGATTATTTTCATTTAAGCATTATACAAGCTACTCCTGTGGGCAAGGACGGACTTGAGAGGATACCCAATCAGGGGTGTTGTGGCTCCTAGAAGAAAGTCGGGAAAAATAACACTTAAGTGGCCCATTTTAGTTTTTTCCAGAAAACAATTTGTTTACTATTCGTGCAAAGAGGGTCAGTTGGGTAAAATAGCTTAAAGAGTAGTGACACAATAACAGAGGTGGACGCCACAAATTTGAAACTGGGGGGGGGGGGCTAAGAATCAAGTTTATTGACATAGGAGAAATTAAGCCATTTGAAATTTTTGAAGTTAAGCCTTCTAGAATGGCTAAAAATGCATTTTCTAGACTAATAAATTAATATATTACTATAAAGTCTAATAGATTAATATATTACTAAAAAGTCTAATAAATTACTATACCGCTCAGAATAGATCATTTGGGAGGGGATGTGTCATGCTGAAACTTCTTGAACAAAAATGTGGATCTTCTTTGTCTCGAGTATTTTCAGTAGGCCGTGTTCACATATTCAAAATGCAGACATTGCTAGGATACAGAAGTTATTTGCTGAATCAATGAAAATGATAGACAAATGATAGAAATACACCTATATATAAGTAAGTAAAAAGATCAAATTATATCTAAACTGTTTGTTCTCTTTTATTACATACTCTGCTTTAAAACAATAAAAAAGACGGTCAAACAAGAGCTTTTGCTGAGGTAGAGAATTTTGAATATCTCCAAATCTCTAGTTCAAAACTATTAGTTTCATATAGATGAGAGATAATTTCACAAAAGAAATTATTCCCTTAATGTAACTTCCTGGGTATTACAAAGTCACTTGTAAGACTAGCCACAACTCCCCTGTACCCAATCTGTTTTTCGGGGAAGTGGGAATCCTCATTTTTGGAGTCTGGAATCGAAGTAAGCCCTTACGTAAGCACATGAACTGTATTTTGCCTTACAAAAATAAAAGAGGCATTCCCTATAATGTAATGTTTGTTCTAGTCGGTTTGAATGGTGCTGAATTGCATTTAGCTATATTAACATAATAGCTCCTTGATAAATTTTCCAAAAAGTCTATCATCAGTTCCTTACAATAATAACAGAAGACTGTGCAGCATTATTCTTCAAAAAAATCATACTCAGGGATACTCTACATTATCCTATTTGCTCATTCCAAATGTTTGCTAAGTATAACGAACAAGAATTGTTATCAAATATGCGTACAAGAATTATCCTACGCTGTAATCAGCTGAAGCTTCTTATCGGGTTTGTTTAACTGTCCTCAATCGTACTACATAGTTTATCTAAATACAGCTGCTTGTAATAAATGAAAATCTGAAATCACATTAGCCCCACTTTGCAAGGATAGAAACGATAAATACACACGGGTGTATGAGATATTGGCCTAAAAATGAAAAAGTTCATCTACGTGGCTTTTTTCTTTGGAATTTCTATCCTCCAAACAACTCGTAAGTGTTAAATTTCCAACTTAGATATCGTGAATGAATTTTTCTCAGTAAATAAAGTTCTTTGTTGATGTCCTTAACGAGCTTCCTTTTTCGCCTATACCTTTGGTCATGCTATGCTTGGGTACAGTTTGTAACTCTCTTGGTTGTGAAACAAAAAATAAATTTTCGTCTAAGTCATTTAGACATCTTAGTCCTACATTTTGCGTTAGACATCTTTGTAATAAAATTTAGGCTATTTTCATTAGATATATTTATACTTACTGCTGCGTAACAGGTTTTCGTTTTTATGAAAAAGGGGCGAAACTTGAAAACCTTCTCTGAGGAGACCCTCCTTAGAAATTCCTCTTTAAAGAACCAAGCCTAGTTTTTGCCCGACAAACAGAGCAGTTTTTAAGCTTTAAGTTGCCCCTTATATGCCTTTTTTCTACAAAATTCATGTATTGAGGGAATTTTAACCTATTATTGAGGCAAATTTGAAAGCATTTCCTAGCAAATGCGTAGAAAAGCCTTTCTAGAAAGCAAAACAATCTTTCCGAGGTAACATGTACCTGATAGTGATTTACCTTGATTGTTATGCGTGAATTGCTTCTGCATATCATTATTTCATTTAGGTTCTCAACTACATTCAAAATGCTCTGATAAATTCATTGGTAAAGAGTCAGGGGAATATCCTAGCTGCGAGTACTATGCAAAAAATGATTATTGCGTTATTAAAAATTATACTGACTGGCTGAGAGAGAATTGTCAACGTTCGTGCGGATATTGTGAGGGTAAGTCCACGAATGCAAACATAGGGGCGTCACTTCATACTTTTTGTTTGGGGGGGGGGGTTGGCTGCATATTTGCCCTGCGGAAAAAATTTTGCCCTGACAAAAGTTGGAAATGTTGGGAACTGGCCCTCAGTTCCCGTGACACTAAAATAGTTGTTCTCGCTTAGGTCCTTGCTCAGTATGTCCACAAGTTCACCGATGTGTTTGCCTAACCTTGGGGAGACGAGCAAGAGAGAGTTTTTTATGAGTGAGGCAGCCCTCCATCCTGTATTCAAAGAGCATGCACTCATTTTTTACAACACACTTTCGATAGACACACTAGCATTTCATAAGTTAAGGGTAGCAAAGCTCCCCTCAATATCATCAAAAATCATTATGGGTAAACTACCCTGCTGCATATAAAATTCAACAGACGGTAAAATTTCATCCTCAGACATAATTATATTGCCTTTACACTCTCTTCTTATAAGAACAATTTAATAAGAACACGACCTTCAAAATTTGTCAAAAGTTGAGAAAAAATTAAGAATAAGCTGGACTGAGTTACTGTAAAATTGAACTTTGAACAATGTTTCATCATTAAACTTTGAGATTTTCTTGGATTGACTTGCCTTTCGTAAAGAAGAGTGTAATGGTAAATTTAATTTTATTAAATGCACCGCAATGGGGAAACCCTTTGTCTCAAATTATGCCAACATGTTCATGACAACAATAGAACAGCCTATCTTGAGCAATGTCCCGATGGGTTGTAGTCAAATATTTTGGAAATGATTTATCGATGACATAATCTTCATCTGGAAAACACAAGCTTGAAAACCTACAGGAATTTATACAATACACCCTATATCATCCGCAAAAAATAGATAAAAAAAATAGATACATCACAGTCAAAGCAAATTTAGACCCAAATATGCAAAACTATTCCATCAAATTTTGACCCAAATAACCTCGTTTACAGTGTCTTTGTTTTCTGGCAAGCGGTGCTTGTCATTTTAGTATGGTTTTTAAATAAGACACAGATATCAACCAAGGGTGTAATAATAGAAATGGGTGTAACACTTAAGGTGAAAGGAAATAAGAATCAATTTAGAAATCTATTTTATCCAGCCCAAGACCACGCTGGCAATTTCTACTTCGTGTCACTGGTAGTCTGTATCATTTTACTTTTGGAGTAGACAAAATACAAGCGTAACCTACTTTCTTGTTACAGTTGCATAGGAAAACAACAAAACAGATCCGTTGGTAGACAACCTTTGCCCTGCAAAAATCAGTTTTGCCCTGCGAAAAGGTCCTATATTTGTGGTTGGGGGGTGAACCACCCCATACCCCCCTCAAGTGACGCCCCTATGCAAACATTGTAATGTACTTTGTTCGATGCTTAAAGAGAGGCCATGAAGAGGGATAATTACCCCCCCCCCTCAATGTATATCCAAACATGCTCCTGAAACTGTCAAACTTCTTAAAATCTTACTAAAACTCACTGGGTGGTAGGTGATGTTTTCCAAGCCTAGTGTCTAGCACAGAGATGAGGTATCCTGGGCCACATCCATTACCCTCCCGTTCTGAAGCTGCTGACGACACAAAGGAGATTGATATTGATCTTCAGCTTTCTTTGGAATTTCTTCAGCAAAGCCATTTAAACTATAAACATTCTCGCCTATAACCATTTAAGACTGTTTCGTATCAAGGGCGTTCCAATTCTTTATTATCCACAAGCCATTTATTGGTTTTTAACTTCTTGATGCTTCTAAGACTTTAAAACTTTTTGCTGCAAAAGCTTTCAAATGTAGGTTGGTGCTTAATGGTTTGCTGTTTTTTTGTAGCGTTTTGGGGATTTGAGGAGTATCAGCCACATATTTTTGCAACCAAGTTGTCTTATGTAAACATGAGCTTGGTTTCCCATGTCATCATAACAATACAAGTGGAAAATTTGGAGGAGTGTTTGAAGAAGTGCACAGATCTCCGTCTAAACTCTTCAGGGGAAAAATGCTTTTCAGCCAACCTATCTATGAGCATGAATGGAAAAATGGAAAGAATATGCGAACTAAATTCGAGTACAGAAAGAAAGAACCCGGAGCACTTTGAGTCAAGAGAAAACTTCGTTTATTTTGATCTACTGGGAGCTTGATTTATGACCGATTATAATCAAATGAGTTTGGCTTTATATCAATCAATGTTCTAAAAGATTTGACCTCTGACAAAAAACAGTAACTGAAACAATTAAAGTTCCACCACGGTATGCATGGGGTAGGGCAAAACCTTAAAGTTTCATGTTACCTTAAAGGGCCTCTCCAGCCAAATTTTGCACTTGCATTTTATTGGCTAATCTAAAGGAGTTGAACCTGCTGATCACGAATTCGTTATTTGTTTCTCGATATTTTTTACAGTTTGTGAGACATAAGCTCTTGCATTTTGATAATTGAATTGAATCAACCGACAAAAAGTTTTCGGTTTGGTGACACTGTGACGCAATTTTGACGTCACAATGTATTTCGTTAGTCTCGCCTCAAACCGAATCGAACGACGGCGATTCGCAAATTGAACACTGCAAGTGATGGTACTCTCAGTTCTGTTCCACCGTCTTTTAGTTTGAGCATTTCAGACACTAATCCTGAAGCCTTTAATTGTTCATCGTTTCTGGAGGACAACTGAAGTGACAATTTCGATCAATTTTACGCGAGGGAAGAGCTGGGACAGGAAGCTGAGTGGGCCTACAAAGGTAATCAAAACAAAGTCGTGACACAGCATGGACACATTCGACCCGCAAACTTAGAATGATTGTAAACATTTGATATTTTTCGATCCTAAAAAGCTCCTGCTCTAGATTTATATGTAGTTATCAACGCGTGACCATGATTCCTTCACGATTCGGTGGAAGATATACGAAATTCATGGCGAACGAGAGCAGCACACTGTGACGGCAGAATGTCACCAAACTGATTCGGCTTTTGTCGTTTTTTTCTCGGAAAGGTGCAACTTTAAAGCCTTACAACTTCTAAACTAATTGGAATTTGCAAAAACAACGACTTTGCCATAATACACGCATCAGATGCTAACTTTTAAGTCAATAAAAAAAATTTTTTTTTTGGCTGGAGAGGCCCTTTAAAATCGAGTCATTCGCTACGTCATATGATCAAGGAAGAAGATTTCAAAAATTTCCTTATCTTCTTCTCGATAGTTGCTTCTAGGAAGACTTTGTCGAAGTGTAGATGTGATGCTGTGGCGACAGGGACCAGTGTCGTGTATACAAGGCTCAAATCATAGTATGCATTTAACAAGTTTTATTTATAATCATATATATGCAACCTGACTTCGCAGGTTTTAAAGGGATTCTGGGTAATAAGTAACAAATTTTACTCAAATACAGCAGTATGGTATTTACTTGAAAATATATTTTGAATTCACATTGGTTGGAATTTTGCAAAACTCTTGCATTAAAAGTTACTAAATATTGACTCTTAAAACGCAGATTTTGACTTAAATCGCCAGTGTTTGAAATCCTTGTTCCTTTTGTTGTTTTTGCATAGATCTTTGCAAACACAACAGTTTTAATCAGTGAATGAAGTGCTCCGGCTTGTGAATGAAGGTTCATCTAAAAAAATATTCATACTGCACCAGAAACAATATTTGATTTTCTCAAATCAAGCAGCATGCATTTGCAATCAAGGACAATCTGCACAAATGCTATCTGAATTGTCCTTCCTTGGCGGCCGGAACAGTTGAATAATACCGGCTTGGCTTCTTTTCTGTATGGACGGCAAGCAAAACAGGCAACTTCGTTGTGATTTCTACGTGGAAGATAATAAGATAAACACTCCCCAATGCACATCTTGTTCTGAATGTACCGGGTCTTGCAACCCTTTCTGTTTATTGTTTGGTTAAAATATTTTCCGGTACACCAGCTTGTTCTCTCCCCAGTATAAAGGTTATGCGGGTACGCCAAATCCATTTCCTGCAAGTTTGCAATAGACATCGACCATAGAAAAATTGCGAGAGACAGCATCACCTTAGGAAAATCCCCCATGACCCAATTCTTTTACTGCGCCTGTCTATCTCGGTTTTTTCAGCCACTCTTTAATAATGACTTGGGTGTTGGATCGCTGGAAAAGCCAATTTTTATGTTTAAAATGCATTCTTTTTGTGTTGACTTGCGATCCTAACGATGTAATTAATCTAAATTCATTATTCAAACCTTTCATAATAAATTTTATATCTGAAGTACAGGAATATTTCTAAAAAGGGATTTATCATTGTTGACACATTCCATTCGCATTAAGGAAGAGGGGAAAACATTCTCCAGTCGTAAAGAACTTTGCTTTGCTTGCATTGCACCCAGACAGAGGAAACCATTACTAGACAGAGTCCATTACTGTTGGAGACTTTCAAAAAGAATATATATATATTGCATTAGACAGTACACGCCTATAATACTTATAGGTATAAAGGTACAGTTTCCAGCCAATGCTATATCTCTTTTCATGGAAGTCTTTTGTTCACCCAACACCAAATCAAGGTAATCAATTTATCGAATTGAGGAGAATAAAGATTGGGTGGCCTCTATTAACATGCAAAATAGGGGGCAATTACCCTCACCCCTTGATAGCATCTTCTTTTTTTAGACAATAGACTATTGGTCCCTTTATATAAGAACAAAGGTTTGAGCCAGCTGCTGCCAATGTGTTTTGAAATGATATGAATGTTCTGAGTGATGTCTACCTTTGTTGGTTATCTTTGTTGGCAATGAAGGGGGTACCTTTGTTGGCAAAGACATTACAAAAAGGGGTAGCTAAACACTGATCTTATACTAACATTTAGCATCAGTCTTTAATGAAAGCAAGCATTTTTTCCATAAACCAGGGGTTTTTAACTTTCGTCTGATTCTACTTTGTCCAAGCTATCTTTGGTACAAAAACCGGTCTGCTCAAAACGCAAAGAGCATTTTTTTAATATCCAGTAAAATGAGCAACCTAAATATACACCAGTATCGCTCAGTCTATTTACATTTTTTGATGCCTATTATTTACAAGAACGAGAGGGCTTCCTCTAGAAGCTAGAAACTTGACTCTCCTTTCATCCTGTCCTCTTTGGGATCGGACCATAGGGTTTGTGCGTCTCAACAATCAAAATCACCAAGCAATACAGATTTAAGCGTTGTTCGAAAAAAACGATTCTGTTTAGCTTTAACCAAATCCACTTCTTTTGAAAATTTGGAGAACGCGCCTTTAGGTACATCCAATTACCAAAAACTTTTGATCTAATGATTAATGGTCGTTACAAGTGTTCCTATGAAAAAGGAAGAGACATTTTTTCCCATTTTCCCCTCTCAGTGAACTTTGTGCATATTATTCCAGATCGTGTGTAACGTAAGTAACTTGTTTGAGACTAAATGTACATCAAGTGAAAGCCTATCATCGATTTCAATGGAATTTTAAGAGTCAAAAAATTCGAATTCACAATTTAATTCAATCTAAAAATGCTGGATTGGATTGCTTAAAATTCTAAAATGTCTACCCGCACTTAAATACATGATTTTGTAAGTACTAGATGGAAATGTACATGTCTCGTTCGGGTACTGAATGCCTGTTTGTCTCCAGTGGTTTGGTGGGAAATAATTTTTGTGGGATGAGGTGGGGTGGGGTAGGAGGCTGGCGAGAGGGAATAAATTTCCGAAAAGTTGCAAAATTTCCGAAAAGTAGGGAAAATTTAGTGCTTTAGGGTACTGTGGCCTTCCCTTATCACTGCGCATCTCAACGTAGTTTCCATTTACCCCTTCTCTAAAAAATGGATTTGAAAACAGAGTTGCATCGCTTAGTATCACAATATCATGTACATATGCTGATTTGCAGGTAATTTTTGCTCCTTTCTCAATGGTTTTTCAAGTCAAGGTTAAACGTTAAACCAACTTACGTTTTGCCTTTCCACTTGGGGTCTTTATCTCATTGGAATATTGTTGCCATTTGGTCTTTATCTCATTGGAATATAAACAATCAAAGGAAAGCAACGCTACAATATACCTCATTGAGCACAACCCTTCTTACTCTGTCATTAGTAAGATTTATTACATCGCTGGTATCGTGCTCTCGATTCTAGATTCTATAAATAAACAGGTATCATATCATCAAAGGTGCGTATCATCGTCAGAACCTTTATGAATCCAAGCATTGAATGTATGGCGGGGAATATGAATAGGCTTCTGGTAATCTTTTTATCTCACAAAGTCAAATGAATATTAGGCTGCGGGGTCGTCTGCTTAGAGGATGTACTCTAGTGTCTTTATAGCTCCCCTACGAAGCCCGCTACGCGGGCTTGCCAGTGGCCCTACGGCAGGGTACATAGATTAGCCTCGGAAAAGACAAGAGGTGTATTAACCTCGATTTGAAAACAATTGGCTCCGCACAGGTCACGTGATCAAAAAAATTGCTTGCACTCTTGTGGGCATTAAATTCGCACTCCTGTGACTATCGCTAGTCAGGGGGTCGCCTGAAATAGAGAAGGGGTAGAGGCTCCCCCCTTCCTAGCGATAGTCACAGGAGTGCGAATTTAATGCCCACAAGAGTGCAAGCAATTTTTTTGATCACGTGACCTGTGCGGAGCCAATTGTTTTCAAATCGAGGTTAATACACCTCTTGTCTTTTCCGAGGCTAATCTATGTACCCTGCCGTAGGGCCACTGGCAAGCCCGCGTAGCGGGCTTCGTAGGGGAGCTAGTCTTCCGTTAATTGAAAGTTGCTTCAAAACATTTGCAAGCCCAGGTCTATTCGTGTTCTTCGTTTAAATATTTTAATGGTTTACCACCTAAGTAAGCCCCCCTTGCATAAGCCCCCCTCGAATTAGCCCCCTGGGGGCTTATTTATTTTTGATATTTTTGGATGGGGGCTTATTCGAGGGGGGGGGCTTATACGAGAGGAGGGGCTTATAAAATTATTGTAGACATTAAAAAGAAATTATTAAAAGATCTCGTTTATTTTAGTAGGAATTTCTTTATGAGCTTTTAATTAATTATTACCAAAAGTATGAGTTTTTGTGGCAATTCAAGAAAATGCCAAAGGAAACCTCAGATGGCAAAAATTCATCAAAATAAGGGGGTCGGTCCAATTCTAGAATTAACGGTAGCAGTGGGGGCTTATTGAAATTTTTAGTTCTAGGGTGGGGGCTTACTCGAGTGGGGTTATTTCGCGGATTTACGGTATTTGTAAATCTTGCCGCGGCTATCGGGTGCGCGCGTAGCGGGGCTCTTAGGGGAGCTAGTCTCCCGTTCACTGAAATGTGCATACAGATTTAATGCATTACGGTTGCAATATCGAGGCAAGTTTGAAACTGGCTTAAATACATTTTGCGAGCCCCGGTCTATTCGCTGTTCTCGTTTATGTATTTTCACGGGTTACCCCCTCAAGCTCTACTGTTTTTTCTGATTTCAATGATTAAGTTTTTTATCACTACATTTCTTTTAGCCCTTGTGGGGCTCGTTTAATATTGGTTACATGTGGGGATGCTCGAAAATGCGGCCAAGCTTTTCGCAAAAGAAAAGAGTTTTCGTGCAGAATTTTTCTTATGAGTCTTTATTTGATTACCCTTGCCACCCCTCCGTACTTTTCAAAGGGAGGTGTTCATGTCGACCAGTTTTCAATAGAAGGGGTGCTAATGAAGGGGGTGCTCATGTCGACCAGTTTTCAATAGAAGGGGTGCTAATAGAAGGGGGGTGTTCATGTCGACCAGATTTCAATAGAAGGGGTGCTAATAGAAAGGGGTGTTCATGTCGGCAAAGCGGTGTCCTTTTTTGAAATCGAAGTACCTTTAAGAATAAACTGTCGAAATTTGGTTTCAGTTTCTTGAATAGTTTTAGAGAAAATTGCAATCTTACAAAGATGAATCGAATTTACAGCTTTTAACTTCCAAATCAAAAATCATCGGTTTTCTTTGTACGGTTGAGATTTAACAAAAACTATGGAAAACAAAGAATAACGAAAATCAAATGACTTGATTTGTAAAATTTAATAGAAGGGGGGTGCTAATAAGCGACGGGGGGAGGGCAAAATCTTCTGAAATTAATTCACGGGGGGGCCTTCTATTAGAGATATTTAGAGTAGCACTTTGTATCCAGAGATGTATCCCGTATAAAATTCTATAGACCAATGCGGCGGCGAAGTAGCGGATTTTTGAGACTGAGTAATGGAGACTCTGGCACCCAGGGTACCAGAGATGTCTTTATAGAACATTTGAAAATTGTTGCATCCGTTACACTTGACCAGTAACTTTGATAGCCAACGTGGCGGTAATGAAACTTACAAGTTCATAACCTAAATTCTGTCAAAGAGAGGGAGAGGAAAGTCCAAGTATAACAAAAAGTTTTCAGCTTGTCCATAATAACAAAAAGCATTTGCTTTTACTGTTACAAAATAGTCAATTCCCCGAAAAATTATTGTGGAGACATTTTTTCTTTTCTGAGCAGTCAAACTGCTTTCTTTCAATTCTTTTTTGTCCAATTGGTTTGATTTTTCCTGTTATTTTTTTTCCGTCCTTGAACATGAGAACCTGCTTATTTATCGATTTTCTGTCATTTTTTGTCATCTTTCGGTAATTTTCAAACGAGATTTTTTGTACTTTCATTTACGATGCACGGCAAATACCTTTGGTCAGAGCAACCAAAACTTCACTTTTCATTTCTCTGATTCTCACGAAAGCTGTGTTCTTAGGAATTTAAAAAAAATTAAATTTACTCTAAAGGATAAACAATTTCATATTGTCAGTTAATTGGAATAACCAGATAATGGAAGCATGAGTATAAATCGAGCCACTTATGACCTTGAATTAATACACGCTTATCTTTTTATAAGGGATCTAGATCCAGGCCTAATTTTCGAAGTTCCTTATTTTTGACTTCTTTTGATCGAGCTGCAGTGCTAAAAGTCCCTTAACATTATTAGTTGCTTAATTTAACTGCACATTTTGTGCCATGATAATTGTACATAGTACATTGAATTTCTGTATTAGTGTCGCTAGATTCTTAGCTGTAGCTAGAAAGCAAGGTGAAAAACAGGAAGATAACTAGAAAGATGTTTGATACGTGAAAAAGTGGAGTTTCAATCAGGAAGGGGATGGCATTTTGAAACACTCGATAGCTTTTTTCGTAACACACAATCTATGTGATTTTTAACTCCGAATGATGGAACCGCCTTCATAATTCTTGACTGTTTGCAATTATGAAAATATTCAAAATTGGAAAGTTCCTTGAGAGGTTTGTCTTTAGTACCAGCAGCTCTTTAATTTGTTCTGCCTTCTAAATGTAGGTTCCTTATAAAGTTTTTTTACATAAAAGAGCTTGTGACATCAAAACTACTCCGATATTCTCCCTTAGCAATACAATATGCCGAATGACCCTCCTTTATCTTCAAAGCTACGAGCATTCCCTCGTGTATTTATTTCGAAGGTGAATTATATCAACTATGTGGGTGACACATTTACAAAAAGACATTGCAATTGCCAAGACTACAAACTGTTCAACTCATTATTTCTAATTGTTTGCTTTCTAAAGAGAGCAGAAGATATCGTCGTAAACAGGAAAGGGTACAAAGATTTAATTGACTGTTTAATATATTCAATATTGAAATAACACATTGCGATTAATTTCAACCACAGAATAGAGAGAGAGAGAGATCTCTATTCTGTGCTTCAACCCAATCAGAGATGTGATCACATAAATTGATCGTGGCAATCCAGCCCATATTATTTTTACTCAAGGTCAAAAAAATTACGATTGAAGAAATGCTTCCTTTGAACTGCATTCTTTCACTCATATTGGAACATATTTAGGATCTAAGTTAAATGACCAGTAGGGAATAAATTGCACTAATTGTTGCATTCTTAATGATATTGAGCAAACAGTTGACAATAACTTGTTTTTAAGAAGAATAAAGAGAGCATGTGCCCCTCCAACATTAAAATGCTTCTGACGTCCCAGTTCGGGTCTGCATAAACTGAAATTGAAATGTGCATTAAAATCTTTGAATAGCAATTTAATAGTTGAGATGAATAGTAACACTTTTCGGCATCGTTAGGTACAATCACTGCCAAAAGTCTTGTAACACTAACGTAGGTTTTCAAAGGCAAATTCAGCCATCCCCTCTCCCCCTAGGACCAATGTTGATTTACTGTAGAAGAAAGAAAGGGGTTATGGAGTACGCTTTTTCTTGCTGATTGTTTGATATTTCTCAATATTTTCAACATTGTTTTGGGGGGAAATGGGGGCGGGAGTGGAAGTATTCAAGAAAATAAATGAAAAATAGAAAAGCACAGCGCAAAGTGTTAGGTGTTCCAAGTAATTTTGGCAGTGATTGTAGGTAAAAAATGCCTACAACATTTTGGCAATGATTGTAGGTAAAAAAACCTCTAGTATAGATGTTCTGACCTTCATTAATAGCCTTTCAACATTGAAATGAGGGGAGGGATACCAAGTCTCACTCTCAACCCCATCTATCCACAAGTAGATGTTTCGACCAAATACTTAACGTAGCCAATCCTTCTATAGAACAGAGTTCTCATGGTTTTGAAGTTTCAAAACAAAATTGGGTTATAAAAAGATTGATGTTGACCAAACCGAAAATTGTGTTGTTTGTGAAAAACCAAGATCTCTATAGTAGAATGGTTCTCTGAAGAAATCACTATAAAAAGAATGCAAGCTGATTCAAAAATTGTTCTACCATTATTCAAGCAATTGTTCTATCATAAAAGAAATTGAAATGCTATTCATAATGCTAGAAATAGAAGCTCTTTACGTGACTTAGCAAACAAAAACTACTGGTCGAGTTCTTTGTTTCCATTGAGCTAAAATTAACGTTTGGTTTGCGTTGCGTTGCTAGATTCAATTTAGTTGCCTACTAGAAAGAACTTCCTCCTTCCGAGTAAGTATTTTTATATTGCATGTTATGTAACTTATTTAATGATTCAAGCCATTGCTACTGCAATTCTAGGAGGCAGCCATAACGCCAAATCCATTGCTATTTTTTTGGTATATTTTTGGTTATGAAACGTTACCGTTACGAAAAATTCGGCAACATGGGACAGGCCTTTGCTGGGAAATTAAAAAATTGCATGATTATGTCAAAAAATCATTAAGATGATGTAAGCATCAACAAGGCAAATATTTTAAGAATCTAAATGTTGGTAGATGTGAGTTTATGATCTTATATCAAGGCTTCATTCTGCCATCAAAGATGTATTTGAGGTT